CCTTGATCATCAAGACCCAGCGTAAGCCACTTGCAGGTACACGTCCAGCGTCTCCGCCACCTGCTGACAGTTGCTGCGCACAGGAACACCCCCTTCACGCACACTTTGCGACTGAGGGAGTCTTCAGGGATAACAGGGGATCTCGGACTCGGAGCCTATCTGAGTAGTGAGTCATTGATGATTGGTGTTATTGCATTCGGCTTTATCACACTGGCAAAGTGTCTCAGGAAAGCATGGTAATAAGGGAGACTCCTATCTGTTCATCCGCACCCTCATGAGCGAGTTCAGGGCGCTCGATCTATTATGGGAGTTCAGGAGACAACCTTCGACATCACCGCCATGGTGTCTCCTCGTGGCTGCACGCAGGTGAAACTGTGATCAGCAGGAGAGGGACTTGGTATTCGGGACAACACTCCGACAATGGGGCTATCGATGTTTTAGGCAGGACACCTTTGCGCCAGAAACCAAAAAAGACATACTTCGTACACCTTGTTTGTCCTTGAGCTTCGCCGACATAAGGTACTGGTTACTGTGCACACCTCAGGAGTTGGCCAGCAACACGACTTGTCGACACCCATCCACGCAATCATGAGGAATTTTTGGCGCAGATGTTGTCATCACCCTGGCACGGCAAGCTATGGAGATCTGAACGCAGAGCCTAGACCTGTCCAGGTCAAGCCATGGGCAAAATCTGGATACCCATTGGGGGTTTGAAGCTTCTGGTGGATCGCGCCCTGCCCAGCTGCGCCCCCAAGAGACCCTCAAGCGCCCCGATTACCCACAGATGTGCCAAAAACAGTGTCAACGTCACGCAAGCGACCCTCAGCATCCCCCAGCCAGCACCCGAAACGGACAACAACTACTTTCTTACCAGGCAGCCCCAGGCAAGGGAGAAAACGTTCAGCGGACTCAGCAGGCTGGCTGGAGGGATTGAACAATCTCGAGAGAAACTTCCCACAACAAGGGGTTGGATTGCGGAGCTCTGAATGCCTGGAACAATGCACCTTGGACGTCGAGGTACGGAGTACTCGGTAGTTAACCGCTATTGTCGACCCATGTACATTGTTCCAGGCGCTCAGCCTCTGGTCTGGATGAACTCAATGGCATGGGAGACTCACCGCCCTCCGCGGTCACCGAATCGACCTGTGGCCTCGGATAGGAGAGAATGGGGACAGCTAGCGACCCCCCGAAAGCCTCCTCCTGGCCATGCGAAGGAACAATAACCCAAAAGTGCTTTGAGGCTTTCGTGGACCACCGTCAGCCAGAATCCTAGACTCGAGGGAGCGGGCCATCAGCCTCAGATCACGAAATCCCCTTCCAAGACAACGCCATACCTCCTCCTGCGTACTACACACTTGATGGCCAAAACAAACATATAATAGACACGTGGACCTCCTCTCTCTCTCGCTCTCTCTGGGCGATATCGATATCTCTGTTACTTGGCTCGATCATCATTACATCAACGAACCCCAGCCACCAGCATTTTCTGCCCCCAACATCCACTCAACTGACCCCCCTCCCCCCTTGGCGAAGCTCGAAGCCGCGTATCCCCTCGGAAAACAAGCCCATCATCCGATCCCGCAAGTCATTCCACTGGTGACTGGGTCTCTTGGTTCTTGGGAACCACCCCCCGCATCGCTACCCAGTTTTTTGGTCACAGCTGATGCAAGCAACGACATCGACATCTCTCACCCCACTTGTTCAAACCACCCCCCAACCTCAAGGGCTGGCCATATCAATGGCAGCATATCTGCTTGGCTTTGTCTTGTAAGTATTTCTCTCTCAGTCTTGTCTGTCTTTTTTCTCTTTGAATCAATATCCTCTGTACAACTACTCGTCGGCGACCATGATCAAGAATCTAATGCGATTGCTCTTCAGCACTGGATTCTCGTTTGAGAATCACCGAGATGACGATTTCTTCAACGAACCCTCGACTATGCGGCCTCGATTGACTGCTGCTGCAGCCGCCAAAGAGGATGGTTCCACAGAGCTACTTACGCCGCTGTCCTCATCCTCGACATACCAGGTGGTGGCCAAAGGACTTCCTGGCGCGACAATCCATTATGCAGCACCAAGTGCTTGAAGAAGCCGGGGCTTGATTCATTCTCCTTCACAGCATCATTACGACATCCTTATGAACATGAGCAAGCGTCATATTCATCCCTTTGTGCTTGAGCATGCAATGCGATACCATGTACCTCGTACAGCCGAGGCAATTACAGACTGGGCCATTTGGGGTCCATGCTTTGCGCCTGTACGACAGTGGCGAAAAGCTTCCGCCGAGCATGACCATCACAACATTGTTGGAGTTTTGAGTGCAGCCTGTGGACCTGCACTACGTGCACACGGACGACCAGTATTATGAGCATTCACCTTTCGCAACCTCCCGACCCCGCCCTTTGCAGCACTACGACGGTAACACAAGGTCATGCGTATCCTATCCTTTTGGTCTTTTGCGCGGGCGTGCATGAATGGCGCCACGCCGAACGCCACTTGTCTCACTTGGAGAGTCGGTAGTTGCGCACATTTCCGCCGGAACCACCAAAGAATATCTCTAGATCAGATACCTAGCGGAAGAGAGTTTTCCACACTCTACTTACCACACGGGCCTATTTTGTCGAGCACACGCGCACGCACGCACAAACCCACGAATTTCCTTTTTTTCCCCTCCCCCCTCTTGCGCAACTACGACGCAAAAATGTCAAGAAAGCTTGCTGGCTTGACAAGGGGAGCAACGAACGACCACTTTATGATTTGCATATAACTGTTATCCACGACGATATGATACCACACACGATACGAGGCTGGGATGGAGATGGAGATGGAATTGGAGGTGGAGATGGGCGGATGTCTTTTTTGCTGCGATTTGTTACCGTCTGAATTTTGCCGGATCAATCACCCTTCAGGTTATGTTAGAGAGACAGTCATCAGCATTAGTTTCGAGATCTAGAAGAGAGCGAGAGCAGTTTGGGCAACCAGGCAGTTTCTGCGGTTCAGTCCAATCTACTGCTAGAAGGAGGATTAACAATCGATACCTAGTCGATAGTCTCTAGTCCATGCTGCCAATAGCATCGATGTCAAGTTTTAGTCCCCTTTTCTTGCCCTTTTCGCTTTGTTTTGCTGTCCCCATTTACATACCGTAGATATTATAGGATGAAACTGCCAACAGGCCGGTCTGTATGTAGTATATCCGACTGATAGTATGGCTACTTTTCGTTAACGGCGCGAGTGCTTCTGCTGCTGCTTCTCCCGCCGCCGCCACCACTGAGGCCATTGGTGATCACGGATATGGTAGACTATCTTCCTCCTGCTTGGTCATGCTTGGTCTTTGTCTTACTCCTGTCGTCCGCGGCTCGTGCGAGTCGTGCGACTCGTACGACTTCTGTAGCTTTCCCTCATATTTCCCCCAGTGGGTCAGTGAGCTTGCCCTTACCCTTATCCTTATCCTTGCACATTTCTGTTCCAATGCCCAATCCCGTCCTCATGTCTCAAGACTCGGTCTCGACTCGACGGCCTATCTTGATCGTCCACATCACGTCGAATCCTGCCGGTGGATAGGTCTATATATTATATTATAGTCACGTTTTATGTTATGTACAGTGGCGGCCGTACAGGGGCACAAGTGACACATGCACGAGAGAGGCCGAGGCCGAGGCCGAGCTCGAGCAGGAGCATATGGTTCCCTCGAAGGAAACCCCCGATTGAGATCATCTTTCCCCCTTCCCTGCCCATGGGATGCTTGGAGTACCGTATCAGCGCAGCAGCGGTGATCTTTTCTTTTCTTTTCTTTTCTTAATTTGACAACTCTTGCTCCCTACCTCGTGGGAAAATCACAAAATTGGCCCAGTGTGGCTATCTAGAATTCAACATGCTTTTTCGTCCTTTCGTCTCAATCTTTTGTGGTCAAAGGATAGGGGAGCAAGAGCTCGAGCTCGCTCGGTGTCCAGCAATCGACCATTGTCACCAAAGCATGAGATGCAAAAGGCCGGAAGAAGAAAAAGGCATGGACTGGCTGACCGCATCGAGAGAGCGGCTTTCACAGGATCCTCTATATATTCATTCGGATATGACTTCGTGTTAAATTCTGGGCGGAGATACCCCAGGAGGCGTTTGTCGAGTGAGTGCAGTTGCCGGTGGCCGAGCATCCTGCGAATCGTCTGTGACTTTTCTCGCGCCTCGGCCTGTGGGCGTTCCTTTGATCAAGTTTCGATTTGTAGTAGTGACGGCTGCATCAATAGCACGGCACCTCTGTTCGACTCATCTCCGCCTAGCACTGACACGGGCAGGTCGAACCCACTGACCATTCTGAGCAGGAGAGCGACGTGAATGTCCGGATCTCCTAAGAGTTGATATTACACGCCAAGACGAAATCAGGCACTGGACTTCCACATGGCGGCCAGGAAGAACACAGTCCTCATCCATTTCCAAATGATGATGGTGATATCGCCCCGTGCAAAGCTGGAGTCCCACACCTCAAAAACTATCGGGGGAGCACGACGTGGCAATTTCATCGCACAGGCATCCTTCTTAAGAAGGAATTTCTTTCCGGACATGCAGCTTACCATCGACAAAGTCAGGAGCTTTTGTATGTTGAAGAGGTCACACGTGCCCTGAAGTACTCATGGCATGAGATAGCCAGAAAGAAGTCCGATGGCCAGATCCGCACAAACTTGCTGTTTTAGCGCGCCATCTTGCTTCCTGTTGTGTCGTCAACGAAGCCATAAAGTGGTATGGGGGGCGGAAACATTCAAGGGATGCTGGTCCCCCAGAAGGAACGGGCGGTTTCAAATGTAAGCGTTCGATATCGAGATCATTGAAGTAGGGCGAAAGGTGACTCTATTTGCTGTGATTGTCCCGGAACTGATGTCGGTAGACATACCCGGGTCTCCCGGGACCACGTCTAGAAGGATAGCGTTGCGAATAGGACTGCGACTTGGGCGATGCAAACACACAACCTCCCAGCAGTGATGCTGTAGTTCCTCTCACTCATACGTCGCACATCAAGTTGCCAAAACGACGCTGGTCGGCTTGCAAAGCTCCATCGGGAAATAGCAAAATGGCCCAACTGGACCGTTCTCCTCATGGTCGCATTGTGTCCACAGCCCAAACACACCTCCGGATCTCACGCCTCCTGGCTGGACGCCTTCCAACTGCCACTGGTCTTGGCCGCCGTAATTGATGATGTATCTCCATCTTACCTCTCGTCCGCCTGGGACAAGGCTTGCGCAACCTCTTACCCCAATGACCGGCCGGTGCATGCCAGCATGGCCACGTGAAAGGCCAGAAAAGTATAACACGGGTAGGTCAGTACACACGGGAAGGGACGTCATTAGACGCGAATCAGAGGCAACTGTGTCATCGAGCTTGAGTTCGAGCTTCATCAGATCGCCACAGTCTTCAGGCTCATCGTCCAGGGTTGGTCGACCGGGATGATCACTAGTCCAGGCGTTGAACGTGACAAGATCAGAGTAGTCGAGCCAAGAGTACGTCCCTAACCATGCCCCAGTGACGCGCGCCCAGTCATTGGGGATCGTGGGATCGGGCAGTGTGCGGTGAGGGAGGGAAAAGCAGAAACCTTGGGGCATCGCGATGCGGCCTTCGACGCACATGGAAAAATTGCGGCTGATGACGCTGAAGACAGCCTCGAGCAGAGCCCAGTCGACCTTCCCACTGCCGTCCCTGTAAAAGGGACCGTAATCATTGTCCGGCCCACTCAAGCTCCAATTGTACACTTTCCGCCTCGCTGCACCTCTAGCCCTGTGCTCGATGCGCTCGCGAGTGGTGAGACCATAAGCTACATGGAGTCTGCAGGCGGACTCCGGTCGATTCTTGTCATTCTCGCTTGCGGTCATGCTTCTGGTGAAACGCAGTGTCGTGCCCAACAGGCGCTCATCGGATCTGGCGCCTTGAGGCGTCCTCCGCGTCCCTACATCGTGGATGAGACTCTCGATGCCGTCCCGGTAGGGAGTCAGACCGGAGAGGATTTGAAGGTTCAACGAGGTTGTCCGGTCGTCCTCCTTGGGAATTTGGCCGTTAGCAATGTCACGAGGATTGGGTGCAAATTTGGCCGTGTCGAGGATGTCGAGCAGCGCATTAAGATAGGTTTCAGCACGACTGTCAAGACCACACCATTTGGACTGGACACTTCGTAAAGCCATCAACCTAGTAGAGAGTTCGCGATGCCAATCCCACTCGCGCTCTGCTGCCAAGGGCGTTGGATTGGGCATCATGGACCAAGCATCATTGGGATCGTCAAAGACATGCAAAAAGGCCGATCTCCAGAGAAGCTGGTTTTGGGGACGAACAAAGTCATGCGCAGCCTTGCAAGTTCGGCCAAAGCTGGCGATGACCGCAGGGGGGAGATATGAGAGGATGTGTGCGAGGATTTCCCTGGGCAAACCTAGAACCTCCATGGCCAGGTTGGGACGAGAGCTGATGAGATTGAAGTGCAACGACAATCAAGGCGAGGGATGGAAAAGGAAGCGATGCGAGGATGGCGGAGGAATGTGGTGAAGGTTAGGTTCCTAGATCGCCAGTAGTATTCAAGGTCGCCAATCTCTCTTTAGCAGGCTGCGCATCCTATTGCCCCTCACTTGACTGCTTTGAGCCACCTGTTTCATCCCTGCGAAGGGACCCTAAGCCCTGTGTGTTGGTGGCACAAATAATGGTTTAAGGGGAATGAGAGATGGAAGCGTAGGTGCGTAGCCTCTTGCGAAGCCAAGGAATCAAAATGCGTAGAGAGGAGATGGAATGATCATGTACAAGGCACAAAATCTGCATCTATGAGTGCTTGAATGCTGCTGTAGGCACCGAGGATGTACACAGTACGAGGGACTCGGTATCTGTCAAGCCACCCAGAGTTGCTCGTTTAGGCCCCCGTGCACCGCCCATCGTCAAGACACGCCGTCAAATCTCCCCTTCCAAGACACCAACCATCGCTGCCAATCTCAATCTCACCCTCTCACCACAGACCCCAGTTCGCCAGTAACCGCTCGCACAGCCGCAACACAGTCGCTTGCAAGTCGAGTCCCTCGTTTCCTCATGTCGAAGTCCTGCACACATATTAAGAGGTACTGTCAATATCGCAGCATCTCCTGACCACTTTTTCTCTTTCTCGAAGCCCACCAAATCACCCCACAAATTGTGTCTGTTCTATCATACACCGAGACATCCTCACCACAGGATTCACCGCTAGCCCCTACAATGCCTCTGAAAGACTTGCTCAAGAAGAAGGACAAGATCGATGACGATGCCGGCCTCCATGGCGCCCCTCTGCCTCAGGCGAACCAATTCACCTTCGTCCGTACCGACACACACACAGAAGAATATATCAATCCACCTGGGTTTGAGAACGATCGGTACTTCGCTGCGGTTGGTGAACCAAAGAGTCCTTCTCCCTCGAGACGCTCATTTGGCCGATTTCGAAAAAGCCAGAGTCCCGGTGCTGCCGACTTGTCCTCCCCAGACAAAGAAAAGAAGGAACATCGACGACTGTCTGAGCGGCTGCATCTGAACAGGGACCATTCCGCGAGCACCAGCTCTGTCAATCTGCCTTCTGACCTTCCTGACATTGTTGATGCATATTCTGAATCTGGTGATCGTCAAGAGACGGAGGCCAAGTGGGAGGAACGTGCTACCATTCTAGCCAGCAAAAGTCCCGCCATGCCGGCTCATGCTTTGACAGGCGATCTAGAGTCTCTCAGCTTGGGACCCCCAGGTCCACCTTCATCCCGCCCTCGAAGCATCAACGACCCAGAGAGTGACATTGACATCCAGAAGGCGATTCAACTCCACGAGTCTGGTGATCTCAGGGAGGCAACCCAAATGTTCCACCAACTTGCAGAGTCTGGAAACGTCTTATCCCAGGTCTTGTATGGACTGTCTCTTCGCCATGGATGGGGGTGTGAACCCGATCCCGCAAAGGCAGTTTCCTACCTGTCGGCAGCAGCGTCCAACTCGGCCACCATCGAGTCCGATGCTCTGAAGGCTGGAATGAAAAAGGGAGGCGCTGCCAAAGGAGAACTTGTGCTAGCAATCTTCGAGTTGGCAAACTGCTTCAGACATGGCTGGGGGGTTCCGGTCGACAAGGTTGCAGCAAGGCAATATTACGAGACAGCGGCAAATTTAGGAGATACAGATGCCATGAACGAAGCTGCTTGGTGCTACCTTGAAGGATTTGGAGGGAAAAAGGACAAGGTGAGTTTCTGTGTCTTTTTTCCTCGCCCTGGAAACCTGTTGCTTTGGCAGCCCAACTACCGCGTGTGCCTTTGATATCTTTGTCCATCCATCAGCACTTACACCCCTGCCCCCTTTCCTCTCGACACGTGATAAGCAGCAGCAGCACCAGGCCAGCCAGCCAACTCAGCTGAGCCTCATCCGCCCCCGAATGGCTTCCGACCATGAGGTTCGGGTGTAACGCAGTCTGACCCATATCGGGAATGCTATTACTCGGATGCGGCCCTTCTGACACAAACTTGGGCGTCCTACGGCCCCCAAATACGCGAAATACCCCAATACGGCTCCCTCTCAATGGCAGCTTCACTTTGGGCAGCAATGCAGAAGCCACTCACCCACTCAGCGGCCAGCTCTAAACCTCTTGTCCCCGTACCTTGCATTAGCCTCAAGTCATGCTGAACTCCGCGAATCACGGTCAATGTTTCACTCGGAGAAATATATGGCTACTGACACATGGGGCTTGCGACATAGTTTAAAGCAGCGCAACTTCTAAGATTGGCCGAAAAGAATGGTGCAAAGACATTGGGAAATTCCTGGTAAGTCATGGTCTCCTGTCATTTTGTCCCAGAACTGCCTATCACCCGATCACCTTGTCCCTCACCCAGCCCTTTAATCACACTCGCTCTGCGCATTTTCACACGAATTGGGTCGAAATTCCGGCGGTGTCCTGTATCCCAATGCCAAGATGTGCCTGATTGGCGGTCAAACTTTGGAGACAACTGATGTGACCTGTTTGGCGACCTGGGCCTCCACTACCAACCCAGCTTGCCTGCGCAGTGGTTCGTGTTGGACACTCCAACTCCCAAGGGCGAGGTGGCTGGGCCGCAGTGCTCGACGAGGCGCAACAATCCAAGGGTTTGAACCGACCGGCTCCTGACCTCATGGAGAACGTTAGATGTTTCATTTGTGATCCGGACAAAGAGCGGTGATGCGTGACTGTGTGCTGACATGTTGGTGTTTGTGATTATCAGGATTTGGAAGGAGAAATATGATCCACCAAAATGAGACCGTGGCTTTGCACCGTCCTCAGTAGCATGCCGAGGTCACTGTGGAACGATGGTCCGGTCATCTCTCGATCCAGAGACAAGCAAACACCGCGATATGACTCAAAATTACGACGAGGGAGCCGATGAACCCGACGAAAGATAGGCAAATTGAATAACGACCTTATCCACGACTGGCCCCTTGGGGCCCTGTCCGCCCTGGTATTGCGCCCCTCGCGCATCCACGGGGTCTGCCCAGGCAACCAGATCGAGGGACACTCTTACGTTGCTCTACTATTCCCAGTTTGTTGATATCTAACTTCAGAAAGGATTCAACCCGTGAAACGCCCAGGCAAAAGGGTAGCTATCGACAGCGCTGTGGCCCATTCTTGGATATCTAGGTCGTGTCGTTGGTTAGTCGTTGTGGAGATGGATGAGGGCCGTGCCTGCATGATGCAGGGGCCTGGGAGGGAACTGCATCCCTTCTCGTCCCTTAGTCCGGGGATGGACATCTGATCACAAAGGTTTGTTCTGGCCGCGCGGTTCAGCATGCCAAAGGTCCCATTGATATTGCCTTTTCCTTGGTCAGACCGCGGACCATTGACGTTGACGACGGCCATCACCGATGGAAGGGGGGTTACCCGTTGTACCCGTTGACTTGGTTGATCATGGGTGGTCAAGCTCGAAGCGAGTGAGCTCGGTGAAACGACAGACGTCAAAAGCAAGGCAATTCAGAGCCAGAGCAGAGGAAAGCAAGACAAAGCAAAAAGCACATGCCCGTGATAGAACAGAATGCTTGCTCGCTCACACGGATGGATGGCTGCCCTGTGGGTTTGGGTCCTTTCGGAACCTTTTGCACCTGTCTGGCCACTGGGCCACCTTATCGAAGCTGATAGACGTGGAATCCCAAGAGCAGATGGCCTGATCCCCAGGATCCCCAGGAGATACCAAACAGAATCCAGAAGCAAAGAGCTCGTGAAGTTGTTGGGTTTCATTTGCCCCCCCAATTTTCAAAATATCTCATCGCCTCTATCTCATATGCTCGGGACATGTGGTGCTCGGCAGCCCATTTCATTTCCTGTGTCTTTTTCCCGGCCCGAGGCATGTTCTCTTCAGACGGTGCTACATGAGGGAAAAAAAGGCGTTATAAAACTGTACGTCGACTGTTTTGGTCGTAACATCGTAGCGGGGGCTCTGGATTTGCCCTCGAGTTCATCCTGTCCATCGACCGACCTGGCCATCCCTCCCTGGCCCCTCCTATTCATCCAGATTTGTGGTCATTCGTTCCCCTATGCTCGGTCCCTATCCCTTCATTTGCTCTCGTGGGAGAGTATCTGTCCAATAATAAAAGCCCTCCGGTGTCTGATTGTCTTTCTGATAATACCCTGACCTCTCGGTTTCGTGTCGTTGCTCTCCTGCTCCCCAGCTTCCATCCCTAGATCTTCCGAGTTGTCATGCTATGTGCACCCCTTCCCCTCCCTTCCCTTTCCAATTCCCCTCCGAAATAATAAGTGCAGAAACAAAAGAGAAAAAGAGTTTTCATGTCATAGGCCGTTAAAAGTTCTGGGTCATCATAATCAATCATGTCGTGTCCTATCGTATCAACTGATTTCATATCCTGATCAAATTCCAGGAAATCCCTAAGTGTAAAAGAGATAAGGAAATTGTGCCCTGAAGCATATGAGTCTTTCGCTTTCGTAGGTTTGGTTAATCAGACCTGCCCGTCTGAAAAGAGAATGTAGCTTCAAAAGGGAGAATGTAACAAAAAAGAAAAACAAAAGGGATCCCTCCACCACTCCGAATACCCTTGCAGAAAGGAAAAGGGCATTGTCGGATTTGAACAAATTTGCTCGTCCAAGGATCAAGGAGCACTGGTGTGGCAGGCTTCATCACTCGACCCTGGCAATCAGTTCGCGGAAGTCTCGAAGGACTTTCTCGGGGACTCGTTCGAGGAGCACACTCCGTTCGCGGGCTTTCCCACTAATACCACTCATTTTCTCGAGGCCATCCCTTTGAGCTTGCATATCTGCGAACAACTGCTGCATTCGGGTTGGCTTGACTTCGACCACATCGTCGTCGTCGAAAGCGCAGTCAGGACTACTAATGTGGTTGTATGAAGCGGCCGAGAGGGAGAATGCAGCTGCAGTTTGTTGGTGACGAGATGGGGCGGTGAGCGAGGCGTGGAGATTGCCGAGTGGAGTGTCAGAAGGTTGAGGGGTCATCCCAGACACATCCGAAAGTGCGTGGGGAAAACCGTTGCTGTCTAGCGAAGGAGCGGGCCGGCTAGGAAGAACCTCGTGGGTTACCTCCGGGCTCGAAGCAAGCACGGCCTGAAGGACGTTGCCGGCTTCAGCGCGATATGTGTCGGACATGGCGGGCATATTGGGTGCAACAACCGCGACCGAAGATGCGGCACTCGCTGCCCTGGAGCCGGCTTGCGACATGATGAAGGCACCAGAGAGTAAGCACATGTAGAACGTCTCCCAGCTGAAAGCGGCGTCGACCTTGACATCGGACTTCGTGGAAGTGTTTGGTTGAGTTGAGGAAGTATTGGGTCTTGGAGTAGCCTGTCGTTGCAACGACTCTGATTCTTCCATCTTCAAGTCTTCGCTGCTCATCAGGACAAATTCATCGTTCCATTGGTCCTCCAGGCCGAGATCCTTGAAATTCGAGAAGTCGTTGGAGAAGGCGTCGGATGCGTTGGAGCAGAAGGCACGAGCATGTTGATTGCGTTCCAGTTCCCTGACGGTGTCCCTCAAAATGGTGTTCATCCGCCGAAGCTCGCCGGTCTCCAGAGTCGACGTCCGAATGAGCTCCTCGTTCTGATATTTCATCTCGGCAATGCACTCCTCGAGGCGTTGACGTTCAAGTATCCACTGTTGTCTTTCATGGCTGAGAACGCTTTCAAATTGGCCGAGGGCTTCCTCGAGTTCATTCTTCTGGCTGATCAGAAGTTTCTTGTCCGCCTCCAACTTTTCGGCGTTTTGCTTTTTGCGCATGCGAGAATCAAGTCTGTGCAAAGACGGTTAGTTAGCAGACATCCATGAACAAGAGGTCGGAGTTATACATACGCTGCCTGTCGGTTTCGCAGTAATCGTTTCTGCTGTTTCAACTCCTTTTTCTCGTCTTCGTTTGTGGCCTGATTGATCAAGGCATCAATGGTGTTGATGTTTCGCTCGGGAGGGATCTCGAATTTGGCATTCTTCTTCCTGATACCATCGGACCTCAACACTAGTAGTGGGGACGCAGGTCTGTATCTGTGCCGTAGAATGCGGCTTGTCTCGGCAGCATCCGACGAAGTTGTCGAAGCCCAACCGCCTTGGCTAGACTGCGGCGACATGGAAACGGCCGAGGCGGGGTCTTGCTGGGAGAAACCCGAGAAGGTGACAGGTCCGCCGGGATACTGAACCTGCTGCTCAAAGGGCTCTTGGACCGGACCGAAGAAGGGAGTAGGAGTGCTGGCCTCAGACCGCGCCGACAATGCCCACTGTTGGTTTTGCATGAAGCCGGGACCGCAGTTTGCAGTGTTCATCTGACTGAAAAATTGGCCATTGGGATTCGACATTGGGAGCGAGGATTGCGAGTAATGGCGGGTAGGTCCCATGACACCATGAGGTCTCTCCTGCCAGACATGGGCCGATGCAGGATAATCCTCCTCCAGCTTTGTAATTGAGGCACGTCGATTGTCAGAGGCATCGGTAGCCGTCATATCGGCGGGGGTAGAGGATTCAAAGACCTTGTCGTCGAGAATCGAGGAGGAATCGTCTTCGGTGAGAGCGGGTTTGACGTCCTCAGGCCACTGAGGTTGTCCATAAGGATAGTAAGTTTGGGGCCGATATTGCATCGCCATAGGTCCGACAGAAATAGGAATCGACGATAATAAATTTGTTTTGTTGCTGTGCCGATAAGATGGATGGATTAAGTGGCGGTGAGTGAAAAGGTGGGGAAAGGCTTCTTGGTGGGAGGGTTGTTGGGTTTTCTCGACACCACAAAAGTGTAAAGTCTTCAACAGCGCATAAGAGTGCCAGCGGCAATGAGCATATTGATGATTGCAGAAGTTCAAGATCAAAGAGGATGTCAGATGTTCAGAGATGGGGAAGAGACGAGGGAGAGGCCGTGGGTTTAGTACTATGTATTGCGAGCAGGACAAGCACCACACTTGGGCCGGTACAATACAATACCAGGAAGGGAAGAGGCAGCGGGGCAGGGATCCAAGATCAGAAACATGGAACCTGACGAGGAACTGTCAATGCCCCGTTTTCCGGTCTCTGGACGGGTCTGGGACGGGGTGATGTGAGAGGCAAGGGAGGTGTGAGAGGAGCGAGTAGTTGGAACTGGACCGAGGAGGGAGGGGGGACATCAGCTAAAGGAGGAATTCCTGGGTGGAGAGAGAAGAGCGAGAGAGCGAGAGAGAGGAAGAGTGACTCCGGCAAAGGACCCAAGCCTGAATTGGCCCTTTTCCCAAGGGCCCTTTTTTGCCATTCGACACCGAGACAGAGAACCAAGGTTGCAAAAAGCAGCGAGGAGGCCAGACAAACAAGACACGAGGAGACGAGGAAGCCCTCGGAGCCATGGTTGGGCGGACGAGAGAGAGCCAGGGTGTGGATTGGATGCTCTGTCAATTCTCCAAGCAACAGGCAGTTCGGGGCTTGTGCCTCTTTTTCCCCTTTGTTCCCTTTCCTTGACCTGCCGTTTGGTCTGCTTCGTTTTTTGGGCAGCCATGGTCCCCCAGTGCCAGTAACAGTGGCCGGAGTCGCGGTGCGTGCAGCATGCACGAAGTTTGCTTGCTCCCACGCCACGAGACTGGCTGCAACTGACTCCGCCCAACGGTCACCTTTCATGCGACCACCTTTTAGGTCGCTTCAGCTTTTTGCTCTCTGCTTGACTTCTCCTGATTAGGCCCGAATCGATTCTTTTCCGCCTCAGAATCCGAGTCTCCAGTTGCTCCCCCGTCGCCGAATCCAGACCGCAAGAGTGGCTGGTAGCTATGGTACTTTGGTGGCTTTGGCGTCTTTGTCTGAAGCGGCCAGCGAGCTTCGCGAAACCCACGACCCGCGACCCGCGACCCTCGAACGTCGAAAAACACTTGGGCAAATGGAGCAAATGAGGCCTGAGGTCAAAGGTCAGAGGCCAGAGGTCAGAAGACAAGAAGATGGACCAGTGACCCGATAGGAGACGAGCACGTCCAAGAGGCCAAAACGCGTCCTGTCCAGTGTCCTGCGCCCTTTTCCGACCATGACACCTCGCTGAAGTACCTACGGACATACCGAGTAGTAGTATTTGGTCCCAGATGTACGCGACATAACCTGCTTGCCTGCTCAGCCGATGATTTGGGAAAAACAAAACAAAGATGACCGGTGGCATGGGTGTCGATTTTTCCGCGAGGGATCCCTTGGGCTAGGCTTAGCTATTTGCTCTCTAGGCTCGGTTCGCTTCCTTCCTTGCGGTTCTGGTAGCGGTGGGCGCCGCTGGGAGCCATTATTCTCGGCCGGCACGGCCCTTGACTCGTAGCTGCACATCACATCACGCTTGGGACTTGTCCTTGTGAATCGCCCTCCTGACCTTCCTGTCCAGGCAGGGCGACCAGGGGCCAACTTGGGGACCGATCCGTCCTTCGTAGCCGGCAGCTTGGCAACACAGATTTCTTGTGTGGAAGGGAGATGGAATTGAAACAGTGAGCTCTGTATCCAACGTACCTGGTCTCTCCAACTAGGTCGACGGGATCTTCGTGACCCATTCCATATGTCCTCCTTTTGTTGGGGATTCACCCATTTTGGCCAAAACTGTGTGAACAGCCATGACTGCTTTCGGGCACAGTCATCCTTCTGCCTCGACATCTCCCACGTATACACCTCCTCGCTATGAGCAAATTCATGCTAACCAGGTACAAGTGTTTATAGAGGCCAAAGGGCTTTATGCACTGTTTTCCGTCTCCAATGAACTTTCTGCACCCTGTGTTCGAGCATCTAGAAACGACTATCAACAAGTGCCATCACTTGCAGACAGCATTTAACGCCTACAGTTTCAATGCAGCAATGATCGGACCTCCCAGGCCTGCCTGCACCAGGGCAACCCTTTCATATCCGTCCTTCTTCCAGTTGGGCAATGCAACTCTTGCAATGCCGCCATTCCACTCTCCTATCTTCATCAGTTCCCTGACGATGTTGCGATGAGGGATCTTCTTGGACTTGTTCGGGCCAGAGCGAGGCTTGACAATCTGCTCCACGGGATCGTACACGACTATCAACACATCGTACACCATATCCGCCTCCGATACCTCTGACGCGAGCCTCAGGTCGTTTCCAACCCTGTCAATACCAAGAGCCCAAGCCATGCCATTTCGCAGTTCCATGGCTTTCATGACGACCTGGTTGACGTTGTCCTTTGTTGCACCGATTCCGTCAGAAACGCCGTCGACGACGATCTGTGGCGTGAAGAGGCTGCTTCTTCCCCATCTAGTCAAGTACTGACGTTGTCGCGCGTCCCACTGTGTCGAGCCGAAGGTGTCCTCCCACTTGCTTGACGGGTTCCAATACGTCACGTCGTATGTGAGAAGCAGGAGGTTCGGGTTGTTGGTGGCGTCTTGAATAAGCGGAATGGCTGGTGGGCAAGATGCACACCCTTGAGACTGAAAGAGCTCCACGACCGAAAGAGGCATGATGTCCACGTAGCAGGCCTGTGTATGAGTGTGGCCTTGGTCGATGGACATTACGCAAGCGAGCGGTGCTTTCCGCTTCTTGAAGAGGTTGAAGAAGGAGGCCATATTCAAGGTGCTGGATGAATCAATGATGATCTTTCTCTGAAGAGCAAAAACAATGAGGAAATATATGGAATTACTCGAGATCAAAGTGTCAATGTTGATGGATATGAAGAAGAGAAGTGCGCAAACTCAGACCTTTATAGGTCTCCTCCCATCACTATCTGCCAGCCAAGATCTGAAACACTGGGCGATGCTCTGCCTCTTCAGCATCCAATTTCAAATATTTCGTTCAGAGCATACACCGAAGCCTGCAGTTCAGGAAACAGCCTGGGAAGTCATAGGCACATGGACCAATCGCGCCTCTCGATCCCGTCTCGCTCAGCCGCATCACTCTCAGGCCTCCCGAGCTTGAGTGTCAGTTCCTGCATGGATCATCTCGAATAAAGGTGCCTGGAATCGCGCTCTACTCGGTACAGCACCCCTCGACCTGTTGTGGCCCCCAAGTTCGATCCGAGAAGCAGTGTTAATGTATGCCAGGGGACACCAATCAGGCAAGATCAATGGAAAGCCACTAGACTCGTTCGGGTTGCATTCCTCGAGATGCGAGATACGCTCTGGGTCATGCTTGACAGGAGTACGCCAATATATGCATTTCACAGGGCTGGCTCGTGAGAAAGCACACTTCACCGAGTACGGACCTCGCATCTTGAGGAGAAACCGACTTCCAATTTGCCGCCAGGACTGAGGAGGCTGTTCCTAGTTCTCCGCGCAGGAGGAATCCAAGAATGATGTGATGTGAGTTGAGCAAACGACACTCTAATGATGCAAAGGCGCTCAGATTGAGGGATTTATTTTAGAACAGCTGTCCCAGTTATCAAACACGAAACAATACAGCCGAGAGCAACTACAAAAGGACTGGAGGTCGCCATATCTTCGGAAATGATCGTAACCCTTGGCATAACGCATATCCTGCTCCCTGCATCACACCTCGCTGCTCCAACAGCCGCATGGGCTCTGTTCAAGCTCTCTTTTTCTCAACAATAGCTTCTTCTTCGGTAAGGTATCCGTACACCCGTCCTGCCTGTGCTTGCGGGTACTTGGCCTTGTCGTCAGAACCGACGACCATCTCCAGATGACCTGGGTACGTTTCTCTCACAGTGACGACCTGCCTCCATGTTTTCGCAGCTGAAACACCGGCACAAGTGTCCTGCAACCTCAACGACGGGGTAGAGTTTATTGCAAGCGCTATCAGCTCTGCAACCGTGGTCCAGGAGGCCACGAGTCCCTCATTTCGGATAACAACCTTGTAGATGAGGAACAGCGCATGGGCGGCGGCAATAGCGGAATGAATCAAAAGGACAATGATTCCGAATTGTACGGTCTTTGAGCCTTCCCAACGATAGCCGTACCCGTAGCGCTCAAATATGGGGTCAATACGAAGCCAGTTTTGGACATCGGCGGCGGTGGAGTTTAAAACGGTGTCTTCACCGCCTTGTGCAGTGCTGACCGGGAACCTGCCTACAAGACTTCCATCCTTGGTCTGGTCGGTCAAGAACATGGGCGCTGAGTATGGGTATAGTCCGTTGCCAGCAATGCGGGCCAAACCGTCGGTAACGACGCCGGCCAAGAGGGTGGATATCATGGTGGCTCGATTCTGCCGGACCTCTGCAGTCGTGATATTCACATGTTTGCCCGTCTCAGAACTTCCGACAAATGGCGATGAGAAACTGTTTAGCACCTCACCCGTAACTTGGGTGTCTTGCATGACCGCTTGCTGGAGCATGGCTAGAAGGGCTGGAGTGGGCCCCGCAACGAAAGTAATGTTCTGATTAATGGCGTTGGCAAAGCCCATGTCGATGGTCATGTTCTTGATTGGTTGATCGGCCTCGCCTCTCTCATGAGGCAGAAAAAGGCAAGTGTCGGTCAGTTTTCCTTTGACGTTGAATGTAACCTGGTCGCTAGTCCGCGGTTCGTAGAAGACGTCGACGGGGATCCATTGGGCATATATGCTACATGCATGGATTTCTGTTCCCTGCTTCACAGTCTGGTTTTTATCGTCCACATTGATGTATTCCACGGGCACTCTGATCGCCGCCCCAATTGCCGGATTGTCGGCACCCACTGGCATAGGGACCCAGTCGAATGTCGTGTCGTTGAGCGTGCTGTGGTACGGTAAGATGTAGTCCTGGCTCGGAAGCTGCTTGTCTGGAGTGAAACTGGGAAAGTTGACATGGGTCCGAGCTTCGGCCTCCGAGACACTGTCGTAGTTGAACCCATTGCACATGACTTCGACTCTGGGTGCATAGATGGGCCCAGGGAGGGTGAGCCTAGGCTGCGCACTGAAAAGAGCGAGGCCCTCCCAGTTGTTCCGAGCAAACGTCCAATACGCCGTCAACGCTCCCGAGATGAAGCTGTTCAACGACACGGCAGATGCTCGACCGTCAAAGTCGCTGGCACAGCTCTGCGCTGACAAGACTCTTCGAGTATCTCCACGGGCATCAGGGAAGCTGATGTTGGTCCCTGAGCTGGAATTGGTGAACAACAGATTGCCCGCCCAACTATAGGTATCTCTAAAGCCTCCAGCTGGGCAAAAGTCCTGAAGGGTGGTCGATACGGTAGCACTGACGCAGTCGATTCCTGAATTGGGAGCTGTCGCGCTGTCGCGGGTCACATCCGTTGGCCATAAAACAGTGCTCTGATTGAAAACGTAGAACGGGAACACATCATTGATGAAAGGCGTGCTGATGCTGAACCAGTTGAGAGATGGGATGACAGCAATGGCAGAAGACGGACCAGCCAACGTCGCCAGGATGGTAGCAAACAGCGAGAGCAACCAGAAACGCCAGTAGTGTGCTTTGCCGGTCCATATCGAAGACCAGAAGCCTTTTGTCCGTAGATAATCTCCGGAGCCGATGGCAAAACTATTGGCGAGCATGCCCAGAGGAAGTCCATGATTCCCAATCAAGTGCGCTTGGGCGACATGCATGACAATCGTTCCCAATGAGGCAACCAGGACCAATTCGTGGAGTTTTGCTGCCAGCTGGAGGGCGTTCAAGGCGCCGCCCTGGGTGATGCCAGGTAGGATTTCGAAATTTGGATCCATCAAATCCATCCAGTAGCGATTGCGGAAGCTCAACTGTGCAACCGCCAAAGTGACCGCACTGGCAACCCAATGCGGAAGCAATTTATGACAGTTTGCCCAAAATCCTCTGCGGATAGCCTCTTTAGGCCCCTCGAGTGACTGACCGAACGTCACGGCAGGGTTAGGAGTAGGGATATTGTCTAACTCGATCTTCTCATATTCGACATATCTCTCCTGCGGGCTAGACAGACTCTCGACAGTGTAGCTTCTTTTCGCGGCCGGGATGATGGGATCGAGGGATTGTTGGGAACCAAGGCCTGCCGGTTCTGGATCCCCGTTGAAAAGCTTTCCATACAAAGAACGAGAGGCTCGGCGACCTGCGCCTATGTGAGCCATTGTGAAATGTGAAAAGAACGAGTGACCTCGTAGAATGATTGTGTTGAAGAATAGCGACTCGCCACACAGCGGAGCAGGAAAGTTCAGAGTATATGCCTCTGGCAGCCTTCCCGAATTATGCTCCGCGAGCGAGGCATGCGAGTCTGAAGCAGGGGGTCGTCACAAATGGAGGTGGCTAGATCACTATATGAACGTCGGTCAGCAAGCTTGCTCACCTGGAAATGTGTCAGCTCCTTGAATGGCCCGTTCAATTGCGACATTGTAGATGGATGCGCCACGAGGGGCCAGTCCTCGAAAAGCAGAAGCACCATCAGCCTCACCAGGCGAGAGGATCCCATGTGGCGCTCTGCACACCACATATTCATGCTAGAAAGCGTCAAACTCGACCCAGACTTGAAACCTAGCGATTGAACTGAGGAGGTCGAAGTAAGCACTAAAACCATTCGCCAACAATGGCCAACGTTTCAATTCCGATTTTGTGCAAAGTACCCTCCGAGTCACCGTATCGGGAGTTATTCAGTCACCAGAAAGAGAAGAATTCCCGTTGCCAGAAGGGAGAAGACGAACTACCAGGGACGACATTGACAGCGAGCGGGTGTTGAGGAAGGACACGATGGTGACGATGGAATATCAATTTCCGGACGGGGAATTTTTCGAACCGAACCGAACGCAGTCTTGGATCCCAACCCAATCCACAGCAACCATGTTATTACCTCATTACCTTAACGTGACACGAGATATACTCATCAAAAGAGCCGCAGGGGCCAAACTACAACGATCAGAAATATGCCGACGAATGAGCATGCCTAGTCGCTTGACCTCTGTACAAAAGACTGAATTCCTCGCAACCGTGCAGATCTACCAGCCTGATAGAGCACCCATCCAACTCTTTGTGCCATTATACATTCATTCATTCAGAAGCTGACCAGAGGCAGATCGAGGCAGGTCCGACTTTTCTATGATGTCGAACGCAGATTCCACAAAGAGAGTCCTGCCAGATCATGCTTGTTCCTTCCTCCTCTCTGTGGCGCTTAGGATCTGATTGCGCTTCCTCGACCTACAAGTACCACTCTTTGCATTTCTTCTCCGAGCCGAGCCAAGGAAGGATTCAATAATTCCCACTTCGCGTTGCGACTATGTCTCCGTTTCTGACCCGGCGCCAGAAGATTGTTGAACTTACGAGTACCATGTCTCGCACTGTGTCTTTCCCCCTACGCCAATCAGAACCAGTTCGTTCAAGTCCTCCGAAATGCCAGGAGTGCTCGAATCCAAGTTGGACATTCCAGAGTCCGTTGTTAGTTTTCAACCGGCAAATCTCCCCCTCACACGTTCTCGCCTAGCATTCTTGGGCCACATTCAGATTACACGTGCAAAGACCCTGAGGGTTGCAGGAGATGTGCCGAATAGGATGTGCCAGTCCGAGGGAGCAACAAAGATAAGCTAAATGTTCCTTGGGTGTAACTTGGAAGTCGTGCTCGAACAAGTGTTATCGTTGTGGTTGGTCACAGGTCTCACTTGGTTGACAAAGACGTACCGAGAAAGCAATTACTGTCTGATTGGCCTGTACGAGTATCAGGTTCACAATGGCTGTGAAGAGGCAAGCCAAAGATTGGCTTTTTTTCAAAACGCCGGGCACCAAGAGCGAGATTCCGATGGTTTTGGTTACTTCTCCGGGGACCTCGGTGGTCAAACCGGTCTTCGTCAAGATGTCTTGACTGTTGTTGACCTCTCAGAGCAATGCCGAACGACAGTGTACCCGATTTTGCGACGGCTGTGGTGTCTCTTCTAGGCATCTGCGCTGCTACCTCAGAAATGCGGGGATTTCGGCCCATTTGAGGCTTGAAGACAGGCTATCCCACAGCTTGGTAGCATTGGCTTCAGTTCTTGAGTGGAAATTCTCCTTGGCTTGGATCAGTGGCGCCGACAGCCAAGACGGAAGCATGACCCAGCAACTATGGTTGGTACAGACGTTATCTGATCGACCAGACCAGTTAAATCATGGTCACTGACGAGCAGGACGTGATGGTCTTCGACAGCGTGCTATTCAGATCCCTGCAATGCAGGTGTTTCTCGAGTCCCGAGCATCAATCGACGATCATGCTGTAAGCGACCCTATGGAACATCATCATTGCAACAACCGCGTTCTTGGACGACACAAATTCCTTTCTATCATGAACAGGAAGGAAGGCCGGCATGACACGGCCATTTGGTAGGTCTTGGAGAGGTATTTGAGGTCGATATCTCCGACCAGGACCCTTCATTCTGTGCCTCTTGTCCAATTCTCTCTGTCCCGCTCACTCGTTGTTGATTGACCTGTGACTTCCAAGATGTACAATCATATGGCAGCAGGGTGGTTTTACTCACCCAGACAGATCGCCCGCTACTTCCTCACTCGACCGACCAGCCTCAAGCCTCCTCGGACTCGACTGCGGAACCCATATCACATCCTCAGGGAGCTCGACAAGCACCAATGGCTAATGTTTTGGGCAGGCTTCCTCGGATGGACCTGGGACGCATTCGACTTCTTTACTGTTTCCCTTACCATCACTGAAATCGCAAAAGACTTTGGCGTGGAGAACTCGGCGGTCTCGTGGGTGCGTGCCCTTGAATCTTTGCATGCTGAACCAAATTTGACGTATCAACAGGGCTTGACATTGACGCTCATGCTGCGCAGCGTAGGTGCGTTGATATTTGGATTTGTATCAGACCGATATGGTCGCAAATGGCCTATGATCGTCAACCTGGCTCTTTTCATTGTCTTGGAGCTGGCGTCAGGATTTTGCAACACGCTCCCTCAGTTCCTCGGGGTCCGGTCGTTATATGGTATTGCTATGGGCGGTGAGATTGGTTGTTGCCTGAAGGAACAATCGCGCAGTCTAACTTGTGCCAGGTCTTTTTGGCCCTGCTGCAGCCACAGCTCTCGAGGACTTGCCCTATGACGCTCGTGGACTCTTGTCGGGTTTGTTTGAGCAAGGTTATGCAACAGGCTATCTGCTTGCTTCTATCTTCTATCGTGCTGTAAGTTATCGACTCGGCTTTTGTTGCTTGGCTGCTACTGATCACATGCAGCTTGTTCCCACTACCTCCCACGGCTGGCGATCGCTGTTCTGGTTTGGAGCTGCCCCTCCAGTGCTCATCATCGCTTTCCGTTGGTCGCTTCCCGAGACAAACATGTTTCAGGTAATGGCCGCCGAGCGAGAAGCACAGCTCATTGCAGACAAACAAAGAGGCGATCACCCCCATGTCAAGTCTGCCGCTCTCAAAGCATGGGCCAGAGACTCCTGGGTAGCTATCAAACAGAACTGGATCCTCTTTGTAAGCTTGTACCTGGCCATTTCGGCGGTTGTTGCCGACCCTGAAGTGGACCTACATTGAGTGTGCTGACATTGATATGAAGGTGTATTTGGTTGTCTTGATGACTGGTTTCAATTCATGCAGCCACGGAAGGTGAGCTGCTATCCTGTTGTCCCTGAGAAACGACCGGAAGAATGCTCACGAGACAAATCAGCCAGGACTTCTACCCGACCTTCCTGAAGAATCAAGTTCTCCTGGGCCCGACCGACGTGACCGTCATTAGCTGCATTGGTCAACTGGGAGCTCTTATCGGTGGCACTACCCTTGGCTATGTGAGCACATTCTTCGGCAGAAGATTGACAATGCTCGTCGCCTGCGTATGCGGTGGAGCACTTGTACCAGCCTACATTATTCCACACAACATGAGTCTGGTGGCCTCAGCATTCGCGTTGCAATTTTTCGTGGGAGGAGCTTGGGGGGTTATACCCATCCACTTGATGGAGGTTGTCCCAGAGGCCCTTCGAACGACAGCAGTTGGGTTGACCTATCAACTGGGCAACCTGGCCTCATCGGCATCCGCGACCATTCAAGCAGTTATCGGGGAACGGTTCCCACTTCCACCGCATAACGGAGAGAAGCGCTTCGACTACGGAAAGGTGATTGGCATCTTCATGGGTGCAGTGTGGGCATATCAAATTCTCTTCCTGTTCTTGGGACCTGAAATGAGCGAGGCTGAAAGAGCAGAGTATGCACACCAAGCCAATGAACTTGAGAGGCTCCGACAAGAAGGGCGCAGCCTGAAGGATATTGGGGTTCAAAGGGTCAAGTCTAGGCAGGCGGAGAAAGCAACGACTGCGGAAGCTATTGGCAAGGCGCCTGAAAGAGAACATCTGGAGATGGCATGAAATGGCCTCTATCGGGTAGGTAGGGCATTTTCAAGCAATCCTTTGGCCTAGATAGAAGCCGTAGCAGACCATAGCAACCCATGACATCAAATTCACCAAAGAGGACGTACCATGTAGCGCCTCAAACCTTTTGTTGAGTGCTTGCATCTCTTTGCTATGCGGCGGGGGATCGGAGCTCTTTTTCCCATCTCTCGTCTCCTGATGTTTCCTCTCGCGCATACATTTGGTCGTTGCAGGGCCGAGGTACACTAGGTTCGCCAGTCCCGAGACAAGCATTGTCACCAGAGGGGTAAGTACCTGCACCCTGTTGTCTGGATGCAGCACGCCCGGTATGCTACCCGGGTTCGTTCCGATCGCGGTCCTCTCAGAAGGGAACGTCAGTGCGAGGGCCACAGGCAAGGCGGTCTGCATGGCGAAGTATATAGGAAACGTCGCTTGCTGGAGGGTTGCAAACTGAGGTCGAGGAAGCGATTTAAAGGCTACGATGCCTCCGACAAAAGATTGGAAAGTCGTCGTACCCAGAAGCACCCCATAGCTTTGTGAATGCACATGATTAGTCCGGACTGAAATCAGAATCATTGTTACAGGTATGGAGCTCACCTAATGATGTGGTAGGGCGCTGCTGAGTAGAAGATTGATGTTTCTGGCATAGCGAGATAAGATTCTGGCGCAGTTCACTTGAGATAACAATAATCAGAGGAGGTCGTTCATGCTGGAGAGATCTAATCAACGGTGGTGACGGGGTGAAATGAGCCTTTAGTGCATGTGGTCCCGGAAAGCAATTCCGTGGCATAAACTCGTGGATCCGCGGTCCTTTCTACACGTGAGGACGCGAGATGTTCGTGTACCGCTGCCTGCTTCCCCGCTTTGAACAAAAGTCCACCACCAACCAACGCATAGCAGCAAATCCGCAGTCGATTCACAAGCTACTTCTGTCCCTTTGCTGTCGAGGTCAGCTTGTACAATATTCCTCTTGTCCTCACCTCGCCTGGTCGTCGCACAGCCTTCCTCCACGTCCCTTAATTCGGCTCGCGCATATAATTATCCGATGGGATCTAAGCCTGCGTCAAGGACACCCTAGCCAGGATGGAGAAGGAAGTGACGATATACATCATCGACCTGGCCCGGTCGATGGGCAAGAAACATAATGGCCGGGACCAGAGCGATCTCGAATGGGCTCTACAATGGGTTTATGACAAAATCACCAACGTGGTCTTTACTGGTCGCAAGACGCTCCAGATTGGGGTCGTCGGACTCGGTACCGATGACACCGACAACGAAATGCAAGGAGATTCCAGCTACAGGCACATCAGTGTGCTACAGCCGGTTGCTCAGATCCTTCTGGCTGAATTGCAGAACTTGCCCAAGGTTCTTAAACCCAGTGGCACAGACGATCGGGACGTTCTCTCCGCCATCATTATTGCCGTCGATATGATGATGAGACATTGCAAACATCTAAAGTATAAGAAAAAGATTGTCGTGGTCACAAATGCAACGGGGAGCCCTATTGACGACGATGACATTGAAAGCACCGCGGAACAATTCAAGAGCAACAATATCGAATTGGTGGTCCTCGGCGTCGACTTCGATGACCCAGAATACGGATTCAAGGAGGAAGGCAAACCAGACCTCAAGAAGAAGAATGAAAAGATTCTGCAAAAGCTGGCCGACCTCAGTGGAGGTATGCTGGGAACAATGCAGGAGGCTATCGACGAGCTTTCTCGACCACAAATTAAGCCAGTGCGACCAACGCCCACATACAAGGGTCAACTGAAACTTGGTGATCCGACACAGTATGATACGGCCTTGGCAATTGATGTTGAACGGTATTTTAAGACGTCTGTTAGGAGGCCTCCCACAGCGAGCGCATATGTCGTAAAGCCTTCCAGCGCAGAGGACGACGACGCGGAGAGTTTCAGCAACGTCCACAACCTGTACAAATACAGAGTCAAGGGTGAAGAGTACGACGGCGGGTCCAAGGTTATAAATCGCGAAGAACTCGCGAGAGGGTATGAGTACGGGCGAACCGCGGTACCCATCTCAGAGTCGGAGCAAAATATCACCAAATTGGAGACAGAAATGACATACGATATTCTGGGTTTCATTCCTGCAGAAAATGTGGAGCGATACATGCTCATGGATAACACCAATATGATCGTTGCGCAAAAAGGCAACGACAAGGCCGCACTGGCTCTCTCCTCCTTGATTCACTCCCTCTACGAACTCGGATCCGTAGCCATCGGCCGCCTTGTCAAGAAAGATATGGTGGAGCCAATCGTCACGCTCTTGTCACCGCTCGTTGAAGCAGACTTCGAGTGCCTCATCGAAAACATTCTTCCCTTTGCAGAGGACGTCCGATCGTACCGCTTTCCGCCTCTAGACAAAGTCCTCACTGTCTCTGGAAAGTCACTGACTGAACATCGTAACCTTCCTTCAGAAGCACTATTGCAGAGCATGAGTGATTTTGTCGACAGCATGAGTCTAGTTGGAGGCGATGGCGAGGAAGTAATGGCCATCGATGACACATTCTCCCCTCTCCTACACACGATCGAAGGTGCGATCAAGTACCGTGCCGTGCACAGTTCCGATCCCGAGAAGAAGGACGAGCTCCCGAAAAGACCAGAAGCATTCGACTCACTCCAAGAACAGCCTCTAGAGCTGCGAGAACGGAGTAGAGGAGCACTTCAACAGCTGATTGAAGCAGCAGATGTGAAGAAAGTGCCCAGCAAAGTAAAGGGGAGAAGGCGGTATCGAGATAGAGAGGCAGAAAAGCCTTTGTCGGGACTCAATGTGGAGGACTTGTTCCGCAAGACACGGCCATCCACCGAGCACGGCAAAGTCCGAATTTCGGCGAACAATGCGATCCCAGAATTCAAACAGCTGTTGGATTCGACAGACGACATGGAAATCGTAAAGGATGCGGTGAGCCAGATGCAAAAGATCCTGGAAAATTTGGCGAGAAGCGACTTTGGCGGTCAGAACTACCCGCGCATCGTGGCCGGTTTGGGCGAGATGAGGCAGGAGTTGCTCGGATTCGAAGAGCCGATGTTGTACAACACCGTTGTGCGTGAGCTCAAGCACAAGATCTTCGATGAGCAGCTGGGTGGGAATAGACGCGAGTTGTGGTGGGCGATTCGAAAGAGCAAGCTCGGATTGATTAGCAAAGATGAGGATGAGCGATCGAGCGTTGATGCGTCGGAGGCAGACGAGTTTCTGATCAAGGTACCTAAGCCCCAAGGATGAGTTGGGCGCACGGAATTATGGGATGAGGGTGGTTTCCGAAAGCTTTGTTGTTTTGCGTACCAGATACCAGGAGTGATGGATGCTACGACGAATAAACCTCTTAGGGGAGGAAGTTGATGATGGCGATGTTTCATGATATCTTCCCAATCCTCCGCTTCGCAATCTGAATCTTTCCATGTACGCGGTCAACGTCCTCATCTACCATCCTTAACATCTCGTTTTGCACCTCCAACTCCTGGTTGATGGCAATTCCCAACTCCTTTTGTCGCTGCACAATCTTGCGCAATTCTTCTACGTCAAGGTCTTGGTCAGCCATCTTTTGCTTCTGGAGTTGGAGGACGCCTTGATTGTCAAGTTCCCGCGTCTCAGCAGTCTCTTTGCCGAGCACTCTGCCACCGCCAACTTTGGGCTTGTTCCCGTTGCCAATAAGATGTTGGGTTTCTTGCATGGAAGCAACTGCGCTATCGAGTTTGGATTTGGTGGCCATGGCGTTAAGCAGGTTCTCGAGGCCATCTTTGTCCTTTTTGGCTGAGGCGATCAAATCTTTTCTCCTGCGGATTTCACCCTCTCCGAGCTTTTGTCCGCCCCATCCTCCATCTGTAGCATTTTGTATATTGGCTAGACCTTCCTCTAGAGCAGCGATCAACGACCCTGCCTTGACTAGATGGCTCTTTGCAGCCGCACTTGCTTCGTGTTGCTTCTGGGGCGTGGATGCTTGGTCGCGATTTGTCAGGTTCAGACGCGCGTCTTGTAGCTGAGCCTTCAGGTCACGATGAACATCAAGCCAGATAACAGGATCTGTGATCGGAGCGCCTCCTCCACCAGGACCGGATATGATAGAGTGTAGGGCGCCCGCCTTACTTGACGTCTGATTCGCGAAGGAGGATGGGAGGTTGAGAAAGGCCCTCCACACACTTGTCGAGCGCCACCTCGAGTCGTCAATTTCATTGATGGTCTTAAGATATGTCTCTAACCCCCGCCGTCGTTCTTCCGTCAGCTGTGGATTGGACACAGTTCGCTGAAACCATGATTTTGCAGGCAAGATGCAAGGCGGCGGTGAACCGACCTGGTCCGTCAACCCATTGTGCAGGACGAGGAAGTCGGAGTAGCGCTTCTGGACTGTGAAGGACCGTAAGGGTAAGCGGAGCGTGATGTTGTAGATGGTATAGGGTTTTCCGCTGCCGGATATCGTGGTATTAGGAATGGAGATTTCGACTTGTGGAGCCATGGTGCTCTCAGATGCTCGATCAAAGCTGGACCCAGCGTGGGTAGTCGAGCCTTGTTTATTGATGATGCTGGTACTTTGGCATTTTGTGAAATAAAGGCGCATGCGCCATGACGTCGCCTTGTTCCAGACCAAGACCCGCAACACCAACGACTGAAGAGGAAGGCCATCAGCCATACAGGAATCACCCTGAGACATAGAAACCATGCTATCACCCATGTAAACCACACCAGGCATTTCTGCCTGTTTCCGTCATGGTGATTCTCTCTCTTCAGACATCCTGCCACGATGGCAGCTCAGTCGAAACCTCCTCTTCCTCCCAGAACGCCTTCGGCCTCATCTAACGGCCATGCCAGCTACCTCTCGCCCTCAACAAATCCCCACTCATCTGTCTATCTCGGCGGGCTACATGACCCGCGAACTTCATCAACTCAGTCGTTGCAACCTGTTAAACCTCCTGATGACGGCCGCCGGGAATTGCTCGTTGTCTACATTCATGGCTTTCTCGGCACCGAAACCAGCTTCAAGAGTTTCCCGGCTCATGTTCACGGTCTCTTGACTTCGGCCGTGGCAGAAACACACGTTGTCTATACCAAGATCTACCCTCGGTATAAGTCGCGCAAGAATATTTCCTTTGCCCGAGATGATTTCAGCAACTGGTTAGCACCTCGCGAATCAAGTACGACGGATGTTATATTGGTCGGCCACAGCTTAGGTGGTATCCTTGCTGCCGAAGTGACCTTGATACCCTCCCATTTCCCTCCAGGGAATAAGAATCTACTCCAACATCGTATTCTTGGACTCATGGCCTTTGATACACCATTCCTGGGTATGCATCCTGGAGTAGTGGGGACTGGTATTGCCAGCCTGTTTCGGACTCCTCCTCAGTTGCCAGAGGCTCAACTTCCCAATCCAAGTCCATTTTCAGACGTTCCATCAACCTCAGAAGATCCAACGTACAATCCGGCGTATTCCAACGACGTTCACCTGGCCAACAGGACGGGCAAGTTGCGAAGGGCCTGGTACTTCTGGAACAAGCATTGCGGAGAGCTGGCGAAAGCGGCTGGAGATTATCTTTCTTCTCATCTCGAATTTGGTGGTTGCCTTGCAGACTATCCTGGCTTGAAGAGGCGATATAGCGCAATCCGTGCCCTAGAGGACGTTGACGAGACATTGGATCCAAGGTCACCTGAAGGGAAGTTGATGAAGCGCGTGAGGTTTGTCAATTACTATTCAGCAAGTACTGGGCCCATCAGAGAGAGGTCACCTTCTCCCAGCAAAGAGCGAGTGTTACTGGAACCTCCCACAACAGAACTTCAGGATATGTCTACACGAAGATCGTCTGGGGAAAGTCTTCGTCCCTCGACCGTTTCGAGCCCGCGTCTCTCTCTAGAAGAACATCGTGGTGGCGAGGTTATTTCGAAAGATGTGGCCGAGCTCAAGATCGATCCTGACCCACCAGCTAGTTTTTCTGTCTCAAAAACGAGCGAGCTCACCTCAACACCGGATCTTTTCAACGACAGTCGAGGCTCAGTAGAAGTCTTATCTCTCGAACTCGGGTTGCCACCTCTTGCAGCATTGCCGGAGCGACCAGCGGAATTCGACCCCAGTCAATACCGCGACAAGGATACCCTCAAAGTGGTTCAAAAAGAGCATGAACGGCAAGTTCAGGCATATGAAAGGGCAGTGCGAGACCGAAACAAATCCGTCGAAGAACGCGAAAAGCTACTGCGGAAACACGAGCGCAAGCAGCAGGGACAGGCGTCGAAGGCCATCAAGGAGCAAGAAAACCAGCAGCAAAAGCAACAGCCAGAATTAACATCCACAAAAACCCCAGAAGAATATGAGAGGCAACTGCAGCAAGAACAGAAAGCCTCCAGTGCCACACAAGAAAACGGAAAAGCGCAAAAAGATCGCAAGTTTTGTGCTCTCCCGGCTATAGATGCAAACACACGCAAGCGAGACCCAACATGGATTAGAGTATACATGGGAGGAATAGATGAGGTTACGGCACACACGTCGATGTTTAATGAGTCAGAGACCTATGCAAAACTCGTGGCAGATGTGGTTGAGAGAATCAAGACCTGGGTCGCTGAAGATGCCACCTCACGAGCAGTTCTCGCGGCCCTGGAGCAATGATTTTCTGTCCAACACCACCTTTTGATGACCAATGAGCATATGAGATACCCAAATAACTGAATGAAATTATGTGGTGCGTTATATTGTGCCTTCGCACCACTTATCCTCTGGTTACTGTCGCTCTCTGTGTGGCCTGACGAGGCTGCCAATTTTCGCGAGGCTGACATTCTCCAACAAACCCCACCACCACACCGTGATTTCGAACAGCCCACTCGTGCCACTTTTCCTCGCATGACTCAATCGCAATCTTCGGTGCACTCTTAAAATCTGCCGCAACTACCTTGATAACGGTCCTGGCTATAACAATCTGACCAAAATGGAGAATAAGGAAGCCGCATTACCGACCCATGCCAAAGATAACCCTAACGTGTCCGCCGACGGCGCACCCTCGAAGAATGCATTGAAGAAAGCGCAGAAGGAGGCAGAGAAAGCCGCAAAAAAGGCCGCAGCAAAGGCAAAAGAGGCAGAGCAGAAAGCAGCCCAACAAGCACAGGCTTCCGAGGATACGGCCAAGGACAAATATGGTACATTGCCGCAGGACGACCCCGAGATTACACATCTCAAGAAGCTGGGAGAGGAACACGTCGACAAAGAAGTCACCGTGATCGTTAGAGTCCACAACTCCAGAAGCCAAAGTGCAAAGTTGGCATTTCTCATGTTGCGCCAGCAAGGCAAAACCATTCAAGCTGTCGTTGCAGCAATAGGGGATGCTGTGTCTAGGCAAATGGTAAAATGGGCTGTGGGCGTCAACATCAACTCCTTCGTCCGCGTCTCTGGAATAGTCAAGAAGCCCAACCCTCCAGTGGCCTCTGCCTCAATCAGCGACCTCGAACTCCATGTCACAAAGATTTACCTGATAGCTTCCGCCGCCGAGCAGATCCCTATGCAAGTGAAAGATGCGGAGCGACCGCCGCCACCATCAATAACGGGGGAAGAAGAAGGACCAGCAGTCGATGCCGAGGGAGCTCCGATCGTCACGCTGAAAACCCGTCTCGACAACCGGGTGATTGATCTACAGACAGAGTGCAATCAAGCCATCTTCACCATCTCGTCGGGCGTCGAAGGACTATTCGAAGAATTCATGCGCAAGGCTGGCTCCCGCAAGTTCAACACACCTAAGCTCCTTGGCGCGGCGACAGAAGGCGGCTCTGGGGTCTTCGAAGTGAACAACTATTTTGGCAAGAGTGGATTCCTTGCTCAGTCTCCGCAGTTGCACAAGCAGATGCTTATTGCTGGGGATTGCGAGAGTGTCTTTGAGATTGGCCCGGTCTTTCGCGCGGAGAATAGCAATACGCATCGACATTTGACAGAGGTATGGCCTTCCAACTCATCCACCGTGGGAACTACTGCTAATCGTCTTTCAGTTCACCGGTCTCGATTTCGAGATGGTCTTCAATCACCACTACCATGAAGTACTAGAATTTGCTGAGAACCTCATCGTCTTCATTGTCCACGAGCTCAAGACTCGCTTCAAGGATGAAATTGCTGTCGTGCAAAAGTACTTTCCCCGTGCAGGAGACTTCCGGATCAAAGACGGCAAAGCCTTACGGTTGAAGTACTTTGAAGGGATCAAAATTCTGAGAGACGCCGGTGTCGACACCACGGAACAAGACAACTATGTCACCGATTTGACGACAGCTCAGGAGAAGAAGCTGGGACAGTTGATCAGAGAAAAGTACGACACTGATTTCTACGTGCTGGACGAGTTCCCCATGGTGGTCCGGCCTTTCTACACCAAGCCACACCCGTCCGACCCGAAATTGTCGAATTCCTACGACTTCTTCATGCGTGGTGAAGAGATCATGTCCGGCGCTCAACGTATCAACGATGCCACAGAGCTAGAGGCATCAATGAGGAGCAAAGGGGTTGATCCGAATTCAGAGGGCTTTCAAGACTACGTCAACGCCTTCAGGCAAGGGTGCCGGCCTCACGCTGGTGGCGGCTTGGGCCTGAACCGTATCGTCATGTTCTTCCTAGGGTTGGATAACGTGCGGCAGGCCACACCCTTCCCCAGAGATCCGCAGAGATTGCGGCCATAGACTTTCTTCGTTGTGTGCGAGACTTGCATCATGAAAAACTTTGCTTCACTTTCCTTCAGGAGGATGATCCCTTGAAGTGGGGAGTCCGACGCCCAATTCGTTGCGAGAACTATGTTATGTAGGATTCTGAAAACAGGCGAGAAATAGAAAACAGACAGCCACATGGCTCAGGATGACAAAGGAGGGGGGAGTGTTTAGATCAAAGGCTTTCTAGTCGGAACGGCCGAAGCCAAGTAGCTACAGAATTCCGAGACTCTTGACGAAGCACCTCCTCTCACCAGACCTATACTACAGTAGGAGGCACATGCTTGCGCCGGCCGTGGCGGAGAGAGGTGTATCACATGAACTCGAGACCCGGTAGTAGGTAATACTTGTACCAACATACCGTGTTGTGTAGCCTTGGGTGCTTGATCCGGTCCCCCCGCGCCGATGCGGGGCCCATTGAAGAGACATCAATATTTTGCCGGAAGTGTACTTGGGCGCAGGAGATTGAGCCCGTATACATAGGTACTTATAACTCATTTTCTTACAGCCAGTCCTTCTCGAAGCCCCTACCGCAGTTTTAGAGATACTCCTTGTTACCAGATCCTCGCCATTTCGTCCTCCACATCGACATCAACATGACGTACACAGGCCAAGTCCCACCCTCGCTGGCGGACAAGATCGATCCCCGCATCGTGCCTTTCTTCGAACGCTTCTACCACGTCTCCGACACGCCGAGCGCGCACGACGACTATGCGGATTCGTTCCTCCCGGACGCCGACTTCGTCATGGGCTCCAAGGGAGTCAAGGGCCGTGACCAGGTGCTAGAGCTCCGCAAGAGCCTCTGGACGGGGCCGGTTGTGACCAGGAAGCACAAGCTCGACAAGATCTTCCCGTTTGGCGAGGGGAGCCTCGAGTGCATGCTGTACGGCACGGTGGACTACGGGTTGAGGAACGGCAAACAGTTGACCATTGAGTGGTCCGCCAGGGCGGTGCTGGCGGAGCACGACGGGAAAGACTTGAGGTTCAAGTTGTATCAGGTCTATTTGGTAAGTATGTCCCAAGCGACACTCAGTGGGGATCTATCAAGCCAAAAAAAAAAAAAAAAAAAAAACATGCAATGACAAGAGAACTCGAAGCTGACGGCGGACCGCAGGATCCCGCGCCTGTTGCAGCTGCTGCGAAGGATTAGGGGTGGCGGATCAAGAAAATGAAGAATATCCATTCCACCAGCTTTGCAAGATTCCCGTGGAACACCTCTCAATCACAATCACCGTGATTCGCATAAAACACCCTCGTGCTCGAATTTATTTGTGTATCATCCCGCCATCTCGTAATATGTTCCTTTCCGACCAGGTACCCTTAATCCACCATCTTGCGTAGGTCTCGTAGGAGAAATTCTGACCGGGCTACCCTCAACCTCCGCACTCTGCGGTCGCTGACTGTCCTGGTATAGTGGTGCTGGGGAGGTACTCGTCACACTTTCATCTGCTGGGAGTTCTGACTTGTGACCCGACCATGCCGGACTCCTCATCTCTGGGTCAGACGGCCTCCGGTCCACCTGCGGTAGTGTGGGCTCCCTCATTGGTGCGGGCTCGGTGTTGTCCAGTCTCCTCTTTGCGCTTCGACGATAAGCTGTGCATAATAACCAGGCAAAAGCCAGCACTATCGCTGCTCCACATACTGCTCCAAATGCCACTCCTATCTTTTGTCCTGTGCTCAACCCAGAGGCGATTGGCGTGACTGTCGAGGTGGCAGCGGGTGCAGTGAAGGTCTGAAAAGAGCTGGAAGATGGGCGCTGAGTAGAGCTTGCTGCGGATGCTGTAGATGAGGGTGATAGAGGATCGGTTGTGCTAGTCACCGAGTCGGTCACGGATGTTGAAGTGGTGATCTCGGCGTCTGAGGGAAGAAGCGTCAAAGTCAGGGAGTGTTCAGATGAGTACGCATCAGCATCTTTCCAACTGACACTGCGGCCTACAGTTGCTGGCAAGGACATGATATTCTTGAGGACGGAGGAATCGGTAAAAGCCACGGTTCTTGATTCAACCTCGGGGCACCAGCAAGGTAAGGGTGTCGTGACTGTACTGCCTTCGTCTTCACACGCGACCCATTCATTCGAGGTGCCATTGCAGTAAACTAAGCCGGCCCACGGTTGCCCTGCGGGATTTAACGAGTGTGCGACGGACTGGACGAGGATTTCTTTTCCCTACCTTCAAAATCTCCTTTGCGAGGACAGGCAGGGTCATCATAACTAGAATCTGTGCAGCCTGCCAAGTAGGTGACGCCAACTGATCGTGGTCAGTACAAGAAATCTCAAGATAGCAAGGGGCAATTCTCACATTGACCGTTATAGCAAGCATGCGACGATAGACACATGTCCAGACTCTCACAGCATGATTTGTGGCCGAGAGCGGCATTCCCACAAGGGATGTACCTGGAATCGGCTTCCACGCCATCGTAGTAGTAACAGGTGCCATTGGAAATATCCGGGTTGTAGTCCGCCATGGCTTGCCGAGGGATGGTTGACATGAGGAGGGCGAGGGAGGTAAATAGCATAGTCCTGGAGAAGGAACGGGGCAACCCAAGGTTGTGTAACCCACAGGGGGTGTTGTTGAGAGATTGAGGCAAATGTCAAATCCAGGACCGGGTACCAGCAGTAAGAGACTCGTTTGCTGTAAGACAGATGAGGGCCGAGTGGGTGCGGTTTCCCGTAGCTGTTGAAACCAGCAATATGTACTTCCCATTAGAGGTGCGGCAGTATGTCTCAATTTTCAATTCACTTCATCTCACTTGTCATCAATCAGTCCATCGGCTTCGAAGATCCAGCAAGTCTCTTTGGCCGTAAACCTCGCCGGCAATCGTGACTATCATGTCCAAGATTACACGATGATTTCGATTTGAATCATCAATACCTTCGACAAGCTCTGCTTCTCCATGTCCATTCTCGAGAGTGGTCGTCTCTTCAGTGATATCATTTGTGCCAGCGTCTGGATTCTCATTTGGAGACTCGTTCTCAGCCTCGCCCTCTTCCTCCTCTTCCTCTTCCTCTGCCTCTGTGCCATGCCGTTCGTCTCCCACGTCTTGTAACCAAAGCGCCCTCTGCGCCAACTTTCGGATGTCTCCGATTTCCTCACTCGACAACTCCCCGCGATCTCGACACTTCCCTAGGACTGCCCACGTCCAAGCCCCAACCCTTGTTATCCTCGCCGGATCCCTCGTGTGGAGCATTTTGTGCAGCTTTTCCGAAAGAAATCTGACCAGCTCCACGATGGTGTCCGCATCCATACAAGCAACCTGTACAGGGTGAGGGTCGGTAGACACCATATGCTGCTCCCATTGCTTTTGCACCTTTCGAGTGTTCGCCGGAAATGATATGAACTGTGAAGAACGAAGGACTTCAACGGCGGAGAGAGGTGGTGGGCACCTGAGCGTGGCACGGGCCAGTCTGAAATGCGCAAGGAGCGAGTCGTAATAATGGATTTGGGCAGATGGTAGAGACGGTTTTGCTTCCACTTCCACCGACGGAAGAGTTTGTTTGAGTGCAGTGTATGCGCCGTCAAAATAATAACCTCCCTGTTCCAGCTCCTGCTTCTCTTCGAGTACATCCAGACGTGTGGCCGAAATTTGCGCAGTTATAATAGACGGGACACCTTTTGCTTCCGACCTGGGACAAACCATCAAGTATCAGCCCTTTGCCTGCCCTTAGCCCTGGAATACCAGACATTCAGCGACACGCGACTGAGATACCGACGGGGGGAGACTCACCGCACCATCCTCAAGTAATCGACTCCATCACACGCAGGCCCGTAGAACAATTCACCCCTGTCCTCCCCGAGTCCAGGAAACGCACCGACCTGGCCACTAGCCTGGTCGACGTAGGGGACTTCGTCTGCGTCCTCTTCCTCCGAATCGCTCCAGTAGTATGGCCGCTTGACGGGGGACGAGCCGTCCGGCTCCGGGGAGGATGTATTGCGGCGTTTGCGCGACATGTCTTCGGCGCGGACGCTTCAGGTCATCTTTGTGCTGGGTGAATTGAATGACTTGGTGCCGAACTATGGATGTTCATATCCTACCGAGGACGAGGTACAGAAACGCGAAATGCGCATCCATTACCTCCAAGTAATACGGGGGAGTGAATGAATGCCCGCACTTTTTATACAGTGGAGCACACCATTCTGTGGAGATTCTCAGATCTGCATACTGCCACATGCAAGTTGCGCCGCCTCTCCCCTGTTAATAAGTACTTGTAATATGCCTCGTAGATTATAGGCTACAGCTCTTCCAGAGATACTCTCTAAATCACGTACCAGGTATCTCATCATAACACAATGTCATCGACAAGTCATCGTTAGATATGGGGAGTTGAAAGTCAGAAAGAAATGTATGTCAATGTCGCTACTTCAGTTAAACAACCCCAGCGACAACCATCGCCTGCATACATCGTCTCCGATCAATTTCCTTCTTCAACATCACCAAGCAAGTTGCCACAATCATTGCCTCGTCAAGATGGCTTGTCGCTTCTTGATCAAGTATAAGTTGCCCGCCGTTCCCAGCAGAGCATTTGGAAGTACCCTCTGTCCGTGTTCCATCCGATCTGATCAGCTGCGCCAGAATGGTTCCCGACTCCTTTTGGCGTAATGCAATGATATTGACTTTCTTGCCTAGCCCATCTTTCGTGTGGGAATAGCTCCATTCAAACGAACGCCCGTCTGGAGTGGTGAAGGATGCAGATCGAGAACTCAGCTTCCCGCAGACTTTGATCTTGTCCGAATCGCCACATATCCCAGCCTGACCTTGAATGAACCTCAATTCAGGGTCTCGTTTGGGACCAAAGAAGTATGTCGTGCTTATCAAGTCGCCGAGCTTCGGGTGGCTGAGCACCGCATCCCCAGAACATCTCTTTAATCTCGTCGAGGTATATGCAACACTCCCGTCGTCATGGAAGATGTCAATGTTCATCTCCGACGAGAGACTTAGACATCGAAATACACCAATCCCACGAGCCGAAATGTGCAGAATTGTACCAGCGTGGAAGTGATCGGGGTCGAGAAGGGTGGTTGCGTACGAGGCGTCGGAAAAGAGAGAGGGAGGTGCAGATTTGGCATCAACTTCCAACGACTTCTCCGTCGAGGTGGGCACCTCATTCTTGAACTCGAAGTGTTTAGTGGTCATCCTGTTGTGGCTTTGAGGTATCTTTCCCGTGCTGAATCAAACTGCGGTCAGGACGGTCCAAATGTTTAATATTCCAATGCTCTGACAGCAGACGTGATGTGTACCTTCTGTTGAAGCCGGTGACCAGGACCTTTTATTTACCAACGTCCAACAACGATCATAGAGCTGGCTTTTGTACTAGGCTGTGTTATCGTATTCGGAATTCCACATCTGGAAAGGATTGTTGAAACCGATTGTGATTGGCCCAAATGGCGAGGCAGACTCCCAGGCGCAACGTTGCAGACAGGGCGAGTTCGTTGGGCCCCAAAGATAGAACGAGATTGTTCCGTACTCGGCTTCGCTTACAGAGATCGATCTTCATGGAACATGTCCAAAAATTGGGGTATCCTGTCAATCGATTCTTGGGTGCTTCGGACATTCCGCTGCCGAGCCACATTATTGTCGATCACTGCCGCCCGCTGCCTTCACAACCACAACATCTGGCAAATCTCTGATGTCAGTCAGTACCCCAGCGGCCGCAGCACCTTCCTCCACTTCTCTGACTAAATCCACTATTCTCATTGCGTCGACTCGTAGTGTGCCGACCTCAAAAGCGACCATCTGAATATCACTCTCGTGGCACTGATCAGGAGCTAAAGGGCCAATCCGCAACTCAGCCGTCAAGGCCATCAGATCGGTCTCTGGAGGAACAGGTTGGGCATGGTGCATGGCATACACAACGTTCTCATCGACAATTGCTTGCGCAATATCAATGTCCTCACCACATCTGGTGTGCCGCCGTTCTCTTGGGTGGAACGAGGCGGTAGATGATTTCGGCGCGTGGCGTTTAGCGAACAGCTGGGTCTGCGTCGTCTGGCGCTGGACCCGAGGTAAGGGAATGATGGCGATTTTGGCGGTCTTTGTAGAGTTATTCATGACAAGGACCTTCCACGTGAATGGCTCGCCAACTTGGACCGGAGTCATGGGGGCTGTGAAGGATATTGACAGTCCACTCCTCGAATCGGTAGCAAAGGTTGGTTGCAGGCTGGTGCTAAGGGTGGGCGCAGATGCCACTGCACCACTGTCAGGGTGAACTGGAAGGCTTGTTGGCCGATTTGGCCGTTGTATGGGTTGTGAAGGAGGGCCAAAGGATGGGTTTAATGCTGGAGTAAAATCGACATTGGTAGTCCAATTCATGACGAGAACTGGATGACATTGTTCATTCACCTGCATTGCCAATCTCAGCATAATTGATAAGACGTCAATGTTTGGGTTGGCGAATCCAAAACCAGGATGTCGATCCGGGTCCGAATTCTGATAGAGTCTGTAAAGGAATGTTACACAGTCCCCTGAGCGGGCGTGCATAGGTAGAAATCCAGGCATCAAAGACTCTGTCCGTCCGTTCTTGAGCGATAGATCAATGTGCTCAATCGTTGCATCCACTCGCACAAATGGAATGATGTCTATGTCTAGCAAAGCAACAGTGGTGGGCGCAGTGGTAAAGGTGTTCACCTTTTGATACCGGATTCGTGACATTGTCGCAGGGACTGCCCTATGCCGCCTTGATGGGACGTGTTGGAGATGAACACGGTGCTTGTGTGTTGCCGTCATGGGAAGGACTCGTTCCAGTCTCGAAGCAGCAAGATACGGAGGATTCTGCCTCCACCCGGGGAGAAAGCGCATGGGTTCAAGTACATTTGCTTCCAGAGGTCGAAAGGGTGCGAGATCGTCATTCTTGTCGGTTTCATCCCGCTGAGGAGCGGTGATTGTCGCGGAAGGGATCAGGATGATGGCAGGCTGAGGTAGGCGAAATCTGGGCCGATTGAGAGAAATTTCAATTTCCCAGACAAGAGTTAAAGTCTGACCGCTGGTTGTGGTCTCACTCGCCAGGACCATGGGTTCGTTCTTCTGGATTGCTTCGGCCGTATACACGAGGTCTTTGGGAGGAGCTGCTCCGGAGGCATTTTGTTCATTCCCAGGAGACTCCTCGACGGCCCACACATCGATCTTGAAGGAGAGCTGTGAGAGAAATGACTTCAAGACATCTTCGTCGCAATGAGGCAGCCGTATGGCTGCTAGTGTCCTCAATCTTTCATCTGATCTGGGCATGAGTAAGACAGAATTCCTCAGATGAATAGCGCCAAACATACCAAAAAAGAGCAAGTCTCGTTCCTTGATGGCGAGAAGTTGATTAGAGTCACTGTGAGCCTCCGCTCCTGCTTGTAGAATTTCCGAGATCTCGGACACTGTGTCTTCAGGGATAATGGCATCCACCAAGGCTGATTTGAAGAGTTCAGCTTCCATATTGGGAGGTCGACCGGAGAAGGCGCTTGACAGACATGTCGTGCTTGTGACTACTCAATGGCACATAGTCTCCATGAGAACGTGAGTTGTTCTGCCCGGAAGAGTGGTGCTTGACTGATGTTTGTAGTGTGTCGTGCCATAGGAAGAACGATGAGGTTGACCAGTGACTGCGCATGGTGCTCAGTGCGGAGACAATGAGCAGCTTATGTAATGCTGCCCTTTGGTTTTTTCCGCTATTCACAACTCCCTCCCGTTTCCCAATAACACACAGCTCTTCTTCCCGCTGCCAATGTCCAGGTTGGCCCTGTCGCTCCTTACTCACATCGTCACTATATTTTATCGCATGACGGATCATCATACTTGAGGCGCGAAAATGAACGGTCTTCCACCAACACCGGGACAATGGCGAGAGGCGCGTGCCCCCGACGGCCGCACCTACTACTACCACACTGTTACAAAGGAGACGAAATGGACCAAACCCGCCGAAATGATGACACCACTGGAAAAAGCGCTGTCTACCCAGCCATGGAAAGAATACACCACCCCCGAAGGCCGGAAGTATTACTCCAATTCCGAGACCAAGCAGACTGTATGGGAGATGCCGCAACAGTATCGAGATGCTCTGAATTCTGTCCAGCTCCCTCCGAAGCCAACTCAGCAAACCCCTGCCTTTGTCGCCGGCGGATCTACTGCACTTGCATCCTACCGCGAACGAGACGATCACATGCCCTACGATGCGAAACCTCGACCAGAGAGCGCACTCTCGGTGCCAGCCATCACAAAGGAAGTAGTGCCGGATTATTCCAGCTTTGAAGAGGCGGAAGCTGCATTTATGAAACTATTGCGACGATCAAATGTCCAGCCCGATTGGACTTGGGAGCAGACGATGCGCGCGACTATCAGAGATCCTCAGTATAGAGCCTTGAAAGACCCCAAGGACAGGAAGGCTGCTTTCGAGAAATATGCGGTCGAGGTTCGGCAACAAGAACGGGAAAAGGCCAAAGAAAGGCTGGCTAAGCTACGCGCAGATTTCGGTAACATGTTGAGAACACACCCCGAGATCAAGCACTACAGTCGATGGAAAACTATCCGGCCCATCATCGAGGGGGAGACCGTGTTCCGATCCACTGACAATGAGGATGAGCGTAAGCAACTTTTCGAAGAATACATTATCGAGCTTAAGAAACAGCATATCGAGCAGGAAGCCGCCACTCGCAAATCAGCCCTGGATGATCTGGTTGCTATTCTCAAAGCCCTCGACTTAGAACCCTACACCCGATGGGCGCAGGCCCAGGAGATGCTACAGTCGAATGAGAGGATACAGTCGGATGAGAAATTCAAGCTTCTGAGTAAGTCAGATGTTTTGACGGCTTTTGAGAACCATATCAAATCTCTCGAAAGGACTTTCAATGATGCACGTCAGCAGCAAAAAGCCAGCAAAGCAAGACGCGAAAGACAAAACCGCGATAGATTCGTGGAACTACTCCAAAGTTTGCGAAGTCAAGGCAAGATCAAGGCGGGCACCAAGTGGATGACTATACTACCCGAAATCGAAAACGACCCGAGGTATGTTGCAATGTTGGGTCAAGCCGGCTCAACGCCCTTGGATCTGTTCTGGGACATGGTTGAGGAGGAAGAAAGGGCTTTACGGGGGAGGAGGAACGATGTGTATGATGTCCTTGAGGTACGCTGCAGAGAGCCTTTCTATTTGCGCTACCGCTGCTAACTACGTGCAGGACAAACGATATGAAGTCACACCTAGAACTTCCTTCGACGAGTTTCTTGATGTCATGCTTGCTGATCGACGAACAGCCAATATCGATCGAGACGCCCTGCAGCTCATTTTCCAACGTCTACATGACAAGGTGGTGCGCAGAAGCGAGGATGAAAAGCACGCTGCTGACCGCCATCAGCGTCGTGCTGTGGATGCGCTGCGCTCCAGAATCAAGCATCTAGAACCTCCGATCCGTATTTCTGACTCTTGGGAGGATGTCAAATCACGAGTGGAGAAGACAGATGAGTATCATGCCGTTGAAAGTGAAGAACTGAGGAAGTCTGCCTTCGAAAAGGTGGTCAAGCGGCTGAAGGAAAAGGAGGAAGACGCTGACAAGGACCGAGAACGACGGCATTCGAGACGAGGTGATGATCGAGAGCACCGTAACGGTCACCGAGGCGAGACCAGATACGGCCGGCTCTCGAAGACTCCCGAGCCTGACGCTTACGAAGCAGATCGCCGCAAAGCCCAGGCAGCTCGGGAGAAGCAATATAGAAAGGCGAGCGGGTTCAGCCCACCACCCTCACACACTCGCGAAAGAAGAGAACGCGATGAGAGACACGGTCGCCTTGATCGCGACAGATCGCCTCCAACTCGACGCATGAGTGCTTACGAGCGTGAGCGGCGCGAGAGAGAAGAAGAACGAGAGCGTATCTATCGCACACGTGCCGAACCGCGCAGCAGCAGAGACGAACTCAACTATGGTGAAGAAGCAAGAAGCATTACGGGCAGCGATCGACGACGGAGAAGGGACGGAAGCGAGGACAGCATCGAAAGTGGACGACGTAGTGCAAAGCGGAACCGTCGAGAGAGACGGTCACGGTCTCGTGACAAGGGGAAGAGCAAGACACCCGAACCTTCATCGTCGGTCAAAAAAGACAAAGACAGTGAGATGCTGCAAGTCCCGGAGCCCAGCGGTGTGCATTCAGGAAGTGAGGAAGGAGAAATTGAAGAGGATTGAATGATGGCAAGCGAGATGTCTCTTGAGGGGTTTACACCAGGTCAGTCAGTCATGGGCTGTTTTTTTGCACCCGCCTTTCCTTGCTACTGGGGACTTACCGGCAGCCATGCATGCATGTCCTCTACTCCTTGTTCTGCATGCGCAGGATAGACGTGGGCAGCAGCAAGCTTGAGTGTTCCCCCGTCGGATAGAGAGACCACTTGGAGGTAAAAGCTTCAGCAGCAGGTTGTCCCGTTCATCGCCCGCGACGTCGAGGAACTCCGCATACTTGTTAGGTACGTAGAGCCCTGCGTCCCAGGCTTCTAATCATAAAAATCCCAGTGTGTGTGCATGCGTGTGTCTGTCTGCCTGTCTATCGTCCTTTCGAAGATGCAGTGGCATCGTGGCAACAGTCATTCATGTATTACATCTGGCTACCTTCGTCCATATCCCATGTTCTTGCTTGCTTGGAATCTTACGAGAGAACGAGCAGAAAAGCAGTCAGTGGGGGGCGATGAAATACTCATGCCATTACATTGAATTGGATCCGAGAATCTGTCTTGATTGATATCTTAGGCCCATCCATGGCAGCAACCCACAGACGACTATGGGGCGCCTTTTGCCCTCAAAATGAGCCACCAGTCTTTTATCAAGCTCGATTGAAATGCTGTTCCTCCCTTTTGATCCCAGTAGTAGTACATCTCACAAAGACACATGTGGATGGCCTTTGGACTCCGTTCAGTCGATACCACCGCTCTCAAACCTTTCCGATCGTAGAACATGGACCCCGGGACCTTCAAAATTCCATGGCGTCCCCTCCACCACTGGTCCCGTTTCTCAAAGATGCTTTCGATAGATTCAATCTCGATTGACTCTGATCTGCCATCACCTCCTCGCTGTCGTCTTCACTCTCGTCCCCGTCTATTTCAAAGTCGAAATCGCCACGCTCAATGCGACTACACCTATCCAGTATCGCCTGATATTCTTTGCGCAAGTCTTCCAGAGTGATAATCACGCGCCGTCGTTTGCTCATCTTCATCTGTTCGTCATTTTGTACATTGATATCTTCTGCGCTCGTCTGGCCCCGATTCGCCGCCGTGCTGTCCTCAGTTTCCGCGAGAATATACGCCTCGTCCGGTGCCATGCACGCCATAAGATTGATGAGAGCAAGCAAGACGTGTCTCAATGCTGTGGCCTTTGGATCATGTCGAGCCCGACCAGATTTGCGGATTAATTTCAGTCGGTCGTAAAGGACTGTAACAGCACCACGATAGTCGTGTTGGGAGATGCGTAGAGCGTGCATGACGCTGAGGTAGTCGACTTTGCCATTGCCTGAAGCCAGGCTGGATGCCATCTGAGATTTTGCAAGGGATACAAGGTGTGACTCCATGTGTCGGGTAAGCTGAGGATACATGGCCCAGGGGAGAGATCGAATGGTCCGTACCACGCCTTCGGGTCCGAAGACAGATCCACTCGAACTCAATATCGAGTTGATCAGGGACGTCACTGACGATCGCTGCAATGCTTCGTCAGGCAGCTGAACCACGGCGTTGTAGGCGCGATCGAACCTAGATAGCTTGAGCTCTGCGGTGACCAATCTGGACAAGACTTCGGTACGGAAACTTGGAGTTGGCTCCTGCCCGGCGTGCAGCGATTCTAATGTCAGATGAGCAAACCGAGCTGCTTCGTTGTAAGCTTTCGCAGATTCAAAAATTGTTGTGATATGATGTAAGTAGACGGGCAGGCCGTTGTTGAAACACTCGGCTTCTATCGCCGACAGGAGACCTGCTGAAAGGGCAACCAGATTTCCAACCGCTTTGCCGCATGCCAGGCCATATGATGCTTTCTGAAAATAATGTGCTGCCACATCGTGCTCGCCTTTCGCAGTAGCCAACCGTCCTTTCACGTAGCTTGACCAGGATGTCGAAGGCTGGTACTGTAAAAACTCTGTGGCAAGGTCGAGTTGGCCTTGAACAAGCAGATCGCATTGAAGGTAGACTGCACCTTCTTCTGGATCCAGTGTATCTTTTCCAGAAGCCCAGTCGTCAATCTCCGACAACTGGTCTGTGATCATATACATCAATGGTTTCTCCACCGCAGGCTGTGGTCGAACAGCTTTGCTTAATGTGTCCTCCATTATGGTTACCTGTCTCTTGTTGGCAGTCACGATATCAGAGCGTCGGCGGGAGGCATTTGGGTGTCCATCAGTGCCGAGTATCTCTAATGGGACCAAGCGTGAGTGCGATGCCAGCCACAGATTGCGGTTGCACAGCCGGAGAAGGGGTGCGATCTGTTCATGTAGTTCCGACGCGTCAAATATCGTCGATTTCGCCTCCTCTTGGCTCAACTCGCCTTCCACAAAAACCGCCAGAGCAAGAAGATCCATGAGCACTTGTTTTTGGGAAGGAAAGAAGTCGAGCACACCAGCAGACAAGAGAAGATTCCCAAAAAGGGTATTTCTCAAGGCGCTTTTTGCTCTTCTGCTCTTGAGCGGAAACAGCTCTAATACCCCAAGGAAAAGCTCGTTGTTCAGACCAGAGATGCCGCCCATCGGAGAGAGATCAGACTGGAGTCTTTCAAAGGTTTCGTTCGATATGGCATCGCCAAATCCTGTACTATCATAAATGTTCAACATTCGTGTCGGACTTACATAATCAGCGCCAATCGATATGTCTTCTTCGATCGCATCCACAAGATCTTGAGCAAGATCGGAAGAAAACGATTCCCTGAACGTCCGTGCCGCAGAGATGAGGATGGCCAGGTCAAGGAAGGGTTCTCCGTCGTCAGTGCTGACTTTCCGATGGGGCCATAATCGAGCAGTAGTGTCCTCAAGATCTTGTATGTCGCTGAGTGCGTTCTGCTGGAGTAGTTCAAACTTGCTGCATTCTCGAATAGCACAGCACTTGTCTGCCATGGTAATCCACGCCATCTCGCTGAAAGCATCGTAGGCCAAGGCTAGTGAAGCGTTGCGGTCGTCGTTGAAATTTTCCACAATCCTGTAGAAATTGCGCCATTGTGTATCAGTGTCGATACAGAACCGGTCAAAGTCCATCTCTGAGTCACCATACTTCCGAAGTGAAATGTTGGCCGCTACAGTGGTACACATTCGCTGTCTCAGAGGAGCTTCCTTCTGCGAAGTGGTCAACTTTGTCGAAGTCGCATCCTCATATATCGATAACGCCGTGTCAAGGGCAGCTTCTGAGTAGCGACCGAGATGGAAGAAGAAATCCAACCACTTGGAAGACGGATCTTGCTGGTCACCTCTGACAAACTCTGGAGGGACAGTCTTCGTGGACACTCTTGCATTACATTTGACCCAGTTTGACTTCCATGAGCTTGCCAAGCTGCCCAATTCCAGTTGACAATTGTAAAGCTGGTGGTAGTTGTGATTCCGCCAGAGTACCCAGAGCTGAGTAGACCTGCGATCGGTGCCAGGATCGAGCTTGAATCCGATCATGGACCAGACAGTGTTTCCCGACGGATCCGGGTCTGGGGCGCTTAGTCTCGTTCCTGGATATCTGTCGTCAACGATAAGGTTGTCTGTGAGGCTCCCCTTGATATCCCAGAATTTGAACTGCCCTCCCTCTTGGGGACTGTAAGTCAACACGGTGGGAAACTTCTGCGCTTCGTCTTCTCTAAACACTTGCAAGAGGGCATCTTCTGCTGGGTTCAAATGGGTTCTATCGTTGGGATCCCGTGTCACGCCCACCAGGTCTTTCGTAGCAACAATTCTCCCATTGTTGAGGTTCCAAATTCTCAACGTGTGGTTGAGGCACACTGTGAAGAGGAGATCACCATCGGCTGAAATGGCCATAGTCTGGGCTGTTCTTGAGTCCAGCTGGGTTGAACCAAACTCGATCGCATGATAACCCCGGCGACTGACGAGCCCTCGGATCGATGCGCCCCATGACCGGTCGTCGTAGTTATCCTGTTCCCAGCCGTCCTGTACAGACCTTCTCTTCAACCGCTGTAACCTTCCGCTAGCAAAGGATATTACCACAACCAAAGGAGTATGGGCATGTATACGATAGACTGTATCGATGCCTAGGGCGGAGCTTTCGAGTGGCTGGCACCATTGAGGGAGGTTTTCGCTTTGCAGGACACGCGGGTCGCGGAAGGCACTCGTTGGCAGGCGCAGGTTGAAGATCTCGTTTTTGTCGGTGCAAACAAAGACGCTGATCTCGTCGAGACCCTCCAGGTCTGCAAAGGTAACGCCTCGAGGGATGATCGGATCCTGGAACTCAAACCGGACGGTAAAGTAGGCCTCGTTGATATCGCCCTCGCTTCTTGCAAAATCCGCGCACTGCACGAGCAATACCCTTCCATTGTTTACCACCTTCCAGTAGAACGACCGCGGATATGTTTTTGACGCGCGGAAATATATCGAACTTTGCGAGGCTAGGATATGGGAGGCATAGGAGTGTTGATCTTTGCTCCAGGCCCTGGTATTCTCAGTGCGGATGGAAGCAGATTTGGGTTTTTCGAACGAGCCATTCTTTCTCGGAACTTGGAGGCGTACCACTGAGTCTGGGGTCGCCGAAGTCACCTGGAACGCTGTCTCGGTGTAAAGATTGAGCATGGCTGCAGCTGTTTGTCTGAGAGTCGCATCTGTTAAAGGAACATTGTTGTGGGGCACGAAAGAACGGAACGGCGTCCGGGTGCCAAGGTGTTCACGGTCTACCTCGTACATGGTCTGGCACGCGTGCAAGTTACGCGCGCAGCTCACTCCTCTCCTGGACTAGTGTGATGCTGCCCTACGATCTCGGCTTACCTTCAGCACGCTGATGCTCTCATCACGCTCGCTATCACCAAAGCCCAGGTGGTACTCTGCATATGCTTTCTTCGAGATTGTAGTTTTCAGCCCCCCCCGACGCGCCATCCCCTCGGTCAAGTGCTCTCGCTGGTTGGCTGATCATGCTCGAGATATCATAAGTTCGCAGTCGCCTCGACAAGCTACAAGCCAATGCAATTGGGTCACAGGGAGCAGGCACTGTTCAATCGCTTCGCTTCAGAGCACGCGAGGGTGTCAGTGAGGCCGAACATGGTCACATTTCGTCGCATGCGGCTGAGGGACACTTTGCAAAGGAAGCACTTTGTGGGAGCATTACATATGTAGTATTGCTCCGTAGTCAACTTCTCTCACATTCATAACTATTCGTAAAGGATATCGATCAGTTTGGCGGAGACGCATAGACTCGTCCTTTACAGGGTCTGTTCGACACCCGTTTCGATACCTCCCACTTATCACGGAAGCCCTATGTGTTGTGACACCTTTCGTAGCGCGATTCGTGACACCTTGATACCAAAAAAAAAAAAAAGCAGAGAAGTCGAGAAGCCTTAGTCGCTGAAATCAGTGAGTTTAGTAGGAAAACAAAACGGAACACTGACCAAAACTGACTGAGACCACCAAAAAAAAGAAAACCATCCCAGGGCAAAAAGAAAACTCCCCGACAGGGAATCGAACCCTGGTCTCCCGCGCTCGTTATCTGTGATGACAAGCGGAAACTGTTTGAATGTTAGATGATGTTGCAAGTGCTAGTTGCTCGGATGTGATTGACTTACTCATGACCACTAGACCATCGAGGAATCACTTGTTTGATTGTTGAGAACAAATGCGAAACATAATAATATATACCTAAAAAATATTTGTGGAGCTACGTACCCAAGACATGCAGCATTTTCTGACCAAAAGACACCCCACAAATTTAAGCATATGCCCATCGGGTGTTAAGCCTTGCAGATACTATAGAATGAATACGATTTTGCTGAGTCTCAGATCAATCCAAGGAATTCTCGATTGCTTCCTGCCCTGTTCCCTCACACAATCTCCTCATGACTAGCCACGTGCGCTACAAAGCGAAGCTATGTACCGGGTACAGTGATCTTTCTACAACCAGCGAGCTTATCTAAGCGAACTCTTAATCAGCGCCTGGGTGGCGCCATCTATCGAGTCTCGCCTCTATGAGCATACATACTTGATAATCAGCCTGAAGCCCCAACCACTTTTGTGTGTATTTCTCCCCATGGAAAGGCATTAGCCTACAGAACTATCCATACCATGAAAGACGGCGTAAGATTTTCCTTGCCATTCGGGTCAGCCTCCATGACGGACCGGGGTTTGTGAAATCGCAAAATGAGGATAACGGAAAATATTACTAAATTAAAATACTCCGTGCCCTCGTGCTCCACGACACACAGCAATTCATCTGGAATGCTGCCAATAATCACACTTTCCAACCTCCAAGTATATTGCTCCTACTTCGCGGATGGCTACAATTCCTCAAGCACGTCCTTTCCAGATGGGTTGACTATGTGGCTCGCTCCCAGCATATCAATTCTCGGAGAGATCAAGGCGAAGCACTCCAGTACTGATCGGGGCATTGTACGTACGAACAAACACTTGGATTGCTACACATTTCAGCAAAGCAATCGATGCTTGGTGGAAGGCCAAGACAGACCGCCGGGCAGATTTTAATACTTTCCTTGAATCATCGAGCGATTGGAAGAAGGTTGAATGCGTTCTGAATCTTCGTGTGGTCTTGTTCATTTCATTTCGTACATAGGTATAAACTCGGTAGATACGCCGAACTCCAATAGCCATCCCGGAGTACAACCACATCTCAAATCACATCGTTAGTTTGGTCTTTCTAAATCCTCGTCCGTCGTCTACCACCAGTCGCCTTGGTCTCTCATCGCTGCCGCGACCTTGGTAAATCCAGCGATGTTGCTGCCGGCCATCAAGCTGGGGAATTCGTCCTCCTTTGGTGTAACATACGTCTTGGCGGTCTGCAGGCCGTTCTCGAAGCAGTTCTTCATGATGGACTTGAGCTTCTCGTCCACCTCTTCCGCCGTCCACTTGATGCGTGCAGAGTTCTGGGCCATTTCGAGACCTGAGACCGCCACACCACCTGCATTGGCAGCCTTTCCGGGGGCATACCACACCCACTTCTCCTTTTTGAAGTTCCTCTGAGCCTCAAACGCGTCGATCGCAGCCTTTGTGCAGCCCATGTTGCTGCCTTCAGCCACAAATTTGCATCCGGCTGCGATGAGACCCTCAGCCTCCTCACCAGATACTTCGTTTTGCGTCGCCGAAGGAAGGGCCACATCGACTTGTCCCACGTGCAACCACGGTCGCGCACCGTCGATGTATTTGACCTTGCTGCTGAATGTGGAGGTCTCAGCGACCTCGGACAGCTGTTTCCGGTCGACCTTGAGTTTCGCAATGATTTCAATCATCTCTGGGTCGATGCCCTGTGGCGTGGTGGCGATGATGGCTCCTTTGCTGTCACTGAGGGAGACGACAGTCCCACCTAGCTCAATCACTTTCAGGGCAGCATATTGCGCCACATTGCCGGAGCCGGAGATGGCGACTCTTTTGCCTGCGAACGACTCGGTGCCACCAGAGGCATACTTGATCATGTGCTCAACATACTGGTTCGGTCAGTCCAACGCAACTCGCTAGGTTGAAGGAGGTCTCACATAGACAACACCATAACCTGTGGCCTCTGGTCGGATGAGAGAGCCGCCCCAAGTACCTGCAACTTGTCAGAAATTGTGTCTTGTCAGGAAGATACATTGTAAACTTGCCTCCTTTTCCAGTCAAAACGCCTTCCCACGTCTTGGTCTGTTTCTTATATTGCCCAAACAGCCACCCGATTTCCCGTCCGGATACACCGATGTCGCCCGCTGTGCACATAGTCAGCCTACCGAATACAGCAAGTGGTCGCGTGGGGCATACCAGGAACATCGATGTCGGCACCAATGTGCTTTCCGAGCTCGCTCATGAAAGACGCACAGAACCTGCGGATCTCATTGTCTGATTTGCCCTTGGGATCGAAATCCGAGCCACCTTTTCCACCTCCCATGTTCAAACCCGTGAGGGCATTTTTGAAGATCTGCTCGAACCCCAAAAACTTCAGGACCGAAAGGTTCACGGTAGGATGAAATCGGAGGCCGCCTTTGTAGGGACCAAGCGCGGAGTTGAACTGTACACGGTATCCCCGGTTCACTTGGAGTTCGCCCTTGTCGTCTTCCCACACCACTCGAAATTGTATTATGCGTTCAGGGATGGAGCAGACCTTGAGGGCTGTCTTGTACTCTGGGTTCTTCTCAAAGAGCGACGAATTCTCGAGGCTGGAAACGAGTTCATGGTACGCTTGCTCAAATTCAGGCTCGGAAGGAAGATTGGTCATGTTGTCAGGTTGAGAGTTCAAACGGCAGAGATCAGCAAACAAGTAGAGTGAAATGGGGATTTGAAGAAAAGCTTGGGTTGGAAGTAGAAGCAAGAGTGGAAGTGGGTGAAAGAAAAATGGCCACAATATAACGGCCAGCAAGGTGAGTCTACAGGAAGTTCCCGCTCAGCTTGATTTGAGCGTTTTCTGTAGTCTATAACTGCAGCTCATCACCTTGGCAGGAGAAAAAAAAAAATCCATCAGTACGTCAATCCGAACGGTGACGGCAAGGCCTTTGCACATCCATGTTGCAGGTGAAGCTAGTAGGACGATGATTCTGCATTCTGCCCTAGTTTATCTGAACCCTCAGGAGAGAGGTGAGTCTCGAACACGTCGTATCAACAAGCTGTTTGTCAAGTTGGTGTTGACAAAATTCGTAAATGAAAGTGCGCGCATTCATTGGTTCGATAAGGGAGAGCTTGTTGATACTCGTTACTTTATAGAAGTGAAGTATGGTGGGGACTGGGGATGGAGAGTCAGGCACTCAGGGCACCTCGAACGGGCGGGGCCAACAGTGCGCCACCGGCGAGGAATCGGGGGTGGCATACAGTTCCGAGGCATGTCGGGGGTCTCCAAGCGTGACAGGTAAGCTACAGGCACCCAGGCTATAGACCAGTAGCTCCGGGAGCAGGTGACTCTGGCGAATCTGCACCACCTGGAGAAGCAATAATGACGAACGTCCTGCAGCTTTCAAGTTCTAATTACCAGGGCCCAAATCCTATCCACGCACCTTATCGAAGCCCCCCTCTTGCCCCTCCTCTTCCGCCTCTTGACTCTTTAAGCGGTGGAGTGCAGGGGCTGGGCGGCTGGTCCTACTTGATCCGATGTCGCTCTACATTGCTTGCTGTGCCTTTGCTGGGCTCCTCCCCCAAAGCTTCGTCGGATGCAGCAACCCTAACGTATCCACCTTCAGGCATCAGAACCGTCAGAAGCAATACCCCTCGCTAAGATTGCCTGTAGCATCTGGAAGCAATGTTTCTCGCTCACGCTAGATACCTACTTGTAACGAACCCGCTGACGAAGGAAAAAAAAAAAATAGTTACCCCTGTCCATGCTAAAGATTTTTTTCTCCACGAAGCCGGGGTACCATTCGCGCTGGGGCACGTGAAGCAGAAAATTCTTTCTCGACTACCACCCATCTCTCGTTCTAAGGAACACAATACTTTCAGAGATACTTGGATGTCAAACCTCTCAGGGTCAGGTGGAACGATGCACTTGGTGGCACCAGGGTGGAGAGGTACAGAGGCAAATACAAGAGGATGAACCCGGGTTCGGAGGGCTTCTCACCGCCCCGGGGCCTTGGATGTCCCACCCTTGACTCATAGAAACTCCCTGCACCAAATACCAGGACGACAAAAAGCAATTGCTTTTGAGCCAGAGACTTTGCAGCCCAGTTTGCTGCTTGGCCGGGTGAAATGCCATTCGATTGACCCTTTGTGTATCTCGTTCTTTTCCCTTGGCCGGAGATATACCACTTCGCCGTATCTAAAATGGCTAGAGAAACAGCCAACTTTTCCATAACGCCCGTCCGGCTTCCACGCGACTTGACAGATACCATCTCCCTCTTTTACGCCTATGCCGAGTCTTTGGGCTTCGACTTATCTTTCCAAAACTTTGACAACGAAATGGCCGGAATGCCGGGAAAGTATTCCCCTCCTCAAGGAGAACTGCTCTTGGCTCGGAATGAGGCTGAGGTGGCAATCGGATGTGTTGGGCTGCGGCCTCTTCCCTCTGCTGGCCTGGGAGGCAAGGTCTGCGAGATGAAGCGCCTCTATGTCACGCCAGCAGGGCGAGGGACTGGGGTCGGCAAAGCCCTGGCCTCCGACATCATCGCTATAGCTGAGAAGCTTGGATATGATGAAGTGAGGCTAGACACCCTGCCTAGCATGACCACCGCGTTGGGTATGTACCGCAACTTCGGGTTCGAAAATATTCCCGCGTATTATGAGACACCGCTGGAAGGCACTCATTTCCTCCGCCTGAAGTTCCCAAGGCAGGCGAAATGACGGACCCAAGCCGCAGATAGGAACGATTGATCGCACAGACATGACTTTGCCGGTCGTGACCCACCTCGACAGCGGAATATCGTTGATAATTCAGTACCAACCACGGTCCGGACGACATCGAATGCACTATCGCAATACATGAGGGTGTTTTTGTTCCCATTTCTTCACAGCATTGAGAGCAGCCGTGATTTTCAGACCAAGTCGGGCGTCGAGCTCGTACTTCTCCCATCCTCTCGCCTTTTCTAGGTGGTGTTTTGCTTCTTGAATCAGTTTTGCATCATGAGTAAGATCAACCGGAGGTGTCTCCTCCTTGGGATCTCGAATGAATGTGGCTCCATGTTGCTGAGTGTACGCTGTCCTCTGCATCCACAGATTAACTGCCATCTCATGATGTGCCGTTGGAGCCATCCAGTCGTCTTTATTCGAACCCCTGAACTCATGAGCACCTTGAGTCAACAATTTTCTTTTCAACAAGCTCTTTGATTCTTCATGCCGGCGGAGATTTCTGAAGATGACAGCCCTTAGGATGTCGAGGATCGCGTACTCGTCGACATCTTCCTTGCTCCAGTTGGGTGTGCTTTCAGACCATTCAAGATTGTCCAAGGACTTCTGCAGCAGCCGCTCGTCCATTTTCTTGAAACCATTCCACAGGAAGATCATCTCATCGAGTGGACTGACCCCAATAGCGTCGACGAAATCGCAACTCCACCGAGATGCTCGCTCCTCCCATTTCGTGATCTTCCGTACCACGAAGATGTCGAATGGCAGCTGCCTACCCATCATCTTTTTCTTCCCGACCTTAGTTGGAGCTGTTTTAAACATTTCTTCGGCGAGCTTTGCATGCTTTTCCCTGTCACTGCTGGACAGGGTTTTGTCATGGCGGTAGAAGCAAAGGTGGGCGGCCCCGGCAATGTAGTAATACAAAGCGCGAGACCACGCGTTGAGGTCCACGCACGCCAATATAGAGTCCGCACACAATTGGTATCTGTGGGCATGCATGGCGCTCAAACTCTTTTCAAACATGTGCAGCGCTTCGATCTGCTTCAGTTGACTCTTGCCGGGGTTCGCGAGAATGGCCAAGGCTTGATCGAGGTTTCGTTTCGAGGCCTCTGTTCTTGCTTCCTCCACGACCCAGAGTTTGCTGTTGGGATACCTTTTCCGCATCTCGACCAGGAGTGTCTCGAGGCGTTTTGTGGGGTATGCCTCGACGTCGTCTGGTTTGGAGGGATCCGCGTCCGCAACGATATCGCAAAAGCCAACCAGCCCGTTGTACCAACCGAACAAAATTAAACTCGCCATCCCGCCATTTATGTTTGGAAATTTACTAGCCTGCCACAGCATTCGGATGCCTCGTTCTCGATCCCCGCGGAATCCGACGATATAGAGGAGTTTGCTGAACGCTGGCGGTATGATGGAGATGAGAAGCGCCAATAAGCCTGACATGAGGTTGGTGCCCGAGTGGATGAAGACGTCTAGGGAGTTGCTGAATACGTCTGACTCAGGTCCTTCTGTGAGCAAGCCTAGGGTCACTGTTGTCGATCGGCTCAAGGCTTCTTCTGGAAGGTGTTCATTTATTTTCTCTATTTCCAGTTCCAGTTCCGTGGCGTGGTCCGATTCCACGTCTACCTCCATGTTGCCGATGTACTTGTCTGTGACTGCGTTGGTCTCATCTGCTTCGTGGAATTCGTCATCGGAATCACTGTCTGGCGTCGCATCAACGGGTTCAGCATTCCTCAGAGCAGATGGTTGAGCAGGTTGGACTTGGTGATGAGGATGGGGTTCTGAGGTCAATGGGGCCGACTTCCCAGAGATGGACGAGGGCAAACTTTCGGTCGACTGGTCTCTTGAGACTGCCAGATTGCTCTTCGACCGATTGCGGTTGAAGTTGATTTCCATTTGCACAAGGCTGTCAAGGGTAATATATGCTTTGCGGAGTTTATAGAACCCTCGCAGAGACTCGGTCAGACTTTCATTGAGCACACCAACCACAGCAGACATGATCTGGGCTTCTGCCTGGCACAATGCAAACTCTGAGCCTCTCTCATAGATGGTGGATTGGAAAGCACGCGAGTCGTGCTGGGCCCTTGTGTGGCTGGTTGAAGCACTGGATTCGGCCTCATAGAGGGTTTCCGAGGCTTCCTTCATGAATTCTTGCTCGAAGCCCAAGGCAGCCTTCATAAAGGCCAGTGTGCCTTTGGCAAGTTTGTGGAACGAAGAGTTGCCGTCGGCGAGGCCTGCTTCAGCGCCCTTGATGTCGTCGTCCATGACTCGGTCTACGGCTCGCATGGCCGTCTCTAGGTTTTGAGACTCCTCTAGCGAGTCGAGGCTGTGTGTTGAAGCATTGAGCCCGCTACGGCCGCGATCGAACCATCGTCCGACTCTGTGCATGTTGAATGTAGCAAGGGCTGAAACAGCGGGAAGGGAGGAGACTGTTGCAGGCCTCAGTCTGGCTCAGCCACCAAAGCTCCGAGGAACACAAGGCAATCTCAAACAGGGCGATATCTTAACACATCATACTGAAGTTATGAAGGATTTCAAAGTAACTGTTGACCAAATAATTTCTGTAGACGTGAATCTGTCAAGAGAAGTGAGGACAACTAGAGATAAAGGAACGTACAAGGAAGTTCCAGCCCGCGAACAAGAGTCGAGCTTATTTCTGTTCCGGCCCCAGCGTGCTGGCGAAAAGGCCCAATGGCATGTACTTTGTAAACGTGTGGTGTAAATTGAGCCGTTTGCCCTCCAAAGGATCAATGATGACGAACATCAGGCAGCATCTGTGGAGTTATTGTGTTATGCCCGTGCTGCGGCATCGCATGCCATGCTACATTTGTGCCTCTTTTGTGCGTATTGGAGGCTTGTTTTGGTCACTAGCGTCCTGTCTTTCCGAGCCCACAACAGGTGTCCAAACTGGCTAATCACAGGCGTGACTGGCTAACCTGGCATTCGAAGTAGCTTGGAGGCTGAGAGGCCAGTCTCAAACACCATCTTGCCACGGCCCACAAGCACCTCACGCATTCCCTCATTCGTTACAAACCCGAATAACCACCCACGTCGCACCTCATACACGGCCGAACTTGCTGAAGAAAAGAGCTACATCCAGTCTAACAAAGGGGAATCCGTGCCTGCGTTTTGATCCTTTGCTGTTCGCTACCAGACCACGTTACTTATTCCCTCCGCTGCCTGCGTTCACCCACGCACCACAATGTCGTCGTCTGGCTCTAACCCACCAACGACGAAAATGCAACCTACGCAGAAGACCGAAGTTGATCCAGCCCAAGCATCCAAGACAGCCTCGAATCCGCCCCCGGCCATGCTCGAGGAAGACGACGAGTTTGAAGATTTTCCAGTTGAAGGTATGAAAGCGCAGACAAACAAGGCACAATGGAAGGGGATTATGTTGACATCATTTCGAACAGACTGGTCACAAGAAGATGCAGAAGTACCTGGTGGAACTACACATCTATGGGAAGAGAGCTGGGATGACGATGATGAGAATGAAGATTTCAGCAAGCAGTTGAAGTACGTTCCAGACAATGTCCGACAGTTTTCACTGCAACGTCCCCGAGGCTGACCCTTTTCCACACAGAGAGGAGTTGAAGAAAGTCGAATCGAGCAAATAGAGCACGTTATGCGAGAGCAGCGCATTGCATGGCGTTCTGGTATCATGGACTAAAGGCATCAATGGTTAAAGATACGGCATGCTATCTTCTAGCGGTTCGTGGGTGGAGAAAACTATCATACAACAATGGACTGTCGTGTTTTTCTTTGCCCTCAGAGGTTTGGTCTCGCAGTTTCGCTTGCTTCGATACCCATCAATCGTGCGCCTGTCGTTCGTGGAGCATGTAGACTACTTACTCGACAGGGCAACCACACCTGGTAGAGCTTTGCCCTCCAGCAATTCCAAGCTCGCACCACCGCCGGTTGACACGTGGCTCAGTTTGTCTTCCACTCCATACTTCGCGGCGACAGTTGCTGTGTCACCTCCACCAATGATGACAATTTTCCCGGCCTGGGCTGCATTCACGCAAGCATCCAAGGTCTGTTTGGTGCCGTTGGCGAACTTTTCGAACTCAAAAACTCCCGGAGGTCCGTTCCACAGGATCGTCTGGGCCTCATCGATGGCTTCCTTATACAATTCGATGCTCTTTTCGCCACAGTCAAGACCCATCCATCCATCTGGGATGCCTTCAGCGTCTGTCGCGGTGCCGGTGTTTGCATCCTTGTCGAATTTGTCGGCCGTGATGTAGTCGCAGGGCAAGACGATCTTGACGTTGTTCTTTTTGGCCTTTTCCACCAGCTCGGCGCATTGTTCGCTTCCGGCTTGATCGAATAAGCTGTTACCGATCTTGACGCCCTCCAGGGTCTTCTTGAACGTGAAAGCCATACCGCCGCAAATGATCAGGATGTTGACCTTGCCAAGCAAATTGTCGATCAACTGGATCTTGTCTGAGACCTTTGCACCACCGAGAATGGCAAGGAACGGCCGCTTGGGTTTCTCGAGAGCTTGAGCAAAATAGTCGAGTTCTTTCTTCATCAAAAAGCCAGATGCTTTGTTAGGTAGCTCTACTCCGACCATGGAGCTGTGGGCTCGGTGAGCAGTGCCGAAGGCGTCGTTGATATACACATCACCCAACGCTGTCAGACCCTTCCGGAACTTGGCAACATCGTCCTTGTCGGCTTTAACTTTGTTGCCATCCTTGTCTTTAGCACTCCCTTCTTCCTCGATGTGGAAACGCAGGTTCTCGAGCAAAATAACTTGGCCGCCGCTGGCTTTGTTGACAACCTCCTCAACCTCAGGACCAACGCAGTCGTCGGTGAATATGACGCTCTTGCCCAAAAGCTTCTCGAGCTCGGGGACGACAGGTTTCAGACTATATTTGGGATTCTTCTTGCCGTCCGGACGACCGAGGTGGGACATGAGGATGACGGCTTTGGCTCCATGTTCAATGGCGTATTTGATGGTAGGTAGAGCACCGACTATTCTCTGATTGTTGGTGACCTTTCTATCGGCATCAAGCGGGACATTGAAGTCGACCTAAACACAATCAGTGCAAACACGACGCTCATGGGAACCAAACATACTCGGATCAAAACGCGCTTGTCCTTGAGGTCGATGTCAGTGATGGCGAGCTTGTTGGAGAGAGACATTTTGGACTTGGGCCGGGATAACAATGCAACAGAAGGAAGCGTGGCTCAATGTGAGAATAGAAGAGAGATAGAGAGCGAGAAGAAAATCTTTATTGAGCTACGGAGCTCTGAACAGAAAACTGAAGCACTTGGTGAACTTATTGGGAATTGTCGGAGGGGTCAACTCGGGTTGGGCTCAATACAACGGAACTGGTGGGGTGATGGAAAAAAACACGGGCGCTTTGGGGTATCAGCAACCGACGTCACAGGCTGCTCACAGGCTGCTCAATCCTCAGCCAGGGGTGGTGTTAGCAAGCAGCATCTCAGCCATTTATCGCTCGCTTGTCTAAGGCCCTGCATGTGGTTTGCAGCATTTGCTATTTTCGCCGAGAAGTGGCACCATGTGAATGATTTGAATCACTATCTGTTCAGAGATCAAATTAATTCTGGCTGGTAGGTTAACGTTTGAGATCAGTCATGGCGGGAGGACTTGTGCTGTTGTCTTTGTCACTACCCGCCAGCTTGATATATACGCAGAGTAGGTACTCTTGTACAAGTAGATGGGAAACACATCTGCGACTGCAATGAAACCACTTTCGACCACTGCCTTTTATCCAATCCCAGGTGTGAATCAGATCGGCTTGATGGAATTTGGGTTCAGCGCTGAAGGGTGGGTGAGATGGTCATGCGGACCTCCGACACTCCGTCGAACAGGCTCTCGGCGGGTCGAGGCTCTCAGGCTTTCTAGGCATCGCCTGCCATGCCTGCCACCATCTCCTGGGGAGCCTCTCCTGCAGCTCTGGCCCGAGACCTCACTAGCCCCTTGCTGCGCACCTCTCAACCACCAACCTCATCTTTTCCTTCCCTTGCGCACACAGACACGATACATCCACGACCTTTGATGGACAATAGCCAGAACCCTGATTTCCAGTAGTACAAGACAGCGTCTCCTCAAAGTTGGCTGCGCTCTTCCGACACCATCGCATCGAATTCAACGCCTGGTACTTGGTCCACTGCAGCCTGCGCCCCAGTTTAAAGACGCTGTCGTCACAGACGTCCCTCACTTCCCTTCGTTGACCTCATCTTTCCACAATATCCAAGACTCCCCTTCTGTTCGGTCTCTCACCTTCTCTTTAACTTCCCTCTCTTCACCATGCTGGACACCTCGAGACGAAAGTCGTTGGCGTGGTTGAACAGTACTTATATATATGGCCGAATCGTACGTCAACCTCTTTTTGATTCTGTACTTGACAGTTCTGTTTCCCTCTTGGTCAAGCTGACTTGTTATCTTCTAAACAGCCATTATTAAACACCATTCTTTTCCTCGTCGAGTTAGCAATGGCCGCCCGACTCGTCGCCAAATTCAACTCCTACTATGCTCAGAAGCCTGTCCTAACCACAATGATCACGAATGCGGTATGTGGATGAACCGGCAACAGTTGGATGGTGGCTGAAGGTCAAACAGATTCTTGGAGGCATTGCAGACACGGTGGCTCAATCAATAACCGCAGTTCGAGCAAGGCAAGCCATGTTGCCGACCACGACCGATTCGAGATACCTCATCTCCTCCGGCGTCGAACTCGAAGATTTGAACGAAAAGCCTGCAAGGCTCTCGCCTGGCCTTCCCCCTCGAAGCAGTGGGCCTCAATCTTTCGATTTCGAACGCCTGACTCGATTCATGTCATACGGGTTCTTGATGGCCCCAATCCAATTTCTTTGGTTTGGTCGACTCACCAAGTGGTTTCCTATCACCCCCAAAAGTGGTACCGTTCCGGCACTGAAGAGAGTTGCTATGGACCAGTTGATATTTGCACCGTTCGGTCTTTGCTGCTTCTTCACTTTCATGACGGTGGCAGAAGGAGGTGGAAGGAAAGAGGTTATGACCAAGTTCAAGGACATCTATCTACCCACGCTGAGGGCGAACTATATCCTCTGGCCTGCCGTACAGATCCTCAACTTCCGCGTCATGCCCCTGCAATTCCAGATCCCCTTTGTGAGCACTGTGGGAATTGCCTGGACCGCCTACCTCAGTTTGACGAATTCAAGTGAGGACGAAGCACAAGCTCTCCAATGAAACTATCATGCCGTACACCTTCTGTCAGCAATGAGATACCCAATGATCAGCATCAGTGGCGTTTTGAGGTGGTATGGTGATTCATAAATTGTACATGGTTCGAGCGCACGCCCACGGAATACCAACATATCCTCGTCGGCGCTTCTCGGTCTCCGTTTTGTCGGTGAGAAGGTGTCCTCTTTTTCGCTTGGGTCAGCGAACTTGCAGTGTCCCGCGTGTTTCTCGGTCACGATCGCGAGACTACATACTCAACGACTACTAGCTTCAGGGTGCAAGAAATCGATTATGCGACCTTGTCAGCTGCCTGTACTCTTGTGGCACGTTTGTCTTCGTGGCGTCCATCGTCGACATCGATATCGGCGCCAGAGGACGCCTTGACATCTTATCAAACAATGGCACTACGTTCTATCTTCCCTTCCACATGTGAGCTTCATGACTGATGAAGATCAGTCGCCCACAGTTTTTGGCTGCTTTCGTTGGTATTTTATCTCGTGATAAGATCTGCGTCCTTGGGGGTTAGCTCGGACCGCAGCACCCCTGCTACTGCCCGCCGTTGTTGCTGCATCGATCCAATTCAGAAGACAACCACCCTCGTCGCGGATAACTCTAGCTTCTGTGGCCTCAAGTATGTATCCTTCTATTTTCAACCTGGCACGTGTATCAGATCACCTTACACAGTAAGTCATCGTTCTTTTCCTCCTTCCATCTCCTTCCATCAGCAAAGAGCTGTACTGCGTTTCCGACCAAACCACCTGTCCCTAATTTTCATTGCCAGCCTCGCTACCCGTGCTCTTGTTTGCAACACTTCACATCGGTCCCAAGACAGTTTTCGCTGCTGCTGGGCGCACGGGAGAGTGTGAGACACTAAACCGAATGAACCTTTCAGAGAAGTTCAGAATCGGGTGGTGGAGATATGTGGTTGGGCAAGGGTGAGGGCCGAGGCTGCCAGTCCTGTGTGAGGACCTGCCTCACTGCCATCCCGTTTGGGACTGACTTGGCCTCGCCGCCAAACCTCCTCTCTCTTCGCCCACAGCTGTCCCGTTCCCAAGGTCCTGACCTCCTATGCCTTGTCCGGCCTGTGTTACACGCTAATCGATCGGATGCGCGTTGACAGAGTGGTGTGTCCTCTGGTAGCCTCTGGTCATGAGGCAGCTCGACCAGCTGTTTCGAAAGTTAACCGCTCACGCTGCCAAATGCCAAAACTACGCTCATCCGCAGGTTGACACTCGTGCTAAACAAATTGAGCCAAAGCTTATCGCAGCTCCCACAGAGTGCGCCCTTACAAGCATCACTGTCTCTGTTGGTAAGCCTCTTGAGCACCAAAGTTTCTCACACCTTTCCCTGGGTCGTTGTTGTCCCTCGGAGGACATCTGGTTAGCGCAAGCCTGGGTTGATGCCACAAATTCGATTTGTTGAAGAGGACGTTCTCCTTGGTGCTTCAACCAAACTCTACATCATGCACAGGAATCTCCTTCAGTATAAAAGGCTGCAGCATCCCTGCACCAGAGAGACATTGCGACCTCTCCTGGCAATTCTTCATATCTGGACTTGGACGCCGCATCATCCTTGGTCAACTTGACGAGGTTCTTCCTGCTGAGGTTGCTGCCATGAAATTGCCTTGGATTGTCTACAATGTTCTGCTGGTCGCTGTCTGCACAACATACCCCTCCTGCTTTGCACAAGGGGCCACTGTTATCACCTCATTACTGACGATAGAAACCATAATCACCAATCGGTACACATCATTGCTAGCCGCAACTGTCACTCAACCGCCAATCACAGTGACTCAGATCATATCAGCTCCGGTAGGGCCTGCGTCTACAGCGGCCTCTCTTCCTCCCCCCACCCTTCAGGTAGCTCCGGTACAACTTGCGCCTACTCCAGCCGCCAATCCTCCACCCATCGTTCAGCCAGGTTTACTAGTGCCTGCGCCTCCTGCGGCCGCTTATCCTGTGCCCGTCGTTCCGCCAGTTCAGCCGGTTCAGCCCGGCGGGAAGGTGTCGCATGGTGGTCTCAGCGTACCAAACCCATTTGATGCGGTAGGCAATATTGTTGGCGGTGCGGCGAACGCTGCTGGAGGTATTGTCGGCGGCGCAGCTAATGCTGCTGGCGGTATCGTGAAAGGTGGAGCTGGGCTTGCTGGTCAAGCTGTCGATGCTGCTGGCAATGTTGCTGGAGGTGTGGTTGGGGGAACCCATCCGCCACCGTTACCAGTGCCCCTGCCAGGGGCACCAGGGATTCCAGGAGCCCCCAGCGTTCCAGGAGTCGTGGGAGTAGGAGCCCTACCAGGGATTCCGGCAGCTCCAGGGATACCAGGCCTGCCGGCGGTTCCAGCTGTCCCTCCTGGGGAACCCGTACCGGTACCAGGCCCTGCACCTGTCCCTGTCCCTGTACCTGCCCCAGGGTCAGTGCCAGATTCCCAGGGAACTTTACCACTGACACTTCCTCTTCCTGCTCCTCCGACTCTTGGTCCTGGGGCAACAATACCGTCTGGGCTATTGACGATTCCTAGTGATACATCTGTCCCTAGCCTTACAGTTGGACCTTATGCGTCGCCTGCAGTGAGCATGTCTATCACCAAGACGTCAACGAATACTCCTTTGATATCATCGGAACCAGAGTCGGCCCCTACAGCTTCGAGGGCTGTAGTCCAAAGTTCAACTTCCTTCATGATCACTTCCAGACCAGCCCACACTACATCAGTGTCAGCAGTGATCTCTTACCTCACCGAAACTCTCACACAGCCAGGGACTCTCAATGTTGAGGTACATGGAACAGTGACGCATATTTTTCGAGGGAGTTCGTTCTTGTCACAGACTTCCGCACAATCGTCTTCGTCGTCATCATCGCATACCACGTTGTCAACTTCCACCCAGGCATCCTCAACATCCAGGGGATCTGTCTTGATCGGTCCTTCGGGTCCTCCTCGCAAATTGACCCGCACATTCGATCCCTCCCTTCCCGCACCGACGCATAGCTGTCCACGAGATGCCATCGCAGCTCTAGCACACTACCGTGACTATTGCAATAATGCCGGGGCTGACAGGACAATTCAGAAGACATACTGTGTTGGTGAGCCTAAGGTGGCATCTTGTTGCGGAGCGTGGACGCAAGGGCCTGCACAGTATAAAGGCTATGAAACTATTCGTCAACGTAAGATGGGTGAATCCCCCGACCCGAGAGCTCCTCTGGAGCAACGGCCGTTTGAATGGAATCTGCACGAAACAAGAGATGTCAGGGGTAACGTTATCAAGCGTGAGGTATGTCGTTGATTGTTCCCCATGCTATTTCCTTGCAATTTTCCTCTCCATTGGGAATATCATTCCTAGGCGAATGGTAGACTTTCTGAGACACCCTGGCCTTTGGACAATTCTATACGAGCCCCCCTTGACCAAATGGCATGCTGACAATGGTTGAAGGTGATCAAACAACTGCCGCAGGAGTTCAACCTAGATGTCAAGTCATGTCGCGTCTGGAGAACTACGGAAGACCAATTCACCTTTTACATGCAGAATTTCTTCAATTACGGTGTTTACGATGTCGACGAAACCGGGCGAGCGATTGGTACCACATATTTCTGGGAGTGGGAGCCAGAAGGTCGTTGGCCTCCTGATCCGAAGCGGCGCAGAGAAGGAACTATGGGCTCAAAGCCTAAGACAGGGAAACCGAAGTCGGGCAATGGAGGCAACACAGAGCCAGACAGTCAGCCAACCCTAGAAGATTTGATCGCTGACTATGATAAACGCAGAGAGTGGTTTAAAGAACGGCTTGGGGAGAGTGAACTACATCTTCACGGCGCAAAGGACAAGGTGGGAGAAGGATGCGCTGTACATCTCTCACCAGCCAATTTCGCATCCAAGATCGAGAAGTTTGGCATGCGCACCAACGCGTTGAATGACCATTTGCCGTCTAGGCCCTCGAAGGAGGTATGGCAGCAAAAGAGAGATCGGGATTTGGCTCGTCTCGTTTGGAAAGATTTCTTCGCACCCCTCAACGTTTGTGCTGGGACATTGGACAGCCGTCTTCCTTCTAGACCGGAGCGCTCCGAATACAACAGCGAACAGAAACGGATGGTCGCTGAAAAGAATTGGATAAATCTCTTTACTGACGAGCCACCCGAGAAATACAGAGGAACAGTTCCGAAGCCCGATCGCCCTAAATGCCCAAAGCCCGCCATGAAGAAGCTGGCTAAACTTGGAAAGGATCTAAAAGACGTGGAGAACGTGCCCAAGGAAGATGCCAAGTGGGCACTGATGGATACGTACGCTGCCGAGCTTCTGGAGCAAAAGATGTGTCGAGACCAAATACTCATGGTCCTCGCCAAACCCAGAAGGAAGGCATACTCAAGCCTCCGAGAGTGGTGGTCCGACCGGCGCAAATGGAAAAAGTACATGGCAAGGCTTGAGAAAGGAGAGGACGTTCCGCTCCCGGACCTAGAAATAGACAACCGCAGCAACGGCCAATCTCCACAGGATCAGACGACGAATGACCAGCCTAGAAGAGGTAAACTTCGCGGAAAGGATTTTCCGCGCACGAAACTCGATCCCATTCCTGAAGCTGATGAGTCGGAGCAAGGGGAGGGGCGTGCCAATGGAGACAGTCCCGCAGAAGATGAAGGAAGAGTGCCACAGAATAATGACATTCAAAATAACCGTCATCTCGGGACCATTTTCGAGGAGGACGAGGAAGACGTTGAGCGCAAGCGGCCCTCCCAAGACAACGCTGGTGGACGCAGGCCAAGAGGCAGAAATAGACAGGGCGCGGATAACATCAAGAGGTCCTTCAGGGCCTGAAAAGAATAGTGAGTCGTGGTAGAAGAGGCGGTCCTCGCTGCTCCAATTACTATTGAATTTACACAAGTACAACCTTCCATCTTGTCGAACCCTGACGAGGCTCTAGACCAAGCAACCAGTTTTCTATGGGGTTTGGTGCTATTGTTCATTGCAAACCCAAGGGCTTTGACGTAGAAAACAATGGCCCTTGACGAGCTGCAGTCACTTTTCTTTCTCTTGCTCCTCCAGCCACGAGCCAAACTTGTCCAATCTGCCGCCCTCTCCTCCTTCTTCCTCATCGTCTTCGTCGTCAAAGCTGACCTTCTTGTCGCCTGATTTCTTGAACTTCTCTCGACCTGTTGCAATGAACGCCTCTAGTTGTCTCTCATCGAACCATCTTCCATTCATTCGCTGTCCTCCTGTTAGCATCGGCCTCCAAACCAGTGTCGGAATGACATACTTGGACGCAGGCAGCTGCAGCCTGGGCATCCGAGAAACGGACACTTGCAACGCCTTCAGCTTCCTTATCGAAGAGGACAACGTTTGTGACTTGACCCAGCTTCGAACATTCCTCGCGGATGTCTTCTTTGATTTCAAGCATCGCCGCGGGATCCTCCTGCACTTCGGTCAGCTCTGCATCACCTACGTTAGCGCAAAACGCCCTACCTCTAACTCTTGGAGTGTGAACATATGCTTCAGTATTACCAGCTTGTCCCACTTGGAACTTGTATCCTGTAGCGTTTGCGGGTCGTCGTCATCCCAATCCATGAGTTTACTGCCTCTAGATCAGCCTCGGGGTCTAATTAAATGATTGGGGCAAGCATACGCCTTCATCTTCTCTGTTTTTTGGATGACCTTCTTTTGTTCTCTCTTACTTGTTTTTGGGGGGACATCCTGTTGACTCTTATATGAGAAATCTGCTGCTTGGACTCTCATCCTGCCCATTGGACCTTGCGTTCCCAATCGGAAATCTGTGTCGTCAAGCATTTGAACCGCAAGATTGACTGATTCGGGTCTGAAGTAGACCACGAGTGCGTCACCCTTGAATTGGCCCTTGTCATCCTCGTACATCTTGATTCGTGGTTTTCCAGAGTCAATCTCTTCTGCAATGACACCACATTTGGAAAAGACATGTTGGATCTCTTCTTGGTCGGCATCGAGAGGTATCGAAGTCACGTAGACGGCAGTATTGACTCGAGGCTTTTTGGACTTGTTGCCGGACTGATAACACCTGGATTAGCATCTGTTTGTGAGGTCCCTAAGGATGCGTACCTCATCGCCGTTTGGCTGTTTCCGTTTCTTCTTCTGTGAGGTGGTTGTCGCATCCTCATCGACACCTGCAACCTTGTAGATTTCGCCTTGTTGGTCCAACAGTGACTGGTCCAGCTATAACGAAAAGACAACAACATGGAGCAGGTTAGAATCTGTTCCTGACACCGTAGTGCAAGAATGTTGTGGAAATCATGGAGGGCGCGGTATATATTCTCGGAGGTCTCATGTTGCGAATTTGCCTACCACTGGTATCCATCTTTTCAGAGCAGTGTCCCATTCGAACTCGTTGCCCTCGTCGGTTTCGAGGATGAACTTGTTGTCGAGTTTCGACCAAGAGATCCGGGGGTCACTATCGAACGCGGATGGGTCGAGAGGGAGACCGGTATATATGCCCTCTGTCGAGCGATGATCTTCTTCGGCCATGTCGGCGCGGATTGCGTGCAGTATTTTCTGAATCTGAGCATCACGTCGGCCACGACCAGGGAATGATGTATGCGGTCAAACTTTGGGACAAAAGTGGCAAACAAGCCAAGGCTGTCCAAGTACAGACTTCAGCCTTGTAAAGAGAGAGTTTGCACTGACAGCCTTGCCTCCCTCGAACCAACACCCCTTGAGGCTGTACTTGGTCGATCAGCCACAGCAAATACGAAGAGATACCCTATAAAGAAGTATATACCATGACGTGAGAATTCAAGGCAACTTATGCCCTCAATTCTTGCTTACAGATCGAAAACACACAATGGATGTCGGAGACACAAACATATCAGACGAAGCATATTGGTCTGGACAAAGTTACAGGCTCAAATAACCAAAAAGGTTGGATTTGATTTGGGTATCCAACAGAGCAGCACACTTCAGGAAGACAATACGGTGACCCAGAATGGCTTTCCCCCCAAGGTCGACACTTGATAGGACGAGGTTTGAAAGCACATATTCTGTGGTTTGAGAGGCAACGCTCAATGCAGGCTGATAAAAACCTGTTTGTGAATGGATATTATTCTCCCACTATTAATGAGACTCGAAGTCTCGATCGCTCTATGTGCTTGTTAAATCTGAGCTTCGAGACCGTCGGCCTGGAAAATCATAATGGTTGTTTTGTTGTCAAATCGTTTGCTGCAATCCCTCCCGTACCTATGTCATCCCGTCATAAAAAAAAAGGGAAAGAAAACATGTCCATGAAAAGCCCGTGATACTCAACGAGCATACTCTTTCTGAACGGGGAAGCGCTTCGCAACTCTCCTGTCGACGCCGACGCAGGGCTATATCGTGCGAATTCCTTCCTCGCCGATGTCGACATCGCCACCAGAGACGCTTCGTGAGGCTCTTGGTCTGTTTGCGAGCGCGGAGTGATCCTCAACGTCCGGAGACGGCAGCGAAGAAGCACTGCTGACATCAGAGGCCTTGCGATCATGCGTCGGCCTCGACTCCCGCCGATCAATAGGGGAAATTGCCCTGTCGAAGCCTGAGATGTGCTCATTCCCCAGTGCCATTTCGCCCTCGGGAATGGGCGCAAAACCAGCGCTTGCGACGCCTACTGAGGTGGTGTTTGGTGATGCAGGAGAGTTGGAATCGCCGGATTGTGAGACCGAAGAGGAGCCCGTAGGCCTGTTCTGGCCACCGCTGACGAAACTAGGCGGGTACATGGTCATATTGCGAATATCATAATTGATGTCATCAGGACGCGTGATTCGAGAAGACCCATGAACCTCGTGCACCTCAGTGTTTGGGCCTTCGACCGGGCCCTCGTATTCACCTCTTGGTGACCGCACAGGCGTGGATGACGACCAGCGGTCCGGGTTACTTCCCGGGTCTTTGCTGAGAAAATACTCCGCCGGAAGTTCATGAGGAGCTGTTTGGATCATGGGTGTTGGAGAATGGGGACGTTCAACCTCAGTGACCGATGACTCAGTTCCAATGTCTTTGCCAGGCACAGCTGAAGACGTCGAACGTATCCAAGACAAGATACCGCTCTTCCTATTATGCGCATAAGAATCCTCTTGCTTTCGTTGGTCCCTTCTTGCCCTTCGGCAGCAGAAGAAGATGAGACCAGCAAAGAAAGCAACGCCAACCACAACGGGGACCGTGACAGCAACTGGGACAACCCAGTCCCTGTCCTTGTGTGATGACGGACTCTCGGTGGGCGTGGCAGTAGGGGTATTCGTTGAAGTGCTAGTGGTTGCATTGTAGGGTGCCCACGTTCTGATCAGGTCCTTGTTATATGCCTTGTCGAACCAGCCGGCAACTAGAGAAGGCATCCCGCTGGCAGTCGGCGTTGCAGAGATGACACTGGCCACAGTCGCAGCGGGTTTGTAATCATCATGAACTTCGGGATCGTATTTACCTGTCCAGGTCAGGTCGTTCAGATTGAAGACGTCGACACTGTTGTTGCTGTCCAGCCCGGCGCCAAAGTCTCCGGTTCCGCCAATAACCATCATTTGGTCGGGGTATGGAGATACGCAGACATGACCTTGTCTTTTGTGTGTTCCAGCTCCATCAGGGTTTGCCCTGATCCATGTAAAGGAAGGCACGCTCAAAATCCACACTTCGCCGGATGCCGGGCCCCCATTGCTGTCCCACCCTCCATAGACGAAGATTTCATGGTGAGAATAGTCGGCGCTGGAAGCGACAACGGTGCAGAATTGCGCCAGTGGGCCATCGGGGATTTCAGATCCTGGGTTAACTGGTTGAACACTCCAAGTACTGGATCCGATATCGTAAACGGGAAATTCAGTCAAAAAGCTCTGAGCTACTGAGATGTCTGTTGTGTTGTCTGTCTTGAGGTACCCATTCAAATCCGCAGGATAGACGACACCTCCGATCGCAATCAGCAGTCCTTGGGTCGAAGCAGGAATCCAGACAAGAGCACCCTCAGAGCGCAGTGTGATGTTACTAAGTGTTAAGTCCTCTCGCGACCAGTCCGCATGTCCTTGAAGCTTGGTGTCGACCTTGATGAGCCATGGAGAATAGTCCTTTGGTGGGAGGAAATAAGAGAAGGCTGTGCCATCTGCATTGTACTTCCCACTGAAGTAGAAGCTGAGGTTCTCACTTGGAGCATTGGCTCCCGCGCCGTTGGTTATGTCTTTAATAAAACTCCCACTCTCAGGCGAATACGCGATATTTGGAACGCCTGCCACGACATTCGAATCCGGCGGGATGTCGTACAGAGGAACGCTCACTGTCCGGTCTGTGACGGTGTCTCCGGAAACGTAGTACATGCCCCTTGAGAAAGTGTCAACTTCACAACGCCATACGACAGGGTGCGGGAAATTTACCCATAAGCGTAAAACTCATCGTAGTCGGCGAACATATATCCATCGAGGTAGTAGTTGCTGAGCGGCCCCTCGTTGATAGATTGGAATATCGCAGGGTTGGCCTTGGTGGTATCAAACGGCTCATGCAGGCTGAGCTTGTACAAAAAGCCCTGAGAGGAGGTAGAAGACTCTAATGAATCCCAAACACCGTTGGTATACACCCCGGTTTGCATATAACCACCTTCAAGATACACATTGTCTCTGATCAAGGCAACTCTCGGCCTGTCCCAGAGACCTATGTTGCTGGAGTTATGATCACATAGAACAACGCCAGCGAGGGTGAGTACCCACGCGCCGTAATGCAGTATGGACAACATGGCTGCTGGATGGATTCGAAACCTCAGATGTACCGAGTAGAGTTCAAAATTGGACCATGAGGCTCAGGTCTTCCCCAGGCTATAGATACGGCCTTCCATCAGTTGCAAAAGAAGTTGAACGTGCAAGTCGGGAGTTTCCCACTACTACAGGACATGACCAGCTCAGATGATCGTGGTCCCTGCGGCAATGGCACGTCGGCTAGCAGAGTCTAGTTTGTGGCGAAGGTATCGGAGAGCCAGCGGATTCAGGCATTGGAATATCTTTTCGAAAAACCATCCACAACCATCTTGGAATAGTGATGATCCAGACCGTGGAAGGCAAGGGGCCCGTCGCTCGTGCAGAAGAGGTGGGTGGTCTAAGGTTGAGGAAGCCTTACAAGCGACGTCTCCACACCCAGGAGACAGAGGAAAGACACAAAAAGACGGGAGGTCGGGCGCAAGAATGAGCCTACCAGATTTGGCGTCGCGCGCAGAATGTTGCAAGGGTATCTTTGAACAAGCAAGGATGCTCACTGCATGCACTGAGCCCGAGGCCGCGAGAGGGCGGGCAGGAAAGGAAGGCTGGGGCAAGCTAAGCCCTTCGACTGGGTCGCATCGATTGGAGTTGGTCGGCTTGCTTGCACCAGAAAAGGATGGCTTTTGCAGAGACGAGTAGCAATACAGCCCCCACAGCTTGGTTTGGTGAAAAGAGCTCCTCGGACAATAATAATCAATGACAAAGCAGAGACCAGAACCATTGGAAAGATGCGGTAGAATGGTGCTCGAACTACAGGATAGGGCTCAGCCTCATCGCCATGTAAAAGATCGTGCATCGCCTTGAGTAGTAAGAGCCCATTCCTTCAATCTTCCTCCGTTTCCCACCTCTTGTGCGCTACTGGGAGAGCCATTCCCCCCCTTTTCCATTTTCCTCCTCTTGTGGGAGACCAGTACGCGAGAGAGTCAATCCTTTGCTGACAAGGAAGGGCGAGGGTGACAGGCACGGAAGGGTAAGGTGATGGGTTGCCTCTTCGGTTCGTAGGACGCATCCACACTGACATGGGGTTCAAGGATGGTTTGGTTGTGAGGTTGAAGTGCGCTGTTCACTGCCAAGGTTGGCTGTGTGGCTGCGAATAGCGTTTGGCGCCCCCGCACGGGACGGCACAGGGCGGCGACGACTACGCTGCCAGGTGAAGCAGTTATTCGCTGTCAAGTTTCACGTGCCGTTGACTTTGCCGATCTTGGGGTCTAGGCAACCGCTGGGCCCGGAGCTGAGAACGCATCTCAGTGCAAGTAGTTTAGGCCGGGGGGCCTCGTATTGTATGGAGCCACCTCACCACCTTTCCGGTGCCTGGTGCTGCGCTGTTGGCTACCCATGCTATTACCTCACCATCGCTAGCCTCCACTTACTCGGACTGCTGCGCTGCGGTGACTCTACCAGCAAAAACTCTTTTCTCCCTACTCCATCATCAGGCTCCATCATCAGGCTGACGACTAGAACCTGTCAGCATCCTTTCGGCGCTGCCTGAGAAGCCTACTCGTACGAAGCACGGGAGTCCTCCGCATCCATCTCAGCTTATTGCCGCTGGTACTATGAATGAAGAGCGCGATGCACAGACGGTGATTTTTCGAACAACTCGCAGTTGGGAGGGGAAATCCAACCCTGTGCATGCGCCCTGCTGCCACGACTCGGACCTTTTGCCTCCCCGCCTTTCGCTGCAGTCGCTTCGAGAGCCGGGCCAGAGCCCTCCGACTGAACAGCACAGAGGCTTGCATTTGTGCATGGGCTCGGGGGATTGACTACTCTAAGCGACCCTTCGAAAGCAAACAATGTTTTTGAGAGAGAAAAAAAAATCCCGTCTCACACCACACCAGCGTCCACTGGCTTGTGTTTTCTCTCCGCAGCCATGCTCTACTGGGCATTCTCAGCCTCATCCCAACCACCTTCTCAACGCCCCAGGTGGATCCATTCCGCGAGCCAGACTCTAAATAGTTATGGTGTCTTTCTTCGGCATTTGTCCGTCTTTCAAAGTCTGAGTTTAGGGCTTAGATTAATTGGTAGCTATGTCCGTTGTGATCAGGGATAATTCTTGTGTAACACAGTTCACAGTCGTGTCCGCTTCTTCCACCTCCAGCCGAACGCTGCGAGCAGCTACTCGCAATACGCCCCCAAATACTATCTGCGTTCTTCAGATCCCAGTGACCAAGATGAAGGACCCAGGATACTTACTTAAATCATTGAGCTCAATCGCTTTTGCTGGACCTCTTATGAATTGCGGACTTCGGGCCGCCGAGTGAAAACTGCAGCCTCCTCAAAGCATCATACATATTTATCGATTGGCGGCCTTTTGGGGTCCAAGCTCCTCGTCATTTGCTATGCCAAAGCAGGTTTGATCCCGTCCCACAGTCGGTGGCTGCCTCAAGACAATAGTCGCAGCAGGGGGTGGTGAAAATAGTTCACTACTCGTAGGCCTCGTACACGTGCACTTGAACGGCCCAACGCTGGCCCGCTCTACTTTGCCCGACATGCAAGCCATTGATCTGTCGGTACTAGGTAGCATCGCTTCCGTGGGGACACCGCCCATTGTGGTAGTTATGACGCGGGACTGAACAGGAACAGGACAGGACCTGCAATCCTCATATATCAGACAAGGTATGGATTGACTCCCAGGATTTCCTCGCGTTCTTCTTCCTTCAGAGATCTCCTCTGCCTCGCTGTCGCTATTCCGTCATTCGTTGTACATTCGCTCATCTCAACATGGACATGATGAGGCTGAAGCTTGTCGGTCTTGCCGCCTCCCTTCTTGTCACCCTGGCCCAGGCCGGGAATGGCGGAGATGACGGCTGGGGCTCAAGCTCCTGTGCTACTGTCTACTCTACCGTGTGGTCGGTATCAACAGAATATGTGCCAACCACGACAGAGAAGATAGTTTACTCCACAGAGACCGACTACGTGACAGTCACTACAACCGACACGGTCTATATCACCGACACAACTACTCAGATATCAGTCCAGCCGACCACGATCGTCAGTCCAACCACCATTGTCAGCGCTACAACAATCGTTGAAACCACCACCGTCGTTAGCCCGACCACTGTGGTCGTACCAACAACCATCGTTAGCCCAACAACAATAGTTAGCGTGAGCACCGTTGTGAGCGTCCAACCAAGCACTATCACAGATATTGTCCCTACCACCGTCGTCAGTGTGAGTGCCACGACAGAGACTGTCTCGACATACCCAGGCCTTGTCACGTGTACCTCAAGGGTCGTCAACCCCACTTATACTCCCAAAGCTGCACTACCCACCAATTACCTGTGGGGATGTGCTCCTGGCACCATCTGTACTCCTCCACAGATTGGCTGCAACTGGGAGCAAAATCCCCCGGCTGATACCTATGTTTGCGCTCCGGAAGAATGCAAACCCGTTCCTCAATTGTTCTTGCCAGCGAACCTCAGCTCATTGTGGCCAAATCCTACCGACACCACGTGTGCTTGGGAAGAACCAGCTCAGGGCTACTTCCACCTCAACCCACAGCACTTTGGACTCAGCTTCGCCATCTTCGATGTCTTGGGCCAGCCACTGTGCCCGGCCCCGGCCACAACAACCACTTGGGCTGACTGGTCCAGCGCAGCCCCGACTACTCCTCCACCCAAGCCCACATCTACATGGGCCCCTAAGATGCCTCGACGTGGACTGATGGCCAACCCGATCGCCGAGATTGTAAGCCGACAGAACTTCCTAACAGCCCCGGCACAGTGCTACCGCATTTACGATGCTGCAAGTCAGGCTGGCCAAGCAGTAGGATTGGTTTTCGACCTGCTCTGTCCATCTAGCACCACTTTCCAACAGGCTCTCACTCAGTGTCGTGCATGTTCTGAACAATATGCCAGCAGTGCGACAGGCACAGATACCTTCCCGGAGCTCCAAAACTACTTCCAATATTGCCAGACCCATACTTCGTGAGGAACGGGACCCCGTCTCAACGGCGCTTGAGGTTGAAACTTCGGCGACTGGACCCCGAGATGCCGTCGGTGCTACCCGAAATGCCACTGAATCTCACATCGCAGACCTACATTGGCTCAGAATGTCGGGGATGAATTCCTCTGTACGTGCCTGAAAAAGAGGCTTGGAAGCATGGCAGAGCTGTTATACAGCATCAAGGACTGGGAAGCATCTCTTTATTGTATATACCCCTCATCTGCACGATATGCACCATCTCCTACCAAATCTAGGGCAAGCTCTGCGGATCTTGACACAAAAGCAGTCAGAAGAGGGGGATGTGGAAACCAGCGAGATCAATGACTTGATTGGTATGAAAATGGAACGATGTCACTCCTTTACGATGGAATAGGCGTACACTCAGATAATCTTAATGCGAATGGCAAAAGTCATGTAGAGCAGCCTTCTCTTCTCAGTCCGGTACCCATTTTCAAGCACGTTTGTAACCTCGAGCGTCCTAAATACACTGGTATCACGCCCGCTGATTTAGAGGAGTCTTGACAAGTCACCGAAGACTTCCAAGCCGTATATCAATCCCAGTACCTCGTACATAAACCTAACGCGCCCCCACTTCTACGCGGTTCTAACATGGCTATTTCTCCCGTCCCAAGTGCCAGCTGCCAGTTACTCTTACAAAAATTCAAATACTCCCTTCACGGGTCTGACAACGCCAGAAGTAAAACATCCGACCCACTCCAAAATGGCAAAAACTTATCCCAGAGCAGCTCAACCTACTGGTCTGTGATAAGGAAAACTCGCCCTTGCGGGTTGGTTTTTCTCGCCCGGTTATACTACGAATTTTATACTACAAGGTTGATGTCGTCGAATCGAGGATTGAAATCTCGGAGGGAGGATTCGAATCGGGGTCCTGAGACCTTCTAACCCGGAGTTAGTTTTGACTGACAGGACCCAGATTGTGGCGTAATCGGGATTCGAACTCGGTACTCGCCCTTATTGTGGTAAGGGGGTCTTTGCGTGACAGAATTTGGAAAGAGAAAACATATATACAAGTGATTTTGAACCTTTGTACCGGTACCTCTGTGACTTGGCCCCACTGGAGATATACGAGTAGCAGAGGGAAGCGCTTGGCGTTGGGATTCACTCACTGGGACTCTATAGAAGGGTGCCTCTATACATCCCTTCTCCTAGCTTGATAGGCACTGTGCCATGAAACCCGTTGAGTATCAAAAGGTATAGTACGTCGTTGTGGTGGATTGAGAAACATCCTTCACACTTGGTGAACTGAGACAATCTCCCCAAAGAAAACTATTCCGATTGAGGATTATTTCTTGTCAAGAGGATTCGTTCCCGGGTAAAATCTCCGAGCGTGTTTAAAACAAAAGAACATGGCGCAAGGCCTGCTACGAGAAACGATCCGCGGCAAAAGAGAAAGCATGGACAGCGAGCGTCGTTCGTGAGCCGGTAGCCCGTGGCCGGCTATAATATTGCTGCGCTTGAAAAGCATTAGGGGACGAACTATTACCCTCACGTTAGGGGTACGTGGTTGGCGTACCATATATGTGAGAACGGTGAATCAGACATAACTATGTCCAGGTTGAAAGACGCGTCGAAGGATATACAAAGCTTCTGGCTAGTTTTGCTGAATGATCCACCAGGACAAGGCACTCGGTATAGAATATGGCACTCCTCTTCTTGGATAAATTGGTATCACTTTGCATTAAAATGGTATGAGAATTGATTTTGATGAGCTATTCAAAGGCGAAAAAAGACTCTTATCTATTCAGTACAAGAGATGATCGGTGAACTCGTGCCACCTGGGGAGCATTTGGGGTATTGATTATCACATCCTGGAATTCTAACATGTCACCACTATCCTTGTCGTTCATGGTGATTGAGGAACGGTAGCTGGTTTCTCGGGGTGCTCGCCATCGGAGCTGGGTACTTCCCGCTGCGCAGGAGTGTCTTGCTCGAGGCCATTGACAACGTCTCGGGACAACTCGACATACTACAAATAAGTCAGCAATTGCTATCACAAGTACCGCGGATTGTCAAGGGATAACTCACATCGTATGCAAATTCGCCAATCTCGGTCTCGTCCATGCCCATGATCTCTTCTTGTTCGGATGCACGAAGATGAAGGCCTGGGATGAAGTTGAGGAGGAACAGGATGACACAGCTGAGGACAAAGGAATATGCCATTCCAGTGACGCCGTCGCAGAGTTGGTAAGCCAGTTGAATCCAGTGCTTATTGAGCCAACCGCCGTCAATCTCGCTGAATCCATCCAGATGAGCGATGTAGTCCGCTGCGAAGAGTCCAGTCAAGAGGTCGCCGACAAGACCACCAATACCATGGATTGCAAAGATATCGAGGGAGTCGTCAATGTGAAGGAGGAACTTGAGCTTGGTGGCATAGTTGCAAGCAATTCCACCAACCACACCGAAAATAACGGCGGACCATGCGGGAACGAAGCCACTAGCTGGAGTAATCGCGACCAGGCCGGAGATAACACCGCTGCAGAAGCCGACGGTAGACCATTTGCGCTCCAAACGGTAGTCGAGGATGCACCAGGTAATACCGCCGACGCTCGCTGCCAAGTTGGTGACCACAGCAGCCATGACAGCACGGAGGTTGGCAGCCAAAGCAGAGCCAGCGTTGAAACCGAACCACCTAAACAAGCAATTAGTCGTCAAAGATCAAATAGGCGCAACCGGACCACATACCCGACCCAGAGGAAGACAGTGCCAATGACAATGTGTGTGACATTGTGTGGGCGATAGTTCAGCTCGTGAGTACCATGACCATGGCGTTTTCCCAGCATGAGAGAGTAGGCCAGAGCAGCAGAACCCGAGGCGATATGGACAGGAGTACCTCCAGCAAAATCGAGGCCACCCAGCTGGAACATCCATCCGGATCCATTCCAGGTCCAGCAGGCAATCGGGTCGTAGACAATGGTCGACCAGATGAACGAGAAAACCATAGCGGGGAGCATTCGTCCACGTTCGGCTGCCGCGCCAATGGCGAGAGCGACGGTGATGGCAGCGAACATGCCTTGGTACACGGCGAACATGAGATCGGGGATCTTGCTGGATCCCACAGAGGGAGCTCCCAGGACATTGCGGAAACCAATGTTTTCGAGGTCTCCAATGTATTTACCCGCGGTGTGGGAGAAGGTCAAGGAATAACCCCAGAAGAACCACTGAAAGGAGATCAAGCCCGTGGCTGCGACCGATAACCAAATGAGCGAGAGGGCAGATTTCCGTCGCGCAAGGCCCGAGTAGAAGAAACTGTGATTCGCTGATCAGTAACGAGGCCAATACCAAACGTGGACGAGAGGACACTGCATACCCAACACCGGGAATCATGAGAAGCACCAAGGCTGTGGCAGTGATCATCCAGGCAATGTCGCCAGCATTGTAATAGATGTTGAGATCCTCTGTGAGAGAGTCTCCACCAGTCATCGAGGTTCCTGCAGCGAGGATGGTATTAGTTTGGAACCAGTTTCTCGAGGCGCCGAGGCTGAGACTAGGAGAGAGCAAAACATATCACATACCCTCGTAGACTTCAAGCGGAACATAGGGGAGCGACCCCAAATCGTCAGTCGACATCTTGAAAGAGTGACTGTAGTGCTGTACAACCAAGGGTGTGCTGGTGAAGTGCGCTGTCCCCAAATGTAAGGAGTAATCTCTGAACCCAGAAGAGTGCCAGGGGTTCGAAGGGAGTGACTGGAATGGCGACCAAAGGAGAAAACCCTCTGAGAATTCACATCCAAAAGTCGGGGACCAGCGGGAATGAAGGATTGATATATGGAAGAGGCGTGGAGGGAACAGGTGGGCAGAGATCGGGACTGAAAACGAAATTGAGTCTGGCAAAAGAAACGAATATGGCACAGGGTAACGAGGTTCGTATGGTGGAGTGGCACCTGATTGACCTGATTGTGCTACCTGGAAGGGCTTGGGACAGGCTCAGGGCGACACTTGGCATGTCCTTCTAGCCCAGGATTAAGCATGGAGACCCGAAGGAGAGTTCGCCGGACAGCGCCCGTAACGCCCCCGAGAGCCCCTGACAGACAGGTTGAGAGGGAGAAGAGTGGGGATGATAAGGCTCGATAGCCCCGATAGGCTCGATAGAGAGCCCGGGAAGAGCCGGGCTAAGACCCATAGATAGGCGCCACTCAGGGAGATTCCCAGCTCCCAGGCCCAATACAATAATAAATAGAGGTAATCGAGGTGACAAAGCCCCTGTGGTTGCCCGTGGGCTGATCAGGGCTGAATCAACCTGCCCTGTGTTCCAGGCGTATCAGCCAAGAGGCTACACACTGTCTACACTGCGTGCCTAGAAACGCAAAGGAAAAGAGCTGCCCGTCTCAAAGAAAGCCATATTGACAGCTCGTACTCTCCCTTGTTTCTCCCCCGTCTTACTCAGCGCACGGAGCACTGATTCTCCCTGCGCGCATCATCATACGCAGCAGGTTCGAGGAAAAGTCCCAACAGCCTCTTCTTCCACTCCACCCTAACACCCCACAGGTACTGACCGAATGACGGGGAATCCTTTCTTGTGTCCCATGTTGCATCCAACGGCCCAATATATCCGGTCCTCCAAGGCTGCCTCGTGCTTTTCGCCTACTAGTCGTCGCTAAAATTGAAGGTTGCATAAGCCCCAAACTCCATTTTTGCCTGGCACACTAGGGGCATCGCCTGAGGAGCGTGGATCCTGTGCTCGCATTTCTGGGCGAGATAAGCATCTACTTCACAATTGGCTCACACGCAAATCCAGATTCCAGTGGGGGCATGGTGACGCTCAGCACATCTCCACACAGATAACGATTTCGACGCTTCTGGTCTGTTTCATCTCACTTCGGCACTGGTCCTGCCGTGCCAACCCTACAAGTACTCATACCAAGGTTGTATCTACCTACTCCGCGCATCGTACAGAAAGCGATTGACACGGGCCAGCACGATTCTTTCGACCTCTACCGAGTACGCTAATGACTGCTACTCGTCTACCGGACACCTCGTCTACGAGCTCATCTCGCCAGAATCGAATATGCTCGCGAGTGAGCGGCGGATACTCACTACCGAGAACCTCTTACCTTTCCGCGTGACATTCACCTGATCCTTTTGCTGACCGAGACCAACGTCCGTTCGTTTCCTTTTGGTTGGTACAATGTGGCCAAATACTTCAATACCTCGGAAAGGTTCGTGAATAGGTGGGCGATAAAATCCGCTTCTTTGTGTCGAAAATCTGTGCCTGCGATATTTGGTGGTATATTGATCACACGGCACGCAGTCCCAATGTAGGCGACTTCCAATAATAGCCAAGGAATGCGAACAGGCATTGGTTGCTCACAATTACAGCCAAGAAGAGTGTCGCAGCTTCAAAAACGGGAGGGATGGTCGCAAATGGTCTACAAGCCCAGATACTTGGCCGCAGCGATCCCTCGATCATTACGGGTAGTCTCCTTGGAAGGAATACCACTCCGAGCTCCGTGCGAGGCGCGCCCATCGCCTGGAGAACCTACAGGACGAAATGAGTCGCCTGCGGTCTCTCTGCCATTGGTCTTGCTTTCTAGAGCTGGTGGTGCTGCATCCCTCTTCAAGCAGTCTTCTGACTATCGAAGCATTCTCATCTGATGACCGTGTTCCTGCCGGGCCATGATAGAGAGGTCGCTTTGTCAAACCCAAGTAGGAGCTGTAGTCGGTCCTTCCCAGCGACGTGTTGACAGGGTTGGGGTTGCTTCATTTTGAAGTCGTTACTGTCTACTCACGTGCTATCGACAGAGTCTGCCGGCACCAAGACCTTTTTTGCGTTCACCAGATTGGCTGCGTTGCGACTGTTCAGCCTGAGGACCTTGAATTGGATAATGAGTCGTCGTTCTTCATTGAGACATTTATAGATAGTGTACTGAGTACTTGTCCTTCGCGCTCCAAATGAGACGGAACCGGGCAGCATACATAGATGTAATGACTGGAGATTCGCAAATCATCATAATATGGTGGAACAGGGACGTATCTGCAATATCAATTGTGAGCAGTGACTCGAAGAAATCGGTGACCGAGTCGACAATAAATTCATGACTTGATCAGTGGGAGATTCTAACACGACAGCTCAAAATTTGAGGAAGCACCAGGAGAGCGATCTCGCCATTCTGCCAGGTTTTGGTGTCAATTGAAGTGGGAAGGGCGAATAGTGGGCGGGTAACCAAGCAGGCTGCAAACTTGATTTCCTCACTTCTCACGACCGGATCAGAGATCCAGGCAATCAAGAAGCCTCCAGCGGCGACTCATCGACGCGGAGGCGACAACGGAGGCACGGCACTGGACACCATCTCAAGACGCGTGCCCCGTGGAGATTGGCGTCGACGTGATACTTGGTCTTCTAATTTTTCCACCATCATTATTCTGCTCTGAAGTCGTCAGGAAATCCATATGACCTCCATCAATACCACCCTTGCAACTCCCTTGAACGCGGCGAGATAGAGTTTCACGAGGAACTCTTCTCCGCAGCAGCAGCCATGCCTCAGTCAGCAACAAGCCAACCAATTCCAGTCCCCGTGCCAGTTGGAGTTGGAGTGGTTCATCAGCCACACGTTGCGGCTGCCACAACTGCCAGTGCTCCTCCCGCAACAGCCGACTTGCAGCCAGCACCACTACTGCACCCAACGTTATCCCATTCAGTCCAGGGCCAACCTCAAGTTGTCGCTCCTTCACCTGTGCATGCTGTCGCCCTCCCGAGATTCGGACCCCGTGCCTCCAAGACTGAAGAGCAACGTCTCGAACAAGGTCGCTTGCCCCTCGTCATGGAGCACGAAGAGATGCCGATGCATCGCCCAAGCGGCGGATCTTCATCTGGCTCTGACGAAGATGCTCTCACATCCTCCTCATACCCGTATCCTCCTACCTCCTACGAACCCCCCGATGGTTCTGTAACCTATACTCCTACCTCGTCCATCTCCGCGTATACGCCCTCGACGGGGTTCTCGTCCTCACTCTCGTCTTGGAATTCATATGGACCACGACCGAGAGGAGGAAGTGGAGGACCCCAGAATATGGACCGATCCTTCTCGGAAAGCGCTCAGAGTGCAGTTGCGGATTTGCGAGGCGCCAGACCAGGGGCTCCTCTTCGAACTCCTTCAAACACCTACGCACCTCCGAGAAAGCCGCCTCAATTTCTATCCCTCAATTCTAAGAGAATGCATTCGTCAAATACAATGAGAAGCACGAGGAGGGATCCGAATGCACAGTACAAGGCGCAAGAGAAGGCTTATGTCCAGCGAGTCCGACAACCACCGCCGGATTGGCTTGATAATGATCCTCGGACACCCAGTATCGGATACAGCACGGATGACGAGACCGACGATGAATCGCCTTCAGCTGAACACGGATTCGACGATCCCTACGATCCGGAAACACTGATGTTCCTCGGCAATGAGGAAAATCTTCAGCCGACGGAGGAGGAACTACAGAACTCCGCAAACAGAGAGCGTCTTGAGTGGCATTCCATGCTTGCTTCTGTACTGAAAGGCGATGTGGTCAAACAGGAGAAACAGAGGCTGATCGGCACCACCGAGCAAAAGAGCAAAGTGGAATTGGGTGCCGAGATTTGGCTGGGTGTAAGAGCAAAATATTATGGTCGGCCGTTGCAGATGCAGAAGAAGCTCATCGAGGAAGGCCGAGCACATATCGGGCCCATTATCGAACAAATTATTGCCTTTGAGATCAAGGGCGAGACGGTGGTGGGTAAATCACCGCTGGAACAAGTTGAAGAGGCCGTGGCCAACATCGAAAAGTGTGAATGGCTGTATCCGTCGCGGAGGGAACTGGAAGCTGCCCAGACCAGGGCTGCCTCTGATGCTTTCAAACAAAGCTGCGACGCCATCATCTCCTGGCACAATATCACACAATCCATCAACACTGAACTGGCTGTCCTCCAGGCGTGGGTCGGAAATTCCGAGTTGGACTTTACCAGGCAAAAACGTCGTTCTAGCAGAGACGGCGATCTTTCAGACGAATCTTCATTTATCGACAGAATTTTAAAGGAAGATGGGCTGAAGTCGTTGCAGGGTGACAAGAGCATGTTCCTGGCGATCAGCGAGGTCATCACGAAGGCCAAGAGCACCTTGATCGAAAACGCGGAGGCATTTGCCGCGCGCCACCTTCCACCTTATATCGAAGAGCTTTTGACTCTGATCAACTTCCCTTCCAGGTTAATCCAGGAGATTATCCGGATGCGGCTGTCCTACGCAAAGAAGATGAAAGAATCGGCGCAGCAGTCCGTCATGATCATTGACCAGATGATTGCACAGTTTCAGATCCTCATGCGGCTTGCTTGCCTTATCAAGCAAGAATACCTTACAATGGCGCACCCTGAGCCTGGATGGGATCTGCCTCCTTGCATTGACGAGAACTTCGACAAGGTCATCGTGGACGCTCTCAAGTTTTACTTTAAGATGCTGAACTGGAAATTGGGTGCGAACAAGAACACATTCCGCGAAGCCGAAATTCTCGAACAAGAATGGGGCTTTTCGAACGAAATAGGGCGGCAACTCGAAGGGGGCGATATTGAAGTTGCGGAGCAATTCAGTTCACTTACAGCCAAGTCACTACTCCGGCTCACTGCTTCATTTGAGCGAGAGCTTCGAAGCAAACCAGACGAAAGTCCACAGGAGATGGAGAAACGTTACAAGGCGATTTTGGATTCCGTCCGTGTACGACAACGAAAGCTGTTCAGATTCTCTCGCATTCTGCGGCAAAGGTTCGAGAATGCGACCGAGTTCAATGTCGGTATGGGACCAGAGCAGCTGCAGGCATTTGCCGAAGCTCTTGTATTGTCTGGACACTTCCTCGTGGAACCAAGCACAAACAGTCCAAAAGGCATTCATTTTGTGGCTTCAGCATCGCTGTGGAACAGACCGAAAGAGATTCAGTCAATGCTGGGCACATCGTTCCATGAAGATGACGCGGCGGAAGATCCCTCAAACCCTTACATTTTGATCATTAGACCGGAGGATGACATGACTTGGGAAGGTCCCAGGATGGAGCTCGATGCTCTGGAACTGCCCACTGACGTGAGATTGGGGAGACTCCGTCTCGTGGCTGACGGATCATCGCTTCGTCTGCAAGGTGCGCGGATGGAATTTGCCAATGCGATTGGCAGGGAGCTGGACGTGGTGATTGAACAGCGAGCTAACTTGTCTCGAGTGAATCTTGAGCTTGGGAAAATCAAAAAGACCACCTTCAAACTGTCGAATACTATCATGGAAAGTGTGGAGGTGATCCGGTCCCAGAATGGTGGGATTGCCAGTCCAGAGCTGGTACAATCTTGTTTCGCCTTCGCTACCGAATTCGGAAAACGATCTTTGACATACATGGATCCCAATCGACGCATGATGAACAATATGAAACTTACTCGGCTTGCGCTGGACTGGGTCAGCTTCATCTGCGACGATTGTGATGCGGCCGACCGAAGGACCTTCAAGTGGGCGGTGGTTGCGTTGGAGTTTGCAATGGCGATGACGCGAGGCCGGAACATCTTGGACATCACGGACGAAGACTACAAACGCATCAGGGTCAAAGTGGCTGGTTGTATGTCTGTGTTGATCTCTCACTTTGACATTATGGGAGCACGATCGACCTTGGCTGCACAGCAAGAGAAATCGCGAATGGAAGCCCTGACAGGCATGAACAAGCGACTGGACTACAACAAGTTGCGTAACGACGAAGATTGTCGGAATGAAATGTGCCAGCAGCGACTGTCTGAGCTTATTGCCATTGATCAGGTTCGCGAGGAACGAGGGACCAAGACCACTCTCGGACGGGTGTTGGAGGGCTCGAATGAAGCTGATCGATCGCTCACGTTTCTCTCTTCGTCTGCAACCAATATCACCATGAGATGGCAGCAAGGCCAATTTGTGGGTGGCGGCACTTTTGGGTCGGTGTACGCGGCTCTCAATCTTGATACAGGAACCTTGATGGCCGTTAAGGAGATTCGTCTGCAGGACCCGCAGTTGATTCCGACCATTGTCAAGCAGATTGGCGACGAGATGGGTGTTTTGGCCGTGCTTGATCACCCCAACATTGTTTCCTACTATGGTATCGAAGTCCATCGCGACAAGGTTTACATCTTTATGGAATATTGCTCCGGTGGCTCGGTAGCCGGCCTCCTCGAGCATGGACGGATTGAGGACGAAACGGTCATCATGGTCTACGCGCTGCAGATGCTGGAGGGGCTGGCGTATCTGCATTCAGCACACATTGTCCACCGGGACATCAAGCCAGAAAATGTTCTGCTGGATCACAATGGCGTCATAAAATACGTCGATTTCGGGGCAGCAAAGATAATTGCGCGACAAGGACAAACAATGATGGCCCCAGAGGCGCCGCAGCGCGCGAACGTCGATCCTGGTCAGCTTCCACGACAGCCCCAGAAGACTATGACGGGCACCCCAATGTACATGTCACCAGAAGTGATTCGTGGCGATGCACCAGCAACCTCACGCTTTTCGGGAGCTGCCGATATTTGGTCATTGGGGTGCGTGATTTTGGAAATGGCAACTGGCCGTCGCCCTTGGTCGACGTTGGATAATGAATGGGCCATCATGTACAACATTGCCCAGGGTAATCCGCCGCAGCTACCCACCGAAGACCAGCTGAGTCCGCAGGGGATTGATTTCCTAAAGAAGTGCTTCGAGCGCGATCCGGCAAAGAGGAGCTCGGCTGCTGAGTTGTTGCAACACCCGTGGATTGTGGAGATTCGACGGATGGTGGTTGATGATCCAGAGGCCCAGACGCCCAGGAGTGAGAGCAGCGGAGGCGTGTCGCTTCCTAGCCGGCAGAACTCGACAGCCTCGTGAGGGGGGAGATGTCGACACCGAGTAAGAAAAGTGGTATATAATATAATAAGAAGACCCGCTCAACGGCTGAACTGGGTCTGTCTTGTACCTGCGACGCCCATGCGGCTGATTGTTCCCCGGCTTACGTGATACGCCCGTATCCGTACTTCGTGTTTTTCCTGGTACCTAATATTATTGAGCCGCGGCCCAGGTCCTTTTCACAGGCAAGGGACACACAAACAGCAGGGTTAAATGCAGGTCGGTTTGGGACCAATCCACGCCATGGCCCAAATGGGGAATGTTGACGTTGGTGTTCTCGGGTGGAGTGGGAACCAAGACTCCATTCGGTCTTGGGGAGTTTTATGCCTGGCATGCGGAATGCCAGGCTTTTGCTCCATGCTCCATGTAACTTGTACTCCGAGTCTTCCATCCGAGTAGAGCGGATACCCGGTACGAATTCATTCACTCATTCACTATTCTTTCTTTTATTGTTGGTCATAGTCACCCGATTTCCTCTTGACTCTCATAATGCGCTCCCGCTGCCTCCGCAATGGCCAGTGTTGACATTTCCAGTCATGGCTCGTCGGATCCCTTCTCTGACCAAGCCGCAATCCAAGACGAACGCGAGACAATCGCAGAGTCCACGTTGGGCGTCGGTAGAAATGCCACTCTGACGCTCGGTACTGACGCGGTCATTGTTCTAGGTTTGTCGTCTTTGGTTGCAGAAACCTGTTTTTTCTGACTGCTTCGCAGATGAAGGCCTCCGCGGAAGCGAAGGATTCGACTGCTTTGGATTCTTTTCTCAGAGTAGGTCTAGGGTCAACTGCCCTGAACAGCCCTCCGTGACTGACCTCGGGCATCAGGAACCACAAATACCCGTTCCATTCCTTACTTTAATGTCCTCTGGACGGAAATCGTCAAGAGCGAGCTCACCATTCATTACGCGAAACCAACCTCCAAGTCAGCAAATTCCCCTGTTGTCGTCGCATATATCAACTATACCCTTGACAATTCTACTGCGATACTGGAAAAGGCAGAGAGATGGGTCGAGCGTCTGTTACGACGGTCATACGGCCATGCTCAACGCAATAAAAGGATAAAAGTTCTGATAAACCCCTTTGGAGGAAAGGGAAAGGCGGTTAAACAGTACAGCAAAGAGATTGAACCTATATTTGCGGCAGCCCGATGCGAAATTGACGCCGAGCAGACAACACATCGTGGCCACGCGGTCGAGATTGCTCAAAATTTGGACATTAATGCATTCGACGCCATTGCGAGTGTGTCTGGGGATGGCTTGCCCCATGAATGTATAAACGGCCTCGCAAGGAAACCAAATGCCGCTGAGGCCCTCAGAAAAGTGGCAGTCGTCCAATTACCCTGTGGTAGTGGAAACGGTATGGCGTGGAATCTGACCGGGACCGGTGAATGCAGCACCGCCGCCCTTTGCATTGTGAAAGGTGTGCGGACTCCTTTGGATCTCGCGAGTATCACACAGGGAAATACCAGGACGCTTTCGTTCTTGTCGCAATCGCTCGGCATAGTGGCAGAAAGTGACCTGGGAACAGAGAACCTTCGATGGATGGGTGATGCAAGATTCTTCTACGGATTTCTCGTCCGACTCCTGGGCAAGACCCTTTACCCTTGTGAGATCGCTGTCAAGACCGAGATCGAGGACAAGGAGGAAATAAAGAGACACTACGCCCGCTACATGGCTAAAAGGACGACCCAAGCCCCCATCTCTCATGCTGATCTGGATGGGCCATTGGATATGTCCAAAAGTCTTGGACTCCCCCCACTACAGTATGGGACGGTCGATGATCCTCTGCCCACCGATGCTGGCTGGACCCCTTTGACTCCCTACCCCAATCTGGGCAACTTTTACTGCGGCAACATGACCATAATGACGGCGGATGCCCCATTCTTTCCTGCTTCCCTTCCTTCGGACGGCCTGCTCGATCTAGTCACTATCGATGGCGACATCCCGAGACGGAAAGCCATCGACCTCCTGCTTTCCGTTCCTAAAGGCACCTTTTTTGACAAGGAAAGCGTACGCGTCCGGAAAGTCAGCGCCCTCCGTGTCATTCCGCGCTATGGGACAATGGCAGAGTCTGCAGGAGACAGCGACCATGGGCAGAACAAGCAGAGTCGAGCGGCCGGCCAGAGCAACTACAGAAAGAACATAAATCGAGACGCTGGCCACTTCTCAGTCGACGGGGAGAAGATGCCTTTTGAACCCTTTCAGATTGAAGTTCACAGGGGATTGGGCACGGTTCTGAGTCGGCGCGTGGGTGTCTACGAAGCGATTGGACCCAAGGGTTGGGAAGAGATCGACGTCGGTACCCTCTAAAAATGCAAATCAGAGATATGAATCAATGGAACGACAGATATTACGGCACAATACATTGTTCACCACATTTGTGGCCGAAAAAACCCCAGGCGTCAATTATGGAGGAGACGAAACGTTTTCCGGAGGACATCAGTCGGCCGAATCTGTCCATCCTTTTGAGCCCGTCATCGCAATGTCTGGGCGGCGGCTTTCATTGTCGCTGTCGATTTGCGATTTCGTCTCGCTGCGAAGGGGTTTTGGTGTAGCAATGGATACAACATTGGGAAAGAGCAAGCTGGCGCATGGGCGTGGCAACATGGAGCGATCATAAATGAGATACCCACATACGCAACTCTGCCAATCTTACTTCTCCTTAGCTTTGTGTTTTTCTTATTCCAATCTCGAAAGGAGTCGTATAAAAATCATTGACTATGGTGAACTATAATAAATGCAGACTCTTCAGGATGAGATGCAGAATTGGCCCCGTGATTCGATTAACTCCGTAGATTCCGCGTATCCTGAGATTTTATCTATACCGAGTCCATGGGGACTTGTCTGCTTTCCAAGCTTTCCATGTCAACATGACCAAGGGTGTGTGTCAAAAAGCCTATACTCAAACAAATAAGAAGCACAAAGACCCTAAGTATTTTCATAGCTTGCTCCTCAAATCCTGTCTCTCGTCCTTTCTGAACAACGTCTTGGAATCTGGGTACGGATCAAACACCACGTTGTTCAGCGGATTCAACTCACTCGCCCGGTGGAACATGTCCTCGTACACTTTGCCATCGTATCTTCCGAGGGATGAATCGAGTTGCCAGTCGGAGAACTTCCACGCATCAACCAATCGAACAGCATGTGGGCGGATCTCCTCGAGCAGTTTCATCACCGTCTTTGTGCGTGCCAGGGTAATTTGGCGAACCGTCACGGCGGCGGAGGAGTAGAATTCTGATGCTTCGCGTTCGAGTGTATGCAGAGCATACAGGCGGAACAACTTGTGCAACAACGTCACCGTGTATTCGTCCAATTGTTTCTTGGTAGCCTGATCCTGCAACGCGTCATGGAAGTTCTTGACGATCATATACTGGGCATGTGCTGTCGACAAACGCCAGAAGTCGACAAGCAAAGAGTTCCAGGATTGCTTGTCCTCATCGCGGTGACGGAGAGCTTCAAAACTCAAGAAGGAAACACGCCATGCGAATGCTGCGACCAGGTCTTCGTCGTTGCCAATCACATCGAATGCACAGCCAATGTCGCGACGGCGGATGAAATCAGTCAGAATCCGTGTGGTGTCATTCTTTGCCGCCTTACCAGCGAGGACACTCCGGGCAGATTTCAAGAGGTATCGGGACACTTGCTGCGTGAGCATGTAGTTGTCACCCTCCCAAGTCACTGTGGGAAGATAGTCCGCGTACCATGCACCGATACCAGCGAAGGACGAGTACCCATGACCGCCGCAGGCGCGACGACAAACTTCCAGGCCCTCCGCCGCGGTGGTGGAGCCGTAGGCTTTCAAGGCACAACTTGTGGAATGTAAGTCGGCCAGAAGATCGGTGCCTGGATTAAGCTCCTCTGGTCCCGGTCCCCGAGTGGAGTCGGATAGCTTGCCAGCATCACCGGCGCTCATGCGTTTCTGGTTTTCCTGATACAATCGGATCATGCTCTTGCCTGTGAAGTGGAGGGCGTAGGTTGCTGCGAGCAACGGTAGCAGTCGAATCTGGACCATGGTGTAGTTGAGGACTTGATTCTCGCCGGGTTCGTGGATATCTCGATCTTGAAATTGTCGTCGCACGGCACAGTAACGGGTGGCAATGGTGACGCCACGGGCCAGGGTAGAACCCGCTTGCAGGACGATGGTGCTTCGAATGAAGGTGAGGGTACCGTAGACGAGAGAAGGATTTGAAGGTCGCACGTATTTGTTGGTGCTGGGATCGACACTGGAGAAGCGAGCCAGCATATTGACGTGTGGAATTTTGACGTTCTTGAACAAGAGGAAACCATTATCCATGGTGTTGTATCCAAATTTTGGGCCAATATCACCGACGTGGACGCCGGGGAGCGGTTGATGAGTTTCCAAATCCCTGACCTGTACCACGAAAGGATGAGGGCCGTATGATTTGCCGTCGATGAAGAGTTGTGCCATGACTATGGCATAGTTGGCAGCTTTTCCAAGCGAGCCAATCCACCATTTTGAGGCAGTGAGGTATGGTGAATTGATTGTGAAAGTCTTGTCGTCGGAGTTCCAGGTAGCGATGGTCTCTAATCCCCGGACATTCGAGCCGTGACCAAGTTCAGTCTGAGCATAGCAGCCAATAATCTTATACGCCTCCGCCTTGTCTAGGAAGAGCTTGTGCTGTTCGGGAGTACCTTGCTCGCGCAGAGTGACAACGAACATGCTCGCATGCAGGCCATAAGGAGTTGGCTCGCTGATGAGATCATTGGCTGTCTGGTATTCATCTCTTGACCATTTGTGTTTGACCTCCAACTGATGCAGTCTCTTCCCTCTAGCCAACGCCGCTTCAATCCGGCTGATTCTCCCTCGAAAGTAGTTTTGTGACTTGTCGAAAACAGGATCGGCTTGAAGGATCCTGAGAATACGTTCATTTCTCTCGAGGTTCTCCCGCGTAAACATGAAATCGGCGAGCTGATCGATATCGAGGCTGGATTTGGCTCTCTCTTGTGAGAGCAGCTCGGAACCTTGAGGACCAGACGGTTTGAGGGCCTTGACCCATTCTGGATTTGTAGGCATCTCGAGGGGGTTTCGGAGGGACCGGAAAGCGATTAGAAACAAAGATAGGGACAGGAATAAGCCAGTCTGCTTGAATCAAGGGCTTCGAAGGAAGGGGAGGATTGGTATTTAAGCTGCTCGCTGCCCGTGAAGCAAGCATGTGTCATGATCGGGCCAAAATTATCATCGCCAGGTTTGGAAGGTCAAGCCTTGTCCAGATGCCTCGGTTCAAATAATCGATTCTCCCTCTCCAGCTTCTTTGAGGGATTAGTGAGCCCCCCGGCCCCACGTATTTTAACGAACTTCGTGCGTAACTCAAGCCTGCGGCGTATGCTTCGGTTACCCAGCTCCATTCCCATTGATCGCGACGGCAATTGCCAAGCGCCTGTCCACACAAGCACCTTGATGATATTGAGCTGCGTTCGCCACCTCCACGCTCGGGCACACTCGGACTATAAGATGGTGAGGAAAACCATCCACTGCAAAGCTGGGCGGCTGAATCGACTGGAATTTTGCCTCGGTCGACGAGACTGACCACGACGCGAGCGTTCATTGCCTTTCGGGATTGACCACTGATTGTCGGTCGCCGTCAGAAGGCCTGGCTCGTACCGCTTGGTTCCACCGAATAACCTTTCTCAGGAGACTCAGTAGATGATGATCAAGATTACATTCTGTCACTTTCATCTATTTCACTACATGAACACGGTTACCGGGGTGACTCTCGAAAGTACGGCGTAAACTCGGATGGTAGCATCTGTCAGTAACTGAAATGGAGCAGTCAGTCTGTAGGACCATAATTGTGGGAGAAGTGTTCTCAGGGGTCGCAGAGATAGCACCAAAGAGGCTGCGGATCAACGACAATCCCTTCAGAGATTCTCGCAAGTTTCACTATCTAATGTGCCATGTCCAGTTTAATTCTTCTCGTCAATTGTATGCGGTAGAGGCTCACTGATCGAGGCCTCCTCGACATCCTTGTGCGCCACCACAAAACCCTCGGGTAACAAGTTGAGTTCATCCTCCTGCTGGTCAAGCGACCAGAATTGCCAGATGAACAAGCAGCCACCAACAAAGGCAACCACAGCAAACACACCGTAGTTCCAGACCAGCAACGGATCGCCCGAAAGACGATTCAAAGCCTCGGTAATAGCAGCCGAGATGGCATTTGTGAAGAGAGCGATAGCCTGAACCAGAGAGCGCATGTTCTTGGGCGCTTTGGAATATGCATACTCCAGGGATGTGATCGACGCGAAGATCTCGGAGAGGGCAATGAGAACATAGCAACCCGTTTGGATCCAGACGTTGAGAGGCGCCGGGTTGACAGAGCCATCGTCATTGAAGCAGCTGTTGGCCTGGTACCCGCATGGTGATTTCTTGTAGATGTAAAACTGAACAACTGCAGCCCATATCATGGCTGCCGCCGCAAGCCAAAAGCCCGCAGTAATTTTTTTCAGTGCAGTGAAGTTGATGCCCAATTTGCGCAGACCAGGGTAGAGGAACGAGTCGCAGAGGGGAATGAAGATAATCAGGGCGAAAGGGTCGAGGTTGTTGACAACACTACCGGAAACTCCGGTCAGCATGTGTGCGGATGCACCACATAACAGGGCAGAAGATGAACTTACTCGTTGGGTACACCGTTCAGCTTCATTGTGCCGGCTTGAGCAGTAAAGTTGTTGGTCAGTTGACCGTATGCAAGCCAGTAAAGCGGGTAGTAACAGAAGACCGCGCAGGCAGCAAAGCCACGGCGGACTTCGTCCACCCAAGCATCATCAAACGTCATCCACACGGGCCGTTGGGAGGGCTGAATGTTGGAAGGCTTCACTGCTTCCCAAATCGAACCGTTGCTGGTATGCTTCCACATGGTGACTGGGTTGAAAGACCAGCGACCCTTCATCCCGTAGACGAGGCAGCGGACGGCCTTGGTTACGACGGAACCAGCCGGTGGTCTTTGCTGATAGCGGTTGCGTCCCCACCACATGACAAAAGGAGTCGTTAGGAAGGCTAAGAGAGGGAGCAGGAACGAGAGCCAGAACCCCACATATTTCTCGGCGTAGACCTGGGCATAATGGTGAGCTTTGGATGGCAAGCACAGTTCTTAGGGGGGAACAAACCATGCCAATTTGGCCAACCAGTGCGCCAATGTTGATGAAGAGGTAGAAGTAATGATATATCCTGCTCTGCGTGATGATCGGATCTACAATCACGCGTTCGCCGGAGGACAACGTCTTGACAAAGGCTCTGGTCACGTCAATTTGTTCGACGATCAAAGGCGAGATATTGGGTTTGAAACTACCAGTCCCAAATCCCATGATGATCAGACCGAGCATAAAAACGGCATAGCAAGCGGTGGTGTTGGTGATGACTGGTGGGATAGCAGAAATAACGAGGACGATGTGACCGATGATAGCAATAGCAATAGACACGCAGATGGTCTTGTATCTTCCCCAGTGTTCATCGGCAACTGTCTCGAGTTAGCCTCGCCCTGAAATCTTGAGTGGCCGGGGCGTGAAAAGCCTATGGTGACACCAGCAAAAGGGGACTTACTGTAAGCACCAAGGAGGGGCACACAATACACCCAGAAGGTGTTGAAGGTATTGATGCCATTGGCAGTCTGAGGACCTTGACCCAGAGCACCAGATATACCCTGGTCGGAGCCACCACCAGCCCCAGTGTTATGGTGAGATCCCGGCGGACCATTCGGCGCAGGGAGCGGAAGAGAGTGGTTCACAAAGTTGGAGTCTGGGATGGATGTTTAGTGGCCTGCAAGAACAGCAGATATTAATTTTGGAGGCATACAAACAACCTGGGTTCCGTAGTAGGAGAAACGCTCGCAAAGCTCCACAAAGGCGACCGTGTACACTGACCATGGAATGGGCGCGGCGACTCGGCGAAGAGCGTTGGGTCCATGAAGCTCCTCTTGTGTAGGGGCATTGTCATACTCTGAGTCGTGGCGAACGAACTGCACAACTTCATTCTTGGTGGTGGTGCCTTGACGGCTATTGTCGGCGTCTAGGTGTTGCAGACCACCGGCCCCGGCAGTCTCAGCGTTGTCAACAGGCATGGTGAGGGATCAGCAGAGAGAAATGGGAGTATGAGGAGTGGTTTATCTCTGACCCGAGTCGGTGGCCGTCTGAAGGTCTTTATAGCTACAGCGGTATGACCAGGTGCCATTTCACAGACAGGTAGGGGCGAAGGACGAGATGGCGAAAGAGGGACGATGGTAGCATCCGTGCAGCGAATGTACTTATCGGCGGCGACATGGTGGGCATTTCTGGACAATGCTATTCCCCAGCGATATGTGGCAGCTATTTGTCGGGTATTTGGATGAGTTCGTCTCAGGTTACAATCTTCCCCTGTCATTGATATCGGGACGGCCCCTACAAACGAGGGTTTGATCCATGATTTTGAGTGTTCAGACTTGGCAACTGCGGGCCATGAGCGAAACAGAGAGTTAAGCTTCCTTGGCAACTGTTGACTCTACTAGACCTGTTAGGGGTGAAGCACCCGACTCAGGCAAGCAGGCAGTGTAGGCTCGATCTTCTAGTCCGATTGACCAGACAACCTGCGGCAGAACAAAATTCCTTCCAAGCTCTCTTGTCGACTTTATTCGCCGGCCACGTCCGATGGTTACCTCTTTGGCACCGACATGTTGTTGTGACAAGTCAACAAGTTGCCCCTATCTTCCGTGCGAGAATGGCCAGCTCGCTCTATCTCTTGGCGAGGCCGGGGTTTCGAAATCCTCATCAACATATAGTCCTCTTGATCCGAATCAAAGCCGTTCTCATCCTCCATCTTTCACTTTCCTGTAACCTTTCCTTGCACGGCAGCCGCACTCGCAACCCTGCATGTCAGCCATACCTCGTATCAGTACCTGAAAAATCTTCGAGGGCAACACTAGGGTTCGGGGAATGCCGTACTGTGTGAGGCTAGAGCGGTAGAGCGAGGGATTTATCTCTCGCCGACGTGGACTTCACAACATACTTAGCCACCCAAGGTTGCTCCTCTATGTTTGTGGCAGAAGTTGCGGCAGCTGCCAAAAGGTGCGATCACTTGTCGCGAGCGCGTCAAATCGCGATTGACAATGCTAGTGCCGGCGAGGACGGGTGATCTAGAAGACTGAAGTGGGGAGCTCTAGAAGAGAGGAAGAGCAGGGTCCTCGCTGTATGTTCCTAATAAGGCCCCAGGTGGACAAACTGGCAACGAACCCTGAAATACCGGAGTCTCCAGTCAAATTCCTGCGGGCAATGGACACGCCACAAATTTCCCCTCAGACTCTCTTTCGTGGTGGAGCTCTTTGAGCACTGAACAGTGTAGTCCTGCTCTTTGCGTTAGATGGATCGCGAGTCGAGAACAAATTGCTAAGCCTTAAGTCAGCCTTGCCACATTGGAAGACTGCTGACTCTTAGCCGAGGCAACGCAAAAGGAAAAGAAGTTGCACGATCATTGACCACAACGCATTCTCCCTGGTTCTCATGTTCGAGATCTCAGTTGCTTTTCCATTCAATGCTGAGATTTCTCGTGTCTTTTAGCCTGGCTGCCATTCTTCACAATGAAGGAAGACCAGTTGGATGTGCAGGAAGAGCCTAGCTGAGCCTCCTCTTCGTCTCTAGTTTTCCAATACAGGGAGACAAATTCATGGACCCTGGTCTGACGCCTCGACCAAAGCCCGAAGCTCCTTTCCTCCAGCGTCCGTTTCAAGTTGCGGCAGTTCGCGATGTCAGGCCAAAATATGATGCACGTGAGAAGGAGCAGCTGGATATCTTGGAGGATGGTACAGCACACCTGAAAGATCTTCGATGCCCGTGTTGAGCTTGGTCCACACCCTCCCCCAAACAATCCTATGCGCAAGATTCCCCCAGGCACCGTCATAGTGAGATGGAGGTGGCAAGAGCCGGTAAGGCAGAGGTGACATGATTCCTCACACCTTGCCTGAGGACGGACCACAAAGTATCTATTGTCCGTTTTTGTTTCGCCCTCTACATGGCGTTGGCTTGGACAACCACAGACGGTCCATCGTGAAGACTGGTCTCTGCAAAACTATGTCTTGTGTATATCAATCGGGTTTTCCTTGGTTCACTGTTATAAACACCGGGGGCTGAGGGATTAAGAGTCAAGCAATACATTCTGATAAACTAACTAATTCAGCGATTTTCAAACACTTAACGAGAGTTTTTATTTCAACTTCCTTCTCCCATGACCATTGCTATATCACAGCAATGATGATGTCAAGTTGAAAAGTCCCCTGATTTTCGTTGTCCCTTTGCATCGCCAAATTGTGATGCTCGCCAATTGTTCTTCCAGAGAAACAAAAGGCTGGCTTCACGTCTACCACCACAGTATCCTTTGTTGAGGCCTTCTGACATTCTGTGCCTGATATCGTAGCACCCCGTGCTTAATTCGCGAGAGGCGGGACAGCGATGGGACCAGCACCAGCGGTAGCTCCCCGAAGAGTAGCAGCGGCATCTTGGGATTCGTCACTTGCCGCATTCCAGTAGATCGAGTAGAAACCCGCGCTTTTCGAGTCATTGTCGGTGAGGATGAGACCTCTCTTGTCGACTTTGTTAGCCGATGCCTCGCCATCAGCTAGAAAGACCTTGTTGATCGAAGCTTCACCATCAGCCAAGGATTCGTCAGCTGCCGCGTTCCAGTAGATCGAGTAGAAGCCCGCGCTACTCAGGTCGTCGTTGGCGAGGATGAGATCCCTCTTGGCGACTTTGTTGGCTGAAGCCTCGCCCTCAGCTAGAAAGCCCTTGTTGGCTGAGACCGGGCCGTCGGCCGGGTCGCTGGCGAGTATGAGACGTCTCTTGAAGACCTTATTAGCCGAAGCCTCACCCTCAGCTAGAAAAACCTTGTTGACAGATGACTCGCCATCAGCGAGAAATATCTTGTTCGCCGATGCGTCGCCGTCGGCAGGGTCGCTGGCAATGATGAGACCCCTCTTGAAGACCTTGTTAGCAGTGATGAGGTCGCTGTCATTCACATCCGCAGACTGAACATACGCAAACGCGAAGACAGACGGGGAGAGAGCATCAGCTGGATCATTTGCAAGCCGAAGGTCACGTTTGAAGACCTTGTTGGCCGAGGATTCGCCGTGAGCTAGAAAGATCTTGTTGGCAGTGATGGGTTCGCTGTTATCCTCATCGGCAGGCTGTAGGTATGCGAACGCGAAGACGGATGGCGACATAGCATCCTCTTGAGACTCGCGTCTGAAGACTTTGTTGGCGGCCAGTTCTTCTTCGGCTGCTCCATTGGCAGTAGCAAGCGGAAGGGCGATGGGAGTACCAACTGGAGTTCCGGCAAGTCTTTTGGCAATTGGAGTACCAACTGGAGTCCCTACAGGTGTTTTGGCAATGGGAGTTGCGACATTGTTGGTAGCAAGTGGAAGGGCAATTGGAGTACCGACTGGAGTTCCAGCAAGTCGTTTGGCAATGGGAGTTGCGGCATTGGAGGAGAGCTCTTGGTTCTGTGCCTCGCGAGCGAGCTCCGCGGGAACAAGAGGAGCAGCGAGTGTTTGAGAGAAAAGCACGCCGGCAAGGGCCGAGAGAATGACTCCGGTCTTCATTGTGGAAAAGTATTTGTTTGTTTTGTTGTAAGAGGTTGCCTCTGGTGGGAATGTGAATAATGAATGTTTTTGTGCCTTTGCTTGTTGATGCGTATGAGAGATAGTTGTTGAGAGAGGGAGGATGTCTCTACTTATAGCCTTTCATCTCCCTCTCTAGACGACCGGCTTTCGATGTACATTGCTTTGATTTTCCATTCAAGTTGGAACTGCCAAGTAGGTTTCGTGGTATCAAAGAGGACGTCTGCCTAGCAATTGCAGAGGTCGCATGAGGAGTGGAATACATGATGGCGAGACCTCTCAACTACCATGAGGTACCTGTAAAGTTTGCGAAGATTGAATTTCACGATCAACGCGAGAGTGAACGTTTCGTTGTAGCGAGCTGAGTGGAGGAATATCAGCCTCGTTCGCTTCCGTCGCAACCAATCGCAAAGATGCTAAGATGCCAAGATCTTTGGGGATGCCAAGAGAGCCAAGGTGCCAAGCCCATGCGAGGCCTGGGGTTGCACCAGCCATGATGATATCATCGCATGAAGGCTCAGCTGACAATTTACCCTATTATCCGAAAGTCACGTCGCATTCTGTGTCCGTCCTCCCAAGGATTCCAGAACATTTCTGTGCGTCTTCGACTGCTTGTTCGGCCACTCGTTGTCGAAATTCTACTGACAACTCCGCGGCATATTCCAACGAGAGATACAGTGATGCGACGATGTGGCACAGTCAAGCGAATTCCAAGCGATGGGAGCTGAGAGGAGCTCACTATGTGCATGTCCATTGGCACCGACAACAGGTGTGAAGAGTATAAACTAGATTTTGCGTCGCGAGCAGTGGGATGTGTGTGCATCAAGATTCTGGACCTCTTTCGACTCCTGCCCACGACCAAACCATGAAGCCAGTTGAGCTTTCCTTAGAGATACCTTTTTCCTCGGACGATCAATCCACTCCATTCCTCTACACGACACAAAATGTCAAGAAACAACAGAGTCGACAAGGCTGCATATCGATAATAGCCTGCTCCTATGTTCTCGTGGGCTTCGCTGCTCTTTTGACCTATACATATGGCCTTATATCTTTCTTGAGGAGCGACCAACACTGTAGCAGACAGCTGTCTACTTACTGTAAGGACATCTAATGGGACCGACTCGACCAGTCTACTAAGAAGTCTAGCTCCGGCGCTCTTCTCTGTGGGCACCTATCAGGAGGTCATGTTCCACGGCGAGCTGTTTAACGACAATGGTGGATTCCGTGGTACTCCGAACTCTGAGCGTGATGCCGCATGGGACAGAATCACTCCAGGTATGCTGATTATCTCCACCAACCCTGAGACGTTGACGTGCACTTACATTACATCCAAATAGAGGACCCATTTCCCATTTCAGCCTCTGAAGTTGTCAAGGTTGGGAAATCCTTGGAGTCTTCAATCAGATACCCCGAGGATAAAGGCGGCCAGTATGCTGCCAATCTAGAGGTTTTCCACCAGTTACACTGTCTGGTGAGTTTTTTCGTCATTGGCCGTCGAAGAGGGTTGATGTAACCAATGTACCAGAATCTTCTGCGGAAAGCGACTTATTTCGAATACTACGCCGACAAAGAGATCATGTTCAAGACAACACGTCATATGATCCGGGAGCACCTTGGTAAGTCGAGCCGTTCTCGCCAAAGAGCAACACTAAGTACGCATGCAGATCATTGTATCGACATGCTCCGCATCAGTCTGCAATGCACGAGCGATCTCACACTCATAACCTTCAACGCGTCAACGCCTGAATTCCCCATGGCAGAGTATATACCTGACTTCTACACGAACCACAGATGCAGAAACTTCGAACAAACTTTGGATTGGTACAACGATCGCCGGATACCTCTGCATTTGACGAGCACCCATGACATGTCAGATGAACGGCCTTGACCACATTCCTTGGCTGCATTCACTGGATATGTGTTGAAATTGCTCGCAATGATTGGGTATATACTGCACATCGGCTACAGCTCGAATGGATAACACTCCGTTTCATATGGTCCGCAACTATTTATTCCGGCAATGTGTTCTAGAGCACGCTCCACCGCCAATCATTTGCAACTACGGTAGATATCACGCCATTCGGTATTGACGTGTGGCTTTCTTCGCATAAATAGAGGCCAATGTAATGAGAGACAGGCGGTGGCAAACAGTGAAACTTCGACATAGCCAGAACAAAGTTTCTCTTGTTATTGCGATTACAACGCTTGTAGGTTACATTTGGTGCATCAGCCAAAGCAGGAGAATAGGGTATTGCGAGGGCTGGAACACCATGGGAACAGTCAAACAACTTTGGAAAAGCGGTCCACACACATACTCTTTAGTATGGTGCGTTGCAGTGGGAAGACCGCATGGGTTACGTGGTGGTTGAGTGCGCACAGAACGTTCTTACTGGGATCAATTGAGGAACTACTTTCTTAACCATCCTGTGCACACTGATAAAAGAGCTACATTGAGAGTCCATTGAATGGGTACTGAAAAGCTTGGAGGCAGCACGAGTAATCGCTGGGCCCTATATCCCACCATCAAAGCACTAGCTTCGAAGGATTCGATAAGGCCTTAATAACCCAATTCCACCACCAGAACCACTTCGGTCAAGATAATATGCCCCTTGACGACCCCCGAAATAGAAATCTTTATCGTATTCCCGTGGAGAATTATGACAATGACGGGCCTCTGTGCATTGTGAGGGAAATATTGTCAGTTTCAGACGAATCCACCTTGAATCATACACACTGCCCAAACCGCCCCTTTCGGGCTTGCATAAACACCTCCGCCGAAGCTGTCATGTCAGAAGCTCCTCCATTTGTCGTTTCGAAACGCTCCAGGCTTCTTTGGTGATGGCAGAACATTAAGCGCAGATTAACTCGCAGGCAAAAGAAATGAGAGTTGGCCAGTGCAGGTCGCGGTAATCCTTGGCCGTTATAGCTGAGTCGCTTCCGCTTCTTGAATCAGCTTTTTCAAGGCGTCGGCACTCTTGTCCAAAAGAACCTTCTCCTCTTGATCCAGTGGGATGCTGAGGGATCTGACTATTCCCCGTCGTCCTAGGACGACCGGTAAACTCAAGCAGCATCCTAGCTGGTCAACCCAGTGAGAAATGGGACGAACATTTCGTTGATCAAATAGAATCGATTTGCAGATAGCTGCGCTCAGAGCGCCGATGCCGTAAGCTGTCGCCCCTTTGGCTTCAATGATCTTTGCCGCCTTGTCTTTTGTCTCCAACGCAACGGCCTTGCGGTCAATGGACGCTCCTGGTGGCAGACAATGATCCAGCGGCACGGCACCGATGGTGACGCAAGACCAAGCAACCTGTAGCTTCTGATCAGCTCAACAACACCGAGGTGGTCTTTGCTCCGTGACGGCCTACCATCTGTGATTCTCCGTGTTCACCAAGGACATAGGCATCGACGCTGCCTGCGTCGACTCCCAGCTTTGCAGCCAGGATGCCTCTCAGTCTTGCAGTGTCGAGGAAAGTCCCGCTGCCGATGATCTGACCTTGAGGTAGCCCGGAGAACTTCTGGCAGAAGTAGGTTAGTATGTCCACAGGATTTGCCACGAGAAGAATGACTGTGTCCTCGCGGAATGGTTTCATATCATCTGTAGCAGACTTCAGAATTGCCAGGTTACGACCCAGTAAATCGGTTCGTGATTCGCCTAGAAGAAAGAGGTTATGATCAGTGGACATTCGCATGGAACTCAGCAGGTGGAGTCGTTACCATGCCTCTGTTTTGCACCCGCGCTGATGACCACGATATCGCATTGTCCAGCCTCCCGGTGTGTTGCAGATCGTATTCTGACTCCGCCGCCACTGTCGATTGATTAGTCGAGCGTCGAGCCACGCATCAATTTAACGCACCCAACAGCGCCATGATAAGTGGTGGTATCTTCGAGGTCTCTGACTTGCGCATCTCGTTGTTTGGTATTCGGGTCAACCAGAAGAATCTCGCTTGCGACTGGGTTCAAGATAAGGCAGAGTGCTATTGCTGAGCCCACGCTTCCAGCACCGAGGATAGCAATACGCGATCTGCCAGTGACCACCTCGGGATCCATTGGTGTAGGTTCCATTTCGGTGAATTTGATCACATTCACAACGGGGTTAACCGAATGGATTGTTGAATCTAAAAGTTGGCAGATAAGGATGGAAGTGACCGATGACGAGGCTGGGAGAAGAAAAACGGACTCAAGGCTCCGACTCGGTCCCACAGTACAAAATTTAAAAAGATGGAGGTATATCGTTTGGGAAGTGGGATGATTTCGTAGCTATCGTAGATCTGTCCCATTACAGGGTTTACAAAGAGGGGTAAGGACTTGGTACGATGGAGTGCCTCTATAAGACTGCGTGATACCTGTTGCCCCGCTCATTGGCTCATAAAATATGGCGAGTTGCAGGCAGAAACTCTCTCATGCCAGAAATAATCGAAACCTTGAATGCACACACAAGTGCAAAATCTAAACTTCGAAGGGCGATTTGAAGTGCAAAGTCTCACGTGTAAACGGATTTTCCTAATAACGGGGGAGTAGGCGGTGATTGCGTTGAGTCCGACGAGGAAGACCTCGACAGACAGCCCATTTGACTTGACGTCACCGTAAGGATACAGCCTCTTCACATTATTGCGGACTACCTTGGAATTCAAGGCGGGGTGTAATAGAAGACCTTCTGACCCTTGTCAGATTATGAAGACAGGCATGACTTGTGGTAGAATCTCAGTCCACCTTCTCTCCGATTGGACCTTCCAGAACTCCTGCAACGCTGCAAGTGCAGTGGGGATGTTATGGAATCGGGTGCGCGAGAAGACCTCTTGCAGTCGCATAGTGAAGAAGTCGCGATGTTCCAGTGTCGAACTCTCCGCTGCGGCGATAAAGTAGACCCAGACAAGCGTATGATGTCCTGGTGTAGTAGGTTGAATCCGTTCACACAGACCTTTCAGGCGGGCGAGGTCTGCAACAGTCTCACTGTGAGGCGGACCACTTGTGACACGCTTCAAGTATATGTTGCAGGCCATATGTATGGCAGACTTATATAACCCGATCTGGGGTGCAAGCATAGGGTGAAAAATGGCTGCGTTGGAGATGAACTCAAAGTACGCTGCCGGTCGGGTGCTCAGGGTCAGAGTCCCAGAGCTCTCTCCTAAGAGCGGCTGGGCAAAGAGAGTCATCATACGAGTCTGTTCCATCAGGAATGAGTGCATTACGCTGTTTCGGCCATCCCTTGTGTTCGCAGCGGCGAGGTGCTGAAGGATCTTAAACAAGTAGGGTAAGTTAGTGCCGCCGGTGATGGTCTCGCCGGTCAACAGGATGATTATCGTGGTCCAGGCGGAAATGTCGAGGAGATCGGCTTGAGTGGATGTGCGTAAGCGCAGCTCGGAGATGATCGACTGAAATCCTGCTTCAGCACGAGACTGCAATCCTGGCTGTTGATAAGCGAGGTGCTGCATCGCGACGACGCATACTGCAGACCGGACAAGATGATCTTCAAAGGCAAGCGGCAGTATAAGATCACGATAGCCGTTGAATTTGCCGTCCAAGACCACCATCACCGGTGCAATCGTTGAAGAAAAATGTGCGAATAATTCTCGATACTGCGGACCGACAAGCTCAAGGGGTGGTGAAACCTGATTGGGGCAGACTCCGTGCTGATGTGTCGAGTTGCACAAAAGGCAGACTATGGGTTCGAGCAATAACTCTGACGAGGCTCCAGTAAATCCTCTCATGAACGATAGATGCTGCTCGCTGTCTGCAATGTTTGCAATGTCAGCGGACAAAGTTGGCAAGTTATGATCGCCTTCTGAAAGCAGTTCTGTGTCCTCATAACCACGGGATTCTATCACCGGATCAGCTTGGGTGAATGTCGAAGTCGTGGTGCCATCTGGCCACAATAGGACCGGCGTTGTCCTGTGCTCCAGCGGCCCTTGAGTACTTGTGGCCTGGTCGATTGGAATTGTGCGGCCTGTAAATCTACCGCGTGAAGCTATACCATCATTGAACCTGTATCGGATCCCGTACCCGGGGCAGTCAAGACCCTTCCGCAAGCACTTGTTGCATTTTGGACGGGACTGGTCGCACTTGATGCGTCGCTGCGAGCAATTGTGGCAACCTATATGGCCATTTAGCAAGGATGTCGGGCTCGGAAGCACACGACGAACTCACCTATAAGCTCCTTCGGCATTTTATCTGTGGGCATCGAGGAACACTGCCGTGCTTTGACATGGAGCCATGGTGAGCAGGACTCTGTGTAGCGAGATTGGTGGAAGCTCAGGCGAACACGAGGAGAACATTTGATGGCGAAGAGTTCGGATGTGCTGGAGGTTGCATTGGAGTGAGTCCCTTGCGAATTCCTTCATCCGAGAACTCGTTGCACTGCGCCACTACGCCACAATCACGTGCGACTCGAAGGTCAGCCACTTTTTGCACAGCCTCAATTTCTGTCGCATTGTCGCGTATCGTGACCCAAAAGAGCTCGTTATTTTAGTGCACCTTAACATCTATGTCATGCCATATACGGTTCTGTATGCTTGTACTTTGGCGACGAAAACTCTCATACTGCCCTCTTATTCTCCGCTACAAGCGGCTTGTCTTCGAAAGTGGCCGCAGCTCCTGTCGAACTGTCAATGCCGCTTCAGTTCCCGATTGAATGGCGCCATCGATAAAACTCCTCCATCCTCCCGCAGCCCAATCCGAGTTAGCGAACAGCACGGATCCCTGCCTCCTCCTGAGAGCCTCAAGGTATTGCACCTCCATACCTGGCCTATACCACACCCTGAACACTGTTAGCGATGATGGTTTGGGTCACGTCAAGGGGATTCTCCTTACCATGCTCCCTTGGCGAATTCATCCTTAGACCAGTTGTGGAATACCTATGTGGAACTGGTCAGCTTCACCTCTCCTGGGGCCTGAGTTGATTTCACACTCACAACACGGTCCACCTCCATAGGACCAAACTCCTTAATAGCCCTGAGGGTCTGATCGATGTCCTCATCGGCATGCATATGATTGGCATCACATCCAAAAAAGACACAGTGAGTTTTTCCTGCCGGGGTTGTGCCATCTGCCACCCCGATAACGAGTTTATTATGAGGATAAGTGACGCCGCTCCAAGACCTCATCTCTGGGTCTTTAACTTCCGCGTGGACCTTGACACATTGATTGACATGCTTCAATGCAGCAGCCTCGCGCTTCGCTCGATCCAGTGGCGGGTTGAATTCAATGTTCTCGAGTACGTTCAACGGCGCCGTGCAGATGACCTTTTTCGCCCAAAAACGTTGGCCGTCCTTTGTCCTGACTTCTACCAAACCCTTTGAGGAATCGATCGCCGCGACAGGCGTGTTGAAAGAGTATGAAAGATTGCCGCTTATCAGTGCTTCCTCAAAAAAGCGTCTTGCGAAGCCAGATTGACCACACTTCAACTTGAAAATAATGATGGTGTCCAGCAGCGTTTTGTAGTCGTAATTGGCTGCGGCCCACCACCGGAGAAAGTCAAGGAATGCCGAGTTTTCCCTCGTTCCGCCACTGCAGAGGAGCACAAAGGCTTCGATAGCGTGCCTCTCGTCGCTGGAAAGATCGTGGCTTATTTGGGCTATTCTCTCTGCTACCGACAGGTTGGAATACTTGAACACATCTTCGTTCCAGTATGCGTTGAAAGGGAAAGGCATGATGGCCCTTCCAAGGTTGCCGTCGACGTTGACGAATTTCTCTATAGCCCGAGCGAAAAGAGAATCCTGGACATGGTAAGTCAGCATGAAAGACTTGAGGCTTGCGCCAGACTCACCTCTTCTTCGTGACTCATGTTCCTAGTCCCAGTTGCTGTCTTGAAGGTGAAGAAATTGTGCTTCTTACTGTAGTCGGTAGAATGCACTAGCTGGTCCTTCATCCCATACCTTGACAGTTCACGATAGACATGTGGCTGAAACCAATGGACCCATGTGCCTCCCATTTCGTAAGGATATCCGTCAATCTCGGATGACCAGGTTCGGCCTCCAATTCTGTCTCGGCCCTCTAGCAAGAGTGTTTTCAAGCCTGTGTGCTGGTTAGCATAAGAAAAGTTGATTGAACGATGTCTTTCAGCTCAACCAAACTGACCGGCAGTTGATGTGTCTCTGGCCGCTGTGAGCCCTGTATATCCTGCGCCGATAACAATCACATCAAGCGAGTCTTTGGGATTTCGAATCATGTGTGACGGTTCCACCACTGCAATTGTTGGGATGCCAGCTTGGAGCCCCGTGCCAGGGGTCCAATGCCAACCTTCTCGTGATCTGTGCATGTTTTCTCTTTGATTATAGTGGTGGTACTGTTGATAGAGTGGTCTTGCTGGGAATAGGGAATGTCTTCGACATGCTTGTGCAGGGGCACAGAGCAAGCGTGGAAATAAATAGGTTTTGAAGGCAACTGTGTGAAATTCCGCTGCCGGCCTGCTCTGTCGTTTTAGGCAACAGAGAACGGGATTCTATTACTCCTTTTGATGTGAAACGGATTGAGAAGTAGACGTCTGATAGACATATCATCGTCTTGGAGCATTCATTGGTTTGAGTGGAGTGGCAAAGGGTATGCACTTTCGTCCGGGCTTCCCCTTCTGGAAAATAAAGTTTGGCTCAGCGCAGCCAGCGGGAGCGCTTACCTAGAAAGGTTAGAGCACTCACTTAACATTCCCTTTTCGGACTGCCAAGTCTGGGGTCCGGGGTGGAGGGTAAACGGGCCCATTCCGCAGGTCTCTATCATTGCACTACAAACCCTCGTCCATGTGTCTATTAAAGCGGTGGAAGCTCATGTTTTTCGACGGGGACTTGATGAATGACCTTTGTCTCACCGACTGCGCCCTGTCCTTCTGATCAACTACTAGCACCTCAGACCAACAAGATGAGATCCCTTGAGACAGAGAAGGTCGGAAATCAGGCTTATGGAACCCAACCCTTCGATCGGCTTGAACAAGGTATGGAGAGAGCCCCATTCTCGCACGTGGCTTTTCTACAGCTACTTCCACGCAGTTTACCGGATATGTGTGACTGACACGTTTCTCATATAACCGCAGTTGAGACTCAGCACCAAGGTACATTCCGAACGGTTGAACTCTCCGCATTAGGCCTTCGTCAAGAGACCCAGAGGGACATTGGACCCCTCGATACCATCTGTGTTGGTTGGAACATCTGCAACAGTTGGGCTGGAGTGGCAGCCACTTTGGCTTTGACAATCGCTCAAGGTGGTTCTGTCACCCTCATTTATGGTGTCGTTGTTTGTTTCATTATGGTTGGGTGCAGCGGATTAACTATGGGAGAGCTTGCATCAGTCTATCCGACTGCTGGGGGCCAGTAAGTCTCGCTGCCTTTATAGAGCTGGACGGAACTAGAACTTGTTGCAGGTACCATTGGACTTCTATATTGGCACCTCCAAAGGCCAGTCGTTTCTTGGTATGGTGCTCACTGCTCCGCTGAACCCAGCAGTGTTACTGCTCTGCTAATTGCATGGATAGAGCTATGCGTGCGGCATCACCAATGCTTATGCCTGGATTGCTACCACAGCCGGCATCGCCATCATTGTCCCGCAGGTCATCCTGGCTATGGTCGTCCACTATCAACCTGACTACGTGGCTCAAACCTGGCATTACTTCCTCCTTTATCAAGCTGTCAATTTTCTGGTTTGCATGCATAACATCTTCTCGTTGAAGAAGACTATGTGGGTCAATGATGTTTCATGTTAGTCACGGTCTCTGCTGTCTACTGGCATTTAGCTGATTTGTGCGACAGTTGTGATCACCTTGACAGGTTTCGTCACCATAATCATTACCTGCCTGGCTCGAGCGCCCCATAAGCAGAGCAGCGAGTTCGTTTGGACCAACTTTGTGAACGAAAGCGGCTGGCCTGCTGGTATCAGCTTTCTGACGGGACTAGTATCACCAAACTACATGTACGCAGGTATTGACGGCGCAATCCATCTTGCCGAAGAGTGCAAACAGGCCGAGAAGGTTGTCCCGAGGGCCATCGTCAGCACCTTAACAATTGGATTCATCACAAGCTTTATGTTCGCGGTGTCGATGACATACTGCATTGCAGACTTCGACGCCGTACTTGGCACCCCTACTGGGTAAGAAGACGCATGTGATCCCCCATGCATAGTACGATTGCTAATGCAGAGTAGGTTTCCAATCTATGAGATCTGGTTACAAGCGACCAGATCTAGTACCGCAGCCACGATCTTCATGGCCATTCTCCTCACAGCGGCCACAGTGGCACTCATCGCCGTTCAGCAAACAGCTTCACGCCTGACGTGGTCTCTTGCACGAGATGAGGCTTTGGTCTGGTCCAGACTTCTCGGTCATGTTCATCCATCCCTGCAAGTTCCAGTTTGGGCGCTCCTGGCCAACAATACCATTGTATTCATCATCGGCTTCATCTTCCTCGGATCTTCGACGGCTTTCAATGCCTTTATCGGGACGGGTCTGATCCTGCAACAAGCTACGTATGCAATTCCAGCTGCCCTGCTGATGTATAGGAGGCGGTCTTCGATGTATCTGCCTATCAACAGGCCATTCAAGCTGTTCAGCCCGGTTGGCTGGGTTGTCAACCTCTCTACCGTCGCCTTTGCTATCGTGGTCTTGATCTTCTACGATTTCCCGGTTGTCATCCCGGTAAGCGGTTCAAACATGAGTAAGTCTGCCATAGTTACAGGTCGGTATTTGCCAACTGACTCCGTGTAAGATTATACATCTGCTGTGATTGGGGTTATGGCACTGTTTGCGGCACTCAACTGGGTACTTTTTGCGCGAAGGTCATACCATGGCCCAAGATTGGACTAAAGGAGACGAGCCGTCAGTACTAGTAGCCCGAAAACCCAGCATGGAAATGACCGGCATCAATAGTGTCAGAGGTGGCTTTTTGTAGTCGATGCTTTTCCTTTGAACTATGCTTGCTCGACTGCTAAGTTGAGTCTTGAAGTATTTTATCACATCGCCAGAGGTGAACAAGGGATCCTACATGATATATATCCTGAGAAAGGATTTCAAACATCGATGCGAAATTCTCCATGGTCTGACTCACAACTAGGTCGTCTTGTATTCTCGCATTGTCGAATTACCATATAGATGGTTTCCAGACTACCCAGACGCCCACCCCACCCGTCATGAGTGGTGGTCTGCATACCCCCGGGCCCCTGACGGCTGTGATATCGGTTGTTTTGGGGCAAATTCTCCTCTAAGCCATCCTCCAATAACTCAGCCCCTTTCATGCTGGTCACCAGCTGCATTGGTGCAAGGTAGCAGCGGCTTGTTATGCATCGATCGTCAACCTTCTCGTCAGGCTTCTTAGACTTCAGCACGTGGATACCGAACTAGAAATATTTGACAATCAATAAGTCATCAAGCCCAGTTCCAAGTCGTCTATCCACCCTGCAAAGGGATCCAAGTCGCCAAAGAACAGACTGCTCGGTCCTGTAAAGGGAGAGTCCATGTGTTCGGACCGGGGGTCTTGAAGACCAGATGTTCTGCTGTCGTTGAGAGTATTCATCGAGCCTCTAAAGCCCTGCGTCATATCGATATATTTTGAATAGGATAATGAAGATGATGGGTGAGTAGCGTGCGCAGAAAAGCTGTCGTGTTCTGAAAGTTGGTATTGTTTGCATAGGTCCGGGCCAAAATCATCGACAAACTCCTTGAGCCTCCCAATATCAGGCTCTGGTGTATCGCTCAGACTTGGGCTCTTCACAGTCAGACGCTTCATCTCGGCTAAAGCAGCTAGGGCACCATCAGCGGACCCCCATCTCTTCTTCATCTCCGCCAGAGACGATTGTATGATGGACAACGATTCCTCGGCAGTATCGTGGAGAGAGCCGTAGCGTAGTGCCAGCATCTGAGCAAGACCAGCCGCAAACGCGTAAAATGTAAATACTGGCCCGCAATGACAGAGCTCGCCCCTGTTTAAGATGTCCTCGAAGATTCCGGCCACGAACGAAGAGGCGACGAACGACATACATATGGACTGATTTCGCGATGCGGAATGCCGAGAAAGGATTACGAGAAACACAAAATATGGGATCAAGAGCTGTCTTCCCTCAAAGTTGTAGGCTCTGAGCTTCTTCGGTGATCCATGGAAGAGCTGGAATTCTGCTGGTAGATCCTTGATCCAGCGATAAAGGGCATTCTCTAAAAAGGTTTGTGTCTTCCCCGTCATGGTCTTGCGTCGGATGCTTTCGGTCAGATCTGCCAGAAGACGAATAATCCCCGAGTAAGCCAAGAACAACCGTGCCTTGCTGTCTGGGCTTGAGAAGTCGTTGGCGGCCAGAGGAGCGACATCGCTATCATCCAGGTTAATTGTCCTAGGTCGCCCGGTTCCTATGGATATAACATCATCCCGGCACTGGGAGTGATTAACAGATCTTCAATCTGCTCTGAGATGAGCAGGGCTTACCACAATTAACCACCATAATCTCCTACGGAGATACCTGTCCTTGCCGGTGACAGGTTCTCGGTGCAGTCCGACCTGGTACGCTAATCCCGCCGCGATACGCACCCAAAATCCACTCGTGCTAGTCGAGATATGCTCTGGACCTGTGGGATTGTACCATTGAAGCAGCGTCACAGCCATAATGGAGGCGAGCGCATCCCTTTCATGGCCCAAGATGAATAGCAACCTAGCTTTGCAGTAAAACTCCTCAGCAGAAGCCGACAGAGTATCACTCGATGCCACTCGGCTCCCAGCAAGAAGCACGGCGTTGAGTAAGAGAGGAGACGTTCCATTGGTATGTAGATCCTCCACATCCGGAGGTTCCAAAACGGGCGTCCAAGGTGAACAATACTTGAAGTAGCTGTCGACGAGACTGGCGAGTATAGACCTCTGAGGCAACTCAAATGCGTTTTGTAGTTGGAGTAGCGCAGAGTCTGTGTGTGATAGTCGTGAGGCATCGCTCTGACCCTGCACCATCTCCTCCCGGAATCTGATATCACTGCTCCCAATATAATCGCTTCTGCCGACATGGCTTGCCGTGGTGGCCACATATTCGGGCGATGCGACGGGTTCTCTCTCAGTTGCCTCTGCTAAAGGTTCTGCACCTACCTCGATATCGACACTCTCCCACTGCCGTCCAGGCTGGTTGGTCGGAGTTTGAGTCTGATTCTCCACGGACTGAAGAGTCTTCGCTGGTGTTGACGGTGATCTGTTAATTTCATTGAGAGCAGTAAAAGTTCCAGGGCTCTGTGGATGATATTCGCTTGTTGGCAAGTATCGGGGCCGCTTTCTTTGATGCGGTTTGCATGGAAGGCTTGCCAACCTGCAATTACTGCATGGCTGATTGCAAGAGCTAAAGTCACATTTGATCTAAGAAACAGGGTTGCCATCAGTTTATCCATTTGATCACCCTCTGGAGTTTACTACCTTTCTTCGATGACATATGTCGCATGCTTTCCGGACCCTGGTCGATGTTGACATTTGTGTCACGTTCGTCTCTTGGGACGCTGATGTTGTAAAGAAGACATTAAACGCCGGTGCGGGAATGATCCATCGGCTATAACTTGCCCTGATTGCGGGGTTTTCGGCATTACCAGGCGAGACAAAAAATTTGGCTTTTGAAACCCCGAATGATCCCGACAGAAGGGGAAAGCAGGTATTCCCATTCAGAAGATATCCATCCTGGGCATGAGCACATTCAATCGTCAACTGGAGCAGGATATGACGGGCAAGGTCATAACATGATATCTAAATCTACTAAAAAGAAACCTTGGAAAAGATTCTATAGTCTTGGGCGAACCTGCGGCTCGAGGCTGTAGAAGTGCTGGAAAGCTCTCAGACACCCAGGATTTATCACCGTGGAACTGATCGTCCGTGGCATCTTCCCGGTTGAGATGGTCTCCTTGACCAAGGTCTCGACCTTCTTCCCGTTTGATGTCATCGGAATCTCTTTGACTTCGACCACGAAGCGTGGAACATGTCTGGGACTAAGGGACTTGCGGATAGTGCTCTTCAATAGCTGCTCTAGCTCATTGGAGAACACGTGCCCAGCGCGCATGACGACGAAAAGAAACACCGACTCGTCAAAATCAAGTCCATGCCTCTTTCTACCGACGCAGAGGGTGGTGGAAATCGTGTCCAAGAAGGGTGCCGCTTCTGTAACCGAGTAGATCTCTGCGGAGCCGAATCTGATGCCTTGCGGGTTAAGAACCCCGTCACTGTCAGAGTTAGTCATCATGAAATCCTCTGGATGTCTTGTGGTGTACCTTCTTCCGTGAATGACCCAACCCTTTGTGACCGGGTTGACACTGGCCCAATCATGCTGCGCCCAGCAGGGAAATGAATAGCGACTGAAATATGATGCTCGATACTTTGCACCATCTGTATCAGCCCACATATAGACTGGCATTGAGGGAAATGGCTGTCGACAGACGAACTCCCCTGCTTCCCCAGTGTTCTTGATAGAACTTCCATCAACGGGATCTGCTATGTCAACATCGTGTCCGAGAATGGGCATCTGGATCTCCCCTGGAAACAATGGACCAGCGGGATCAGTACCACACCACGAGGTGACCAAGTCAGTCCCCCCAGTCACGCTTGTGAGATGTACGCTTGAGGGAAAGACAGCGTAGAACCAGGAGTACTGATCAGCGGCAAGATGAGATCCGCCGGTTTGCACCATCCGGAGACTCGATAGATCATACTCTGCCTTGGGTATACACCTTGTCGATTCCAATTCCTTGAGATACTTTGGCGAGACACCCCAGTAGTTCACACGGAACTTGTCGACAACTTCGAGCATGCGCTGAGGCTTTGGCCAAGTAGGAGATCCGTCATATAGGACGAGGGTGGTCCCCATGGCTAAGTGTCCGATCATAATGTTCCAGAGAACCCACGATGTACTCGAATATTGAAACACAACCTCTCCAGGCTTCAGAGAATTATGAAGCTTTCCGATCTTTTTATGCTGTATGATGGCTGCATGGCTGTGCACGAGGCATTTGGGAGGGCCAGAGGTTCCACTGGAGTAGAGAATGTAAAGAGGTGTTGTGAATGGGAGCCTGGCAAATTTTAGACCATCAGTCTCTTTGGACCTACCAAGGAAATCTGATAGAGGGCGAAATGGCCCCACAGGCCCTGTAGGTACAACGAACAGCTCCGAATTCGGGCCGAGGAGGTTCATGATTGACGAAATCTTGGATGCATTGGAATGCTGTTGACCTTTGTAGATGTAGTGGCTATCGGCGAACAATATTGAAGGCTGGACTTGTTGCAGCCGGGAAATACATCCCTGGAGAGTCAATACTATACTAAAGCACTCACTGTTCACTGGGATCTTACCTCCAGCCCAAGATCAGGAGCAATCGAGGTAAAGATGGCTCCAATGCTCGCTGATCCAAGGAGCAGGGCAACTGACCAGACCGATGTAGATATCAGAGCAGCCACTCTATCACCTCTTTGAATGCCGCTTCTGAGAAAAGCGCTCCTGATCCTCCGCACATTCTCTCGCAACAAGGACCATGTCCAGACTTCACCCTCGAGGTGTTGACACTCGCTTAAGCCGATTAGAGCAGGGCTCTGGTCATCCACTAGCGGTTGGCTCAATACATTCTCCGCATAGTTGATCAATGCTCCTTCGAAGAACGGAGGAACCTCTGAAATGGATGTGGCCGGATTGTATGCATGCTTTACTCCCAGAGGCAGTGCGGGTATCAAGCCGACATAGTCCCAGAGATCAATCCAGAACGCATGGGGTGCTGTCACACTCCATCGGTGTAGCTCGTGGGAGTCCCTCAACTGGACATTGAATTTATTGTTGATATGCTCTCTGTAAATGTTCATTGGTATCTGGTTGGCTGGAATCATCGGCTTCCATATTGGTTTAGGCTGCATAGTGTGGTATTGAGCCTCGTGTTGAGAAGACGAGATGTTGCTCGATCGAGACGCAACCCTTTTGATGGTGGTTAGTGTATCTTGAAAATGCCAGCCCTTGCTCTTATCATGTTTTAATTCAAAGCCAGCATTAAGTCTCATGTTCTCTCTGAAAGGTACTCAGTATCGTTGTCTATGCTCCGGAACGCTCTCCGTCGGCTCCTTGCTATTTGACATTTGCCGCTTTACGCCGAGTAACATCCCTGTCAAGGTAAAAAGTACTAGCCTTTAAAGCAGTAATGTGTGCCTGGGTCCAAATTTACATTACCCGTCAAACGCCGAGTGCTAGCCTCGAGTATCTAGCGGCATTCGGCACTTGTCGACCCCAATTTGAAGACAAGAGAGCATTTAATATGGGCAACAATCTCCAAGCCCTGCTAACGGAACAGTAAACAATCTGAAGACCTTCAAGATCGCAAGCATGTCTCGTCTCAGACCGTCTACCATCGACAGTGGGTTCATCCTAGCTCCCCATGCTTTAGAGAATCCTTTCACGTCGGACAAATCGTATCAACGAGTTCTCGAATGGTACCTCCCACCTTCTATTCTCGAGACTGTCACACCTCGTCTCACCAAATTTGCGGAAGAGGCAATCTCATCAGAGGTCAATGAATTGATATCAAATGCGGAATCGCAACAGCCATACGTCAAGGCCCATAACGTGTGGGGTGCCCGTTACCCATATGATAGACTGGTGACCAGTCATGGCTGGAAAGAACTGGGAAAATGGGGGTCGAAGAATGGGTAAGTCATCACCAAAATACCTCGACGATTCGACCTGACAAGTAACAGAGTGATAGCGCTTGGCTACGAGAACGAGTTCAAAGAGTACCGGAGGCTCGTTCAGCATGCATTGTAAGTCTTGCCAGAGAGCCTACATATCGGGGCAGCGACTAATGGCATAGTAACTATACATTCTCTGCATCGTCGGCGGTATATTCATGTCCAGTTTCAATGACCAGCGGAGCAGCACGGCTCGTGGCTAAACAGCTGAGCTCCGTGCCCGCTGATCATCCATTTCATGAAATCTATCGTCTCCTCATCTCCCGGGAAGGGAATTGGATCTCGTCTCAGTGGATGACCGAGAGACCCGGTGGCAGCGATGTACAGAACTCTGAGACTGTTGCTGTCTTCTCTCCGCTCCCCGCCAAGTCAGGACGTTATGGGGCCATTGAAGAAGGAGACTATCTTGTGTCCGGGTTCAAGTTCTTTTCGTCGGCCACCGACTGCAATATGGCCCTCATCCTGGCCAAAACAGAATCCGGGCAGCTCAGTCTCTTTGTTGCGCCAACCAGAAAGACGGTGGTTGTTGATGGGAAACCCCAGCAGGTGACAAACGGTGTTCGTATTCATCGCCTCAAGAACAAGATGGGCACCAAGGAGCTTCCGACCGCTGAATTGCAGCTTGACAACGTGAGAGCTCATCTCATCGGTCCATTGGACCGCGGAATCGCGACCATCGCCCTGCTTTTGAATGTTACCAGAACTCATAATTTTATCACTGCCTTGTCTTGCTGGCGTCGGGGCATGGCGATTGCTAAGAGCTTCGCGAAGGTCCGGACCACGATCAATCAACCGCTGTGGACCTTTCCTATGCATCTCCGAATGCTGGCAAATATGGAGGTCAAGCACCGAGGGGCTCTCCAGCTCGCATTCTTCACTACTGCATTGCTGAGTTTCGCCGACAACGGGTTTCCCCCGGAGGATATCCAACGGAGGGGCTACGTACCTCTGCCATCCCCTGGAGAACAGACTGAGATTATCCTGAGAACTCTGACCGCAACGTCGAAGGCCGTGATCTGCAAAACCGGCACTCTTTCGCTACAGGAATGCCAGGAGGCCATGGGCGGTGTCGGGTACATGGACGAGCCGGATGAGCCGGATTTCAACATCTCGCGCCTCATGCGGGACACAGCAGCAAACATGACGTGGGAAGGTACTACAAACGTGTTGAGCAGCGAGGTGGTTAGACATCTCTTGAATAAGAACGCAAGCCATCTTTCTGCTTTCAGCGCCTGGATGGAGTTTGCGATTTCGCGCGTGAAAGACGCTGAGTTGAGAGAGAGACTGGAAGTGGCTTGGGGTGAATATTTCAACACGCTCAATAAGAGGAGTGATGATCTGGTCTCTGCCCTCGCCATGGGACGGCAGTTGATGTTCACTCTCGCCTGGCTGGTGGCGGGGGTGCTTCTTGCACTTGACGCGGCTAGGGACACGGATGCGGTTGCTTTGGAGATTGCACGACGCTGGGTTCTGGAAGGTGAAGGAAATATAGGCGAGTTCCATCTCTCGAACGTCGTCAAGTCGTCGGGGCGTTTGCTGCCAACCAGTGACAGGGACAAGATCAACTGGGACTGTCGAATAGTTTGGGATATCGACCTCCCTAACGGCTATGCAACGGGCTACAGAGTCGGAGACAGGAAGACAAGTCGCGCCAAACTATAGTTGTCTAGTGAAGTATATGTCCTGAGATATCGTTTGTAGGTTATCCTCTCCAAGAGTTCTCGGTCTGATCAGCCGCAGTAGAGATAATTCTCCCACGGCCAGACTGGCTGCTCTTTTCCGCTCAGATACTCGTCTGGATACATGCTGTATATATCTAAGATGCTATTCGTCTTCCTTGCGTTAATTTCCGAATGCACCGGGGCTCGCAATAGTCTGAGCCAGGTCAATCCTCCAAAGCCTTGTCGATGCGAGGATGATGGCAGAATTGCCTGCCAGAGCGACCTGTGCGACACTGGTCCCTTGCATCTTCTGGCTCATCAACGTGTCATGATTAAACAGCCCAATGACAGCTCCTTGACTGTTTCTCACTACGACGCCCTCGCCTTCCCCAGTCCATACACGGCCATAATCATCGACCTTCAGGCCGTCTGTGAATGTTCTCGCCAATCCGAACATGCGTTTGTTTATTGGGAATCCCCGGCTATCAAGGTCATACTCGTAGATGCCCATCGAGCCAGGCATATTCCTGCAACAAACATTAGTCTTCCTCTCGTCAGGAAACGGCCATATCCAGGGAATGCTTACTTGCTTCCAATTTCCAGTTCACCTGCTGGCAGAGAATCGTACTCCCCCACGTAGAGCTTGGTTCCATTGGCGTTAACCTGGACACCATTGCTACCAACAATATCAGAACGGGGGATAACAGCAACCAGGGCACCTGTAGACGGTGTGTATCGCCAGACAGCATCAGGGAGCTGGTAGTCCGAATCTGGTCGATCAACAAGCCCACCATAGAGGTTGTCAGTGAAGTATACTTGGGTCGTATCGAGGCCGTTCCCATCGTGATTTGCGGGTACGACAGTGATATCGTCAGGTCCATTGAAGGGAAGACCAAACCATGAATTGGCAAGGATTTCGGCCTCGTAGGTAACAGCATTGACTCGCGCAATGCCGGGTTGAACGCTTACATTGCCGAAATAGACTAAATAGACAAAGCCATCAAAATAGTATGCCCCATTCGGATTGACGAGGTTCGTCTTGACTTGATGGATTGAATTGTCTGTCAGATTTAGGCGGTATATGGTGGTGGGCTTGTCGTCGAGAATGCTGCTCGTGAACCACACTTGGTTTCCTCTCCAATCATATGTGGCACCCTGAACCCTCTAGTCAGATACCGTATAGATTGTTGAGGGGTCGCTGGGGAGCTTCAACTAGCCTCGAAAGCAAACGAATCATTTCTCTCTTCCAAGAGCACTGCCTTCGGGCTGGGGCCAAGCATGTCCGTGAACTCGGAGCTGTAGGAGATGAAGGTTGCATTCTGGGCTTCCTTCAGGAGGTCGGCCAGACCGTTGTTATTGGTCTTCGTGTCAATGAAGTATGTTGACGCGTTACTCGTATAATTTGGAGTGATCAAGTGGGTATAATTCATGGGGATGGAGACGGTTCCATTGAGAGTCAATGCTGTGGCGACACCCGCAGCTAAGCATTGAAATAAGACGGTAAGATACATCTTGATAAGAATTCTCGAGCTTAGTAACTACACAAGCCTCAATGCTTGGTGATATCAAAATCACGACTTTCGCGGTAGTAATATATAGCCATGCAGCCCTGTCAATCCGCTGAATATATAGCCTAGGTTCTTCGTCACTTCTTCCCCGCCTTCGTCGGTACAAAGGTCCTTGTCTAAGAGATATAATTCAGTTATAGTTCCATCTCCGTGGAATACCCCAAATGCTCCGTCATTCCCCCACTGATTCTACTCCGGCGGTGAGCTCTCTGACATAGAAAAACATTCATTCCGATCTATTGAACACCATCGCTGACCCCGCATCCCTCACTCCAGAAGTGTTGGACCGAAACTCCGAGGTGAAAGTATCCCTCGGGCGCTAGAATTCTTTGAATCCTTCGGAGACTGGGGTTTATGTCGGAAAGATGGAAATGAGACGGAATGCAATGAGGATCTATAACGCTGCGCCCGTGCGAGGCTTCGGTCGTAGCATGCACTGCTGCGTCATAGAAGCGACCATTTTGCCGCTCTCGTCCCAGATCCTTGACTCCGCATAGTTCCGCGCAACTCCCGCAGTTCGGGTCATGCGCTCTCGGAGATGCCAGCGGGTCATGTCAACATCGTTGACAAACACTCTCAGGGCAAAGTCCAGCGTTGACGCAGCACCAGCATCATGCATGCCTTTGTGGTCGTGGATCAGCGGCATGAAAGACGGTCCTGCATCCATCATGAAGGCCAGAGCTGCAAGATGCTCGGCCCTGGAGGTCAGAGGTTGAGCTGTTCTAAACCAGTCTCCAGACGTCTTGGAAGTGATTGGAAGGTGGTCTTGGGTCGTCCGAAGCTGCTTTGCAGCTCCACCGAGATTCTGTCCCCAGATTCCCTCGGGACAAAATCGGTTCTCGAAGAATGAAAGCAAGACAGAAGTGGTATGTCGATAAGCTCGGGCATCTTCCTCCGTGATGTGGCCTTTTGCCAAAAGGTCTTCTGCCAACTTCTCCACTCGCGGACATTGGCTCCAGTCACTGTATCGACCTTTCGGCGGCGCTGAATATTCCATCATTGCTGGTTCATTGATGTGGAAGTCAGCTTGCAGCGTCATGCAGAGCCGCTGTTCTCCACTGGGAAGACTCTGCCATACATCAACGCGGCGTGTCGCAAATGTTCTCGTGTCGCGCAAACGTTGAACTCGACAAGTCAAGGTACGATCCGTTCTTGTTGGTCCGAGAAAGTGTCCCAGCACGGAGTAGAGATTGTAGCCGGGTTTCACAGTGTGATATGCAGCGTGGACGCCGATGGACATTGTACATCCGCCATACGCAATGCCAAGTTGATTCGCTCCTCTTGCCGGCGGGAATAGTGAGCAAAACTCATCTGGACCAGTTGCTTTGACGGCAATCTGCTCTGAGAGAGTGCTCGCCATCGGCACACTCATTGTGAATTCTACTTGTCCGACTTCCCACTCGAATGCAACCGGATATCTGTAAAGGAGGCAACCGATAAAGTAGGAGGTTTGGGTGATTGCGAGAGTGCAGCTGGTACAGCTCCAGGTGTTTTCAAAAGCCGAGGTTCGGCAACGGCCGCGGACGGGTGGACGGCCAGACGGCTAACCGAGATCGCAAGGAAGCGAGAAGATCTGCAAACTGCGTCATCTCCTGGGGGCAATCGTTGTGATGGTAGGGAGAGGCATGGATAGATTGCCGGTTGTATATGATCACTACTCCAGTCGGTGCGCAAAGCGCGAGTAGATGTGAGGATTATAAACACCCCCTCACGGATTGAAAAGTCTTGCTTGAACTCCGGTGTTACGACTCCTCGTCGGCGACATCCTCCCTCGGTACACATCAGTTAACTTCGGGAGCTGATGTTTGAACATTCTGCTGAGTTCATTTCTCTTTAGACATACTGCTCATATTCCACCTATTCCTTACACTTTATAAGATCTACTTTACCATTCTGATACCTCCGCTATTTTCTTCACTTCTGGCCTACCTACTGTGTAGGTTGATTACATGACCCTTTTGTCACTAACAGACATAGCTTTCCAGATCTGAAGCAATTCAAGATACTAGCCGTGCAGGAGGCCTCACTCAAACCTTTACCTTCTCCCCCTCTTCACTCCCACTCGTCGTGCTATGTCTAATATCGCTCTTGAACCCACCTCTCTCTGGGGCACCCGCTGCAGCCATGGCCTCAGTAGCACTGAGACTGTCGCCATCCTTGCCCTCGAGGGTCATTCCCGGGGCACCAGCAGGAACAGTGTTGTGCTCGATGTCCTCATACGGCCGCCAGAAGTCCTTTTTGCCCTTGGCAGCACGCACGAGCCAGGGTGGGAGAATCCCGCCTTCAATCTTGTATGTCCAGGGGTCCTTGAACTCCTTGTCGGCGGGCCTGATGCGGCCTCCAGAAACCTTCTCAATAATCCACACAAAGGTGTTGAGCACCATGTAGCTGATGATCCCCGCGATAAGGCCGTACGCAATGCTATACGTGAACGGCATGATGGCGATTGTCAGGAATGCAGGAATTGCATCACCGATGTAGCGCCAGTTGATATCCTTGGCAGCTTTGGCCCTATAACACAGGCTTGTCAGATTAAGTCGGAGGAAGACGTTGGGCAGACTTACATGAGCGACCCAACAATAATCAAAACACAGCCCGTAGCGTAAGGGGGAATTGATGCAAAGATTGGGGCAAAGAAGATAGAGATGAAGAAGCAAATCCCGGTGGTGATGGCAGTGAGACCAGTGCCTCCGCCTTCCGAGATACCGGCACCGCTTTCGATACTGTAGTACTGTTAGCATTTGTGTCGTCAGAGGGCGAAGCTTGATGCCTCAGTGTACGAGTACGCACTATGCAGTGACGGGCGGTGTTCCAAGGAGTGCACCAATGGAAATACCAAAAGCGTCAACAAGGTATGCCACCGCGGAGCCTTCGAAATCTTGAGTCTTCTCGTCGATGGCGCCGCAGAACCGAGCCATGGAGTACAGTGTGCCGGTACAGTCCAGAATATCAACGTAGAGGAAAGTGATGAAGGCCAGGCCGAATTGTCCTCCATATCCCGAGATATTCCACTCCTGGACGGTCAAGATCTTCTCAATAGGATGGAAAGTGACGACCTTCTTGAAGAAATCAAACATGCTGTCGCCGAGCTCCGTGTACGGGAAATATGTGACAGGAGTCCCTCTCGGCCAGGAGATGATGCTGACTAGCAAAATGCCGAAGATGATTGCGCCCTTGACACGGAACATCATGAGCATGACGGTGAAGAAACCTCCGCAAAAGATACCGATCCACATAGTGGGACTTCGCATCTTCTCAGCCGAAGGACACAGCCCAGCCTCGTCCTGGAACTCTGGTTTGCAACCAGCCAGCTCAAGCGGAGTGGCTTGCGCACCGACCACGGCGCCAATACCCGCGCTGTAGGTCAACCCGATGAGAGTCAAATATAATCCGATGCCGACGCCAGTGGCGAGTTTGATTGAAGCCGGGATCGCTCGAGCAAGCCATTGGCGCAAACCAAGGACGGTCAGGCCGACAAAGACAAAGCCTTCGACAAAGACTGCTGTAACAGCAACCTGATATGGTACGAGACCGGATCCGTGGTATCCAACAACAGTATAAGCGAACTGGCAGTTGTCAGATCATTCTCCGTGAAGTTCAGATTGGCACAACAAGGGGCACACAAGGGCACATAGCCATGGGACGCGGTGAGGAGCTTACATAGGCATTCAAACCCATACCCGGCGCCAGAGCGATTGGCATGTTTGCGAAAAGACCCATGCAGAAAGTGGTCAAGGCAGAGATGGCGGCGGTCGCAGTAACCAAATCTCGCTGAACGCCAGCCACGCAGATCATATAGTCTGGGTCGCTATCGCACAGGTCGGGACTATCTGGAGGGCAGACGCAGGTACCGCCAGACTGGGACACAATTGTTGCGTTGACGCTGATGATGTAGGCCATTGCGAAGAAGGTGGCCAACCCGGCTCGGATTTCGGTGAAGAAATAGGTCCCCTTTCGTTCCCTCCGATGGCCTGAGCCATCAAGCCGGAAGCGTTTGCCCACGAAGGAGCGCGCCACAGCCATATTGGCATTGTGTATCATCTCGTTGATACCCATGCTTTCGATTCCCTTGACGCAGTCGAGACAAATGAACAATAGGACAGACGAAAGACAGATGAAGTCAAAGCAAACATTGACGTACCTGGGGTTAGGGGAGGTTGTTATATCGCGATGATGTAAAGCATATCAAATAGCCACGCCCAGAATCAAGATCTCCCTTAGCCAAAATGCTGATAAGAGTGTTCGCACATTAGTGATTGCAGTCGTACCCGAGAAACCATTCTCAGTGGCCCGGAGCCGCCCTACGGGCCCTATGCCAAGATAATGGGCGGGTTCCCGCTTGACCAGATGGCGTTCAGCTGGACTTGGCGAGGCTTTTTGACGCTCGGGTTTTGATAAGTGTATGCATGATTGTTGGTTGACTCGCCTACGAGCAATTCGGCGAGCGGCGATGCACTGGCAGACCTCAGGATCTCGCCCTTTTTTTGATCTTCCTTTTGCTCAAGGAGTCGATCTGATGCCGACAAGGGTTGTACGGAAGTGAATGCCAAGACTCTCCGGATGCCGGCGACAGCCTGGGAGTAGCAAGCGAAAGGATCGTGGGTGCGTGGACTTACTCAATACCTTGACCTCGACCGAGGTTCCGCGCTATCCTGACCTTGTGGTTTCTTCGCTAATGAAATATGTCATGTTTCCAATTAAGTAGGCTGGTATTCGCTCCAACTAGGGCTGCAACCCTACAGGCTTTGCAAAGTTCGTTGCGGGGTAAAGCCTGGCAGAAGTAACTTCAGGGTCTTCATCCACATTGAGAGAGTGACACAGACATGGATAGGCATGTGGGTATGTAGTTCTATACTCTCCGCACCACGGGTAGATAAGTACACAGACGGAAAGGGACTTCCCCGGGAGGAGCTCGGGGGTGTTTCCCAGGTAAGGCAAAGTGAGTAGGTCACGTGCTTAGATTTCTTGATTCTGTGACTCAGTCATGGGGACTTAATTACAGAAGGTGTACCGAGTACTGAATACTGGCGCCACACATTGGCATTCAACCAGAGGTCTCCGGCCTTGGTAACGCTATCAGTCATAGTTCCTCCCCCAAAGATAAGAGCCTAGCGGTCAAGTAAGGTAATATGGACTTCAGTCCATCTCTCAAATTAAGCGAATACTGTAGGGAAAAAACGGTCTAGGGATGTTAGGTTAGGGCTAGAAATTTCCCTAAAATGACCGTATAGGAGGGAACCCCCCCGTTAGTTATAGCTCACTTACTACGATTAAAAGCGTCCCCTAGGGGATAGGATCTATTATCAGTATTAGTTATCATAAATTATAAATTAAAAGCTAGTTCATTAACTTAAATATCCCTAGAACTAGAAGCGTCCCC